GAAGCACTCTCTGCCCGGAGGCCCTCTGACTGGTGGTCCGTCGAACCCTGCAAGCCCGTCAACTGATCAGGCTCCTTGGGCAACAAACCCCAGTCCTGGGCTGAGCGGGTCTTTCAACTGGAATCAAACCGGGAACGGCTCTTTCCCATGGAGCACGGGGATTTGGAACAATCCTGATTCTCGCAAGGAACCACCACCCCGTCTTTCTGAAATCGTGCCCTCCCCGACCATGACCAACCCTCCCCCCGCGCCTGGTTCCATCGGCGACGAAATACTGAGTCCCATCACTCGAACTATCTCCGGGGAATCGGCGATTCCATTCCAGATCCCACTACACCCAACTCCCAAGACATATCGCTCCCAGTCTTACTCTGTCGGTCAAATGGATTCGGAGTACCTAGGCATGATGGCGAACAAGCCCGGTGCGAGCGCTGCGTATCCGGGTAGTCGCTCTCGGGGTCCTGGACAGATGTCTTCTGGTCAGCCGAGAGCGTCACGACCGAGCGTGCTTGGTGAGCTTGGATATGATCCTGCTATGCTTGGCCGCGTCCGTGAGGACGACGACGGTGACGAAAGTCTGAATGGCTCCGAAGGTGATATGAACTACTCTGCCACCCAGGCCCGGACCATCGAGCAGCTGGCGCGCGAGAACGCACTTCTTCGTCAAGCTGCTGCTGCGGGTCAGATAGACAACCGGTATCGTGATCGAGCAAATTCCTCTGCTTCTGCCACTGGAGCTCACTCGCTTCATCGTATCAGAGGTGGTGTTCCAGAAGAGCAGGGGAATGTTGAGGACTTGGACGAATTGCGCGATATCCCTGGCTACGGCAACATGCGCAGCAACACAAGACGACGATTCTCCGAGCACTCGGCCAACCTCGAGCAACAATTCCAATCTTTCCCGTCCCCGTTGGAGAATCGTGCACTTGAGAGTGTCCGCAAGGCTCATTGGCAGACATCGCTCGGATTCAACGGCGCCGCAGACATACCCCAGAGCCGTCGCCATTCGTTTGCCGATATCCCAATGCGCCATGCTTCTGTTGGCTCTACTGATTCGCATTCCACGGTTACTCCTCGGGCTGGGCTCGGAGACCACGATGATGGCTATGGCAACATCGACTACTCTAATCCAAACCCATCGGTGCAGGCCCGTAAGTCTGACTATCTATCCTGCGTGTCGCACATCTCTGACTGTTATCCAGAATATTACTCTCGCGAGCAAACACTGCGGGCTGATGGATCGTCTGGTCTGCCCTCTTCCCTCAATCAATATGCGATGTCTGGCGCCTATGGTCGTCAACCGCCAGCCCTGTCCCATGCCCATCAAAACCAGCTACTCTACATTGTGACATTTAAATGCCACCGCGCCGATGTATTTTACATTCAAGAGGATACTGGCTTGCAGGTGAAGGCAGGCGATCTCGTCATTGTCGAGGCTGATCGTGGTACGGACCTGGGTACTGTGGAGCATGCAAACATCTCGCTCCAGAAGGCCCGAGAGCTCAAACAGAAGTATGCCGATGAGCACTACAGATGGCTCATGATGTTCTCCCGACAGGGACAAATGGAAGGTTCGAATGTGGCTTCTTCGGGTATCAACAGCCGCAGCGCTACAGGCGGCATGGGTCCTCATGCTCATGGGGCGCAAGAGCCTACCACAGAAATCAAGCCAAAGCTTATCAAGCGCCTCGCACAGAACCATGAGATTCTGACTTTGCGCGACAAGGAGGGTAATGAGGCCAAAGCGAAGAGAGTCTGCCAGCAAAAGGTCGCTGAACATCGACTGAACATGGAGATTCTTGATGCCGAGTTCCAAATGTACGGTTTGGTTCCTAATTCATCTTTGAGAATATCAAACTAATCGCTAAACAGGGACTGGAAGAAGCTTACCTTCTACTACTTCGCGGACTCCTATATCAACTTCAACTCGTTGGTCACGGACTTGTTCAAGATCTACAAGACCAGGATCTGGATGTCTGCAATTAACCCTGCTTCCTTTGTGACGCCGCCAACTGCTGGCCTGCAAGGTACGGGCGCAATCAGCAACCCGCTTTACAACCAGGACGCACCGCCCTCCGAGCGCCGCCACCAGCCCGACGGTCGTCCTTTCGGCGGGCGAGACGGTGCTGATGCCGGCCACGAGGGAATGCCCAACCCGGGCATGCTTCGCGCCCCATTTACAGATTCCTACCAACCATTCGCCCAACCAGCCCGTCAAGACGCGCAGCCTGACCCCTTTGCCCCATACTCGCCCACCAGCTACGGCCCTCTGGAGACAGGCTTCTCTGACTTCTCAGGCGGTGCAGGCACTAACGGTGCCCGCATGCACCCAGCTCAAACGGAGTGGGTTGGCCGATTCCAGGGCCTATCACTCAACTCTTAAATCACCTTCCTCCCCTGTACAATCGAATACCTCCCACCCTCACCTTCCTCTCCCCCTTCACCCTCACCTCCACTTACCCTCTCACGAAAGAGATAACCTTCTAGACCCGTTCTATTATTTCTGATTTCACTCATTTCTTATTCTCCAAATCTGCTTTTCCGCGAAAGAATGTTTGTTCCCGGGCCCCGTGAAATTTATTACTGTTTACTTCCACCTTTTCCTGCGCTCTGTGCCCCGTGTACTACTGAAGTTAGAATCCATACCCCGGGCCGTTCGCACGCTCGCACACTCTTTACTGTTTCTGATTTTCTTTTCTTGTTTTTATCCTAATAGATGAGGAGGATCGCATGGTGTGAATAATCCAAGGCTGTGTTGCGCTGTGCGCTGGGCTTGATGTCTAAACAATTTTTTGCGTTAAAAAGATCCGGTCCTATCTTCGTTTAGTCAATGATATTGTGTTTTGTTTTCTCTTTTTCTTTGACTTTCATTCTTTGCTTGGGGATTTGATTTAAAGATTGGTATTATGAAGGATTCTTTTATTTCTTTGTGCTTTTGTGCTTTTGTGCTTTTGACTGTTCTATGCTATACAAATTGTCCGAGAGGGCAGGGGTTGGAGATTAAAACTAAGTACACAGGTCGAGCAAAATGATATTCAAGATTTTTTGCATAGACCTTGAGCTACGTGATAGGTAAAAGTTGTAGCAAGAATCAGCATAGAGTTGGGTCTGGACCGGATCGTAGTGATATTGTTTGTCATTGGTACGGCTTCTATCCGATATTCATGTAGCTCGTGGACATGGCATCGGGTACGTCTCGAGAATGTACAAGCTTTCTGTGGATTCGACACGGACTGGGATTTGATATTTGCCCAATAGATGAAGAGTGTCCTGTGAGCTCGAGGTTGCGGGCACATGGCATATCCATGGTGCCAGTGGACCGAGCTTCAATCTTAGGCAGAATATGACCGTCCAAAGTACTCCAGGATACGTCCAAATGATGAACAAGGTCAGTAGCCGGAGCAGAGTTGAGTTGGGTCGGAACTTGGGGGGTTTTTTCCATCCGATTCTTCAAATGTCACACTACACCAGTCAGCACTCCCCCAATGACCTCACGAAGAAGACCCACCTCAAGCAAACTTGTCGTGCTTCCCCTTAACCTTAACATCAAGCATCTCCTCATGGAAATTGCCCTCCTTCCTGGCCTTCCGTAACCTCCTCACATCATCCTCATTCAACGTCCTCCCAACAATCCCCTCCAATTCCTTCTTACTAATTTTCTCATAAGCCTTCGACTCCTTATTTGCCCTCAGCTTCGGCTTGAACCGCGCCTGCATGCGGATTCGCAAAGTCGTCTCAAATGAGATCACAGTTGCATCCCCACGGATTTCGACGCCTCCAGACGCCTTCGCACTCTCTTTGACACACAAAAAGGTCTCGGAGTCACCGCCACGCGTTTGTAACGAGAAAGTGCCGGGGATATCAGGGGATGGGATCGCAATGAAGGATTCGTAATGGCTAACGGCGGCGGCAGTCGCGCTGAAGAGACCGTGGCTATCGCAGCTCAAGTACCTAGCAGGAATTAGTCAATTGATCTATCTATCAAAAGTAGACACTTGAGTACTTACTTCCCATGGTGTCCCTTAAAGCTAAAAGACTCCGTGCCTGCAACCCTTGTCGCAACCCAGACCTGTCGCACATCGTGCGGTTCCGCTGTCCCAGGGTCCCCCTCGACTAGATTCTCAAGAACACTAGCAAAAACCACTCCGTTTGCATCACTTGCAATGCATGTCGGCTCGTCGGAAGGAAGGACCAGCACGATCGGACCGGCGATGTCGCTGGGTGCGTCGGCCGAGACCCAGCTTTGGTCTTCCGGGTTATCGTCGGCGTCAGGCGCGTCTGTTTTGCGAGTCTTGGGTGCCTTTTCGCTGTCTGGATCGCGCTGCTTGCGTTTTTTAGGCTTGTCGCCTTTGAATGTGAGGGGTTTGACCATGGTGGATGTGAGTTGGAGGAAGTTGCTGACGGACTGCGGAGATTGAGGTTCGAGGGCTTATCTCTTATCAGCTCTATCACCAGTTACCTCGTGTCTGATTGTTTAATTACACGACTGTGTGAACTTCTATACTCAAGCTGGGTCAAAGGTACCTTGGAGAGGCTCCAAGGTCCTCACTTTGTTTCTCATAAAAAGCAGCAGAGCTCTGTTCATTCTGATTTGATCACCCTATCTACCAGGAATCTGGGGTAAGAACATGCTCGCATCTCTCGTCGTAAATCATGCCTTTCAAGCACAATTTTCTGTATCTGTTTAGTCGAAGGTGATGGTAATCTTAATAGCGGTCTTATTGCACAATCTTTGAGATCAAACAAGTCATTACAGACCGACCTAACGCCTGTAGATTTCTCAGGCCGGGCCCGTCCTATAGTAAGTCGGATAGAATAGTAGCTGTACGCAGAACCCGCTTTTGCCTGGCTCTCAGAAGGGGATAGAGGATCGAATCGGAATCACATAGCCTGTCATTTGGTTTTCAGCTTAGCGTACTTGTCTATTCCAAGCTTCCACCTTAAGTCAATTTTGTCTGGCCCCATAATTATCCAGCACAGGGAGATTGCGCATGTACACAATGATCACCGTCATTGAGACGTTTGGTCTCCTCCTGTCGGGACCGCTACTGGCCGCCTTGATTCGGGAGGGACTGATTCATGGCAATGTGCGGTGGCTGGGCCTCCCATTTATTGTGGCTGGGGCAATGGGTGTCTTGGTGGCTGTTACGATTTCGTGTATTAATCTGCCAGCACACGCGAAGGGAGGAGAGTCTGAGGATCTAGAAGATAGTTCGGTCATTGCTGGTTAGCATTTGGGGTGTATCTTAAATATACTTGGGTAGATCTTCGAGAATAGATACTGGCACTCCTGGTCGACTTGCGGTATAAGCCGACGCTAGAAGGAAGGCGAGTTAATACAACGTCTTCAGAATCCAGACTACAGCTCAGAAATGAGCGGCCGAACTCAACCAAGTCCAATCTCACGACCGCCGCTACTATGCGATCCAAAGGCAATTGACCCAATGTAGCACTAGAGATCAGGGAATCAACCGTCCTTGCCCCAATAGCCCCGTGTAGCAGTGTGGGTACGCGACACGGGATTATTAAGCCATCACTTTATGGCTCAAGTGTTTTTTAAGATTCTTTCGCAGCATCAAGATAAGGTGGGGGCCAACACCTAGCTGGACATCTTTCAAAAGTCTCACCTTACACCTTTAGGCCTCCCGAATAAAGGTTCCTGAAAGTACCCCAAGATGAGCTCTTTTCTCACAACCCTCGGTCTCCGCGGCGCCTCCGCCACAGCCATTCCAAACTACGCCCCCGCATTCGTAGGCTTCCACTTCCTCTACGCCTATGGTGTCCTTTCCTCCCGAACCCTGAAACAATGGTACGGCATCGACCACAACGCCTCACCACGCGAAGATCTCGCAAAATACGGCGAGGCAGCCGTGCGCGAGGGAAAGATCACACGGAGACAACTCGATATGTTGAAGCGGAATGAGTCGGCCCATGCGAACTCGGTTGAGAATTTCTCGCTTTTGGTCGCGAGTTTGCTCTTTGCTAGTCATGCCGGTGTTTCGGCGGGGATTATTAATGCGGCTGGACTGTCTTATACTGTTGCGAGAATCTGTTATGGGGCGGTTTATATTCTGATTGATCACCCGGAGTGGAGCCAATTGAGGGGCTTGTGTTGGTGGTGGGGAAATGTGAGCTGTTTGGTTTTGCTTTGGAAGGCCGGGAGGTTACTTGCTGTTTAGTGTAGGTATCAGTGCCATATAGTCTCATAGGATTCTTGAAAGCATTACAATATGCTCGTCTAACATCTCATACAAGGTAAAACAAAACGTCCTGTTTCAGGAGCTGGTGACAATCTTCAGGGTAGACTGCAAAGGAAGTTTCCTGCTCGACGATCCAACATGGAACTTGTATTCTCCAGTCTGAAGCTGCCACTTCTGAGCAACGACATCCCAGCTGCTGAGGTCACGACGAGTCAAGGGGAAAGTAACCTTGACTGAGCCACCGGCGGGGATCTGAACTTTGTCGAATCCACGAAGTTGCTTAACAGGGCCTCCTGGGATACCGAGGTAGAGCTGGGCGACTTCGGCGCCTGATCTGCTTCCGGTGTTTTTCACAGTAGCGGTGACGGTAGCGACGGTCTCCCACAGGTCCACAGCTCCGCCCTGCTCGACAGCACCGGAGGGATAAGCAGCGATGCCATTCTTCACAGAAGAGACATGGAGGTCAGAGAAAGAGAAGGTGGTGTATGAAAGACCAAAGCCGAACTCATAGCGAGGAGCAATGTCGTGCTTATCGAAGTAACGGTAGTCAGTGTAAACACCTTCAGTGAAGTCGTCCTGAGGGAAGAGTCCGTAGGGGGTGACAGCCTCGGTATGGTAGAGGGAAAAGTAGTCGGACTCATTTTTAGCCACAGTGTAGGGAAGCTTGCCGCTGAAGTTCTCGTCGCCGTAAAGCAGAGACACCAGAGCACGGCCAGAGTCCTGACCGGGAAGGTGAGCGAAGACAATGGCAGTGACATTGGGGTTTTCTGTGAACTGGTCGACCAGACGGGTACCGGCGTTGTGAATGACTACGATGGTGTTGGAGCAGGTCCTTGCCACCTTGTTGACAAGCTCATCCGAGTAGTCATCGTGAAGACCAGACCGATCCAGGCCTTCAGTAGCGAATGCATTGATGAAGACGAGGCAGGCATCTGAAGCCTCCATTAATCCCATCATACTCGGGTTGTCGATAGTATCCCACATAACCACGGTGTTGTCCTCATAAGCCCGCTGCTGCAGAGCATCCAGAGGAGCACTCAGATACGGACCGCTGTTGGCACCGGATCCACCACCAACACTCAACGTACCATTGAAGGCCACCTGGTAGTCGTACGGCTCGTTAATCACGGTAGTAGAAAATGCATCGCCAATCTGGAAGATTGCCGGTGAGTAACCCAGTTGCCAGGGGTTCCCTGTGAGAGACTGTCCGTTAGACATGTACATGTCGGGGGCTTTGGCGTCATAGCCAAAGACGGAGATGAGCTTCGGCGACACAAGGGGCAGAGCGTTCTTCGTGTTCTTAACCAACACGTGGCCCTCAACGGCACCGTCGAAGATAGTGGGCTTTGCGTCGCGGGTGAGGGCATTCACAATAGTATGAGGCTCGCTAGTATTGTATGGCATACCCACGCCAGGTGCAGGGTAACTCGACTCGTCCTGGCCCATCTGATACCAGGCTGCGATGATACTAATTTTAGGTTAGTGGTAGCTTTGCTATAGTCGTTTCAATACTTACCGGGTTGCCATATCGGTTAGACGAGACTCGGAAACAGTGCCGTTGGTGATAGCTTCAGTGAGGTTGTCGCCCCAGAAGGACCCGCTATTGGGCATTGCCATATCAAGACCGGCTTGAGCCGCTGCCACCCCAGAGTGTTGGGCATACCAATCCGTCACGACGAATCCATTGAAGCCGAGTTCGGTCTTGAGGAGTCCGTTGAGGGTCTTGCTGTTTTGGCAGCCGTAAGAGTTGTTGACGCGGTTGTATGAGCACCTAAGATTATGTCAGTCTGTATCTTGTGTAGCTCGTTGAAGGTATATCGAACATGATATTGCCAGTTCCTGCTTTGAGAGCATCCTGGAAAGGCCAAAGATACAGCTCGTGCATTGTCTTATCATCGATGTTGCTGGAAACCGATTGGACGGTCTCATTGTTTGAGTTGGTGGTAGGGTTGCGGTACAATTCTTGTTCGTTGGCAATGAAATGCTGTAGTCATTTCCATTAGTATCGCTGTTCATATTTGGATGGTTTTTGTAAACCAAATGCAGGTCACTCACCTTGACACTGGTGATCACACCCTGGCCTTGCACACCCTCCACGGTAGCAGCACCAAGTACACCGTCCAGGTAAGGGTCATTGGACATGCCTTCGATAGTTAGCCAGGGTACCTATATGTATTCGGGAATACCGACCTTCCCAGTTACGACCGCCCGTCGTAGTTCTTCCCAGAGGCCCAACAACAGGACCCAGAGCCACCTGGACACCCTTCTTCCTGAATTCACCACCCATATGATGGCCACGGTCAAGGGCAAGAGTCTTGTTCCAACTTTTCATCACACCAAGTCAGTTTTGTTTTCTCATTGCAAGTCTCGTATCACTTACCTGGCACCGACATGAAGACCACTTGGATAGCTGTTGACGAAGTCGGTGGTCCGAACACCATTGCCAGCATCCTGAAGACACAAGCCGGTGAAACCAAGACGAGGAATGGATGGAATGATTCCAGAGCACCCATTTTCCGTATTTGTAGCACCGAAGGTAAGATTATTCTGTAGTCTGTAAGCCTCCATGTAACTTCAATGGGCCCGATGCATAGACACCTTTTCTTCCAATGTCATCTTTGCAACCATAGCCGCAGCCTTGGAGTAAGCCTCGGCCCAGTCACCAGTACCCTTGCCAGACGCTGTCAAACATTAACATCAAAACACCCAAGCTAGACAATGCATGGACATACGCGACGGGTAGACGGCCTCAGACTGGCCATAGAAGTACGTATCGGAGGTAATATTCTCCTCGGCATGCCCAAGCCCACACACGGAGAGGATGGCTACCGCCAATCCAAGTTGCTTTGCAGAAACCATCATGAGGTCTACGCTTTGATCGATCTATGAGTCCGTGAGAAAAAAAGCAGTTCCGATAGAGGAAGCTCCCACTATATATACTATCCAGGTACTCCCCTCAGCACAGGGACTAAGAGCACGGCAACGCCTCATAGTCACCGGAGATACCATAGCCGACTGCGACGCAGGGTCGAAGGTAAGTGATCTTCCCTATTCATTTCCTTTCCTGTTGAGGTATGGATGATGGCCGAGTCGTCCATGCGCTATGTACCCCACGTCTGGCATTTTACAGTAACTCCCAGCATGGCGCTAGCTCCGTGCGTGTGATCGGGCCATGGAACTGATAGTCCGGGGCCATTGTGGAGAGGCCTCTCCCGCTACTAGTCAATTTTTGACTTTTTGTCTGGCTAAACTTCGGATGAATGCTTTCTTTGGTCCAGAGGCAAGCCACAATAGTACGCTGGATGCTTGGCTTAACGCGGCCTCGTACTTACAGTCGAGTAAGGTAAAATTTGGCATTCTTCTTGCTACGTGGGTTGGAAGGTAGACAAGTCAGGTCTATAGATCCACGCTGATGCATGGATCTGTGATCCTAGATTCAGAAAAGAAGAGATACATGAACGCTGCGCAATCACAACGGGTTTAATGCACCGGATAATAATCGGATGGTCCAAACTCTAGCCTACGTCCTCGAGCTTCTATAGGATTCCGGCTCAAACCCGAAATGCGGATGTTATGCAGATATGTGACGTGTGGGGAGAATGTGGGGCTGCAGCACGCGGGCCTGAATCGGGAATCTGGGGTTAGGCGGAAATGGAATAAATTGAGATGGGCACATATTAATTAAATCTCATTACCCGAATGTCTGCGTTACGTTACCTTCCTGAAGCCGCGGTGTACGGACTAGGATACACAACCGATTTCATTCCGTGGTTCAACCACAGTAGATTCTCGAGGCACGGGAGCTTAGCCTCATTTTACCCCAGGACGCCGACCCCGCAAGGAATTCCCCCAAGCACTCGGGGATGTGGACCTGGTTTCTCAAGCTACTTAGATGTGGAACGTGGTTGCGTATATAACGAAACCTGCTAAGCTATTTTGTACTAGTTCAAGGGCTGCACGGTTCGGCTGCGATCGAATTGGTCCCCAGCTCCGACGGATGGGGAAGATGCCGGGCGGGACCAGGTCAAGTGGGACACAAACAAATAACTCGGCATATATAGGCTTCCGAGAAGGCTTCTTATTGAGTTTTCAGACCTTGGAAGTGGTTTGATTTCATGTTTGTCATGTCTTGGTAATTAGAGTGGCGGTTCAATCTACATGGAAAAGGCCCGGAAAAGTGAGTCATATTGGGATATTGTATCTTCTACAAAACTAACGAACTAGCAATGAGCTCCAGTATGGATAGTCAGAGTAAAACGAAAGTTCCATATGCACTGTACTCAAAAGACAAGACCCAAACTCCTTGCATCCAGATGGCCTTCCAGAAGCCAACGACCAGCGTGTGTGCAGAATAGTCAGGGCATAGTACTCATCAACTCATTTCAAGCCAAAGCCTTCACTGTTCACAACTGCGTCCCATAGCAGCTGCTGCAATTTAGCTTGAGAGCCGTAACGGTATAGGCCTAGCGTGTTGAAACAAGTTCGCGCGGTTGGGTATCGTGAGCAATCATCTCCAAGACAGGCCAGCCGGATTGAGAGGCTTGTGGCGCCCATGGCGGGAATACGATCGCTGCCGGTGATGAAAGAAAGGATTTTCCGCTGGGCTTGAGGTGGGGACATTTCGAAGAAATCCCAAAACCACTGCACCACGGGAAGTGATTCGGGTCGAGGCGACGACCAATTATCGTAGGTGGCCACGGCCCGCAGGGAATTCACATCAAGGGTTTCATCCGACCCGCGAATGAGTAGTTCAATTTCCTCCGGTCGGAATAGTGACAATGCATTGCCTCCACAGACCGTGAAGAAGCCCCGTTTAAACGGCTCGAATTGCCGAGTAACCGATGACTCGAGGAAATAGTGCACATACAAATCCACAAATTCGCGCCGGTTCGAGTTGGTCACCGGACGACTCTCCCCACCTGCGCAAAGAGGGACATTCACAACTTCCCCGTAGCGGTCGACTTGGGCTACAAAGTCATAGCAAAAGGTTTCGGCAACATCGCCGTCGTAGTCCAGGAGCATTCGAAGTCCTTTAGCGAGAGCCGGCCGGTACTCTGCGAGATCCTCGAGTGTACACTTGAACCTCGGGCGGCTGGCATTGGTTGACGCTGGTCCAGTAGCCTGCGGTGCAGCTGCCAATAATTTCTTGAAGGCAAAAGGCGGCAAGTCAATGTCGAGAATAGTGGAGTTGTAAATGGCAAGGCCCAGCAACACTCCAACTAGGAAGAACTGTTCAGAGGACTCGAAGCAATGAGGGTTGAAGTAGCAGTACTGTGAGTCCTCGTCGTAGACAAAAAGCCCTATAATTTGTGAGACGCCAAACATCAAAACAGGGATTGGCTTAACTTACCATGGTGTGGATCGAAGACTTCCCGGACGAGCAAAAGGAACCATTCTTTACGCAGCCCACCAGCATCAATACCCTCTTCCCCGATGAACTCAATACGAAGGCCTTTCTTGATCTCCTCATGCCCAGTGCCGACGACCTCACTCACACTCCGAAGACTATCTTCAACCAAGCATTCGCGGCGCACCTTCAGCACGAGATACTGACTAACAGCACGATGGTTCAAAATACTGTTGAAGAATGCCTCGCGAGCTTTAACCTCCATTTGACGGCGAGCGTCATGTTCGAGGATATGAATTTTGGCCCAGATGCTGAGCAAAAATGGATATTGGCAGAATGAGAACTTTGAAACTCGAGACTCCCACGTCTCGAAGTCAGCTAGTAGATCCGAGTAGTCCAGCAGTGTGTTGTAGAATGAACTGATCGGGACCATGTACCCCTGCTGGCGTGCCGATTGGGTGACAGCGGAGTCCGCATGGCGCAACCCTCTTGGTTCGACTGCGGCGTCGTCTGGTTTGCGTGAGGAGTGAGTATTGTTTGCCGTGAATAGTAGAGACATCACCCTTGCCGCTCCCCGAATCTGCCAGTCTTCTGTATATACCATAGGCTCTTCCTTCTTCTGTGGAGGTGGTTTTTGCCCTCGCCGATTGATAGCCGCGTGTAATTCAGCTGGAGTATTACCTGAGGCACTAGCGAAACTTGGAATCAAGTCATCTCCATCTTTGGTTGGCTGGTTGCGCTTACGGCCGTGCTGCCGAGTCAATCGATAAGTGATGAATCCACCTGCCAAGTCCACCAGTCGTTCAAATTGACCGTGCGAGAACCGAGAAAACCAAGACACAAGGTAATGATGACATTCATTGGGCAAATTGGACATCAGGCCCAAGATGCGCTTGGTGATTCCATGATGATGATTTGGGCTGCTGTAGCGAGGAACCGGAGGAGGTGGATCTTTGCGAGGAGTCTTACCGTCCCTAGTTGTTGATCGAAGGGTGTCTTTCGGGTGGAATGGACGTCGCTCATCACGGTGAGGTGCTTGTACCGACGATGTTTGACCAAAGGCAGTAGGTGACGTCAGAAGAGGGTTTGCCAATAATATAAACAGGAACCTTGTATCTTCAGGCTTCTTCAGAACACATCTTGGACGTTTCAGAAGGTTTTCAACAGCTTTCATCAATGTGCGCTGGAGGTGTACACGAGACTCGCAGATCTCTTTTTCCAGTACTGAGCGGTCAATTGACTCCCATCTTTTGCTGCGAATCATGTCTGCTTCCGAGCGTTCGGCATCAGGCTTCCTAGCGTCCCATTTCTGAGCCCAAGCGCTACCTGCGGTCAGAACCAGCTGGTACCACTGGGCAACTTCGGCCCAGTTGATTCGAGGGCTTCTAGAAGAGACCATACGAGAACGATGTGAGGGCTTGTCCTTGCTAGAAGAAGGAACCTGACCCTCCCTCTGAGCCCATTCATTCATCCACCAAGATGAATTCTCAGCTAAGTCTCCAAGAAGCAGTGTCTTCGCGTCTATTTCAAACACGGGCGTATCAGGTCCTTCACGTCCTTGTTCTGGTATTGAAGCAGGATCCATATTCATCCTGGGAGGATTGCCACTGCTAGCAGAGCGGATTGCTGGCGGGCAAGTAGAAAAGGACATATTGAGTACACTGGTGCCTTTGAAAGCAGTGATAATATAGTTTTCTAGTCGCTTGAATATCAACGGCTGGTGCTCGCCGTTCTTGGTCTCTGTAGGCCGTGCGGGCTGCTGAGGGCGTTGGTCTGTTTTCGATTCCGACTGTAAATTTGAATTGGCGCGAGGTCGAGTAGGGGTGTTCTTGGCTTCCCATTGAACTGCCTGTGGCTTCAAGAATGAGGAACTCCCATTCGTACCAGTGGCGCGTTCCCGCTCACTTGATGCAGACACGCTACGACTGTGAGGGTGCCGTGGAACGGAGAGGTGGCCATAATCAGGGCTGCGTGCAGGAGGCGACAAGGGGCTCTCCATCTGAGGGTCGTAGTGTCGACCATTGCGATTGTCGTCCGGTGTTAAATGCGACTTCGGGCCTTCTAAAAGTCTATCGAAATACATGGAGAGACATCCATCAAGCATGCGCCTGGCACTGTTAGCCGACAAAATAATATCTGTAAGGAAGTCAGAATCTCTTCTCGAGTAGAAATGCGGGGCATCAAATACCTGGCTTTGGCTCATGAGGCGACAGTACTGAGTCCTGCTCAGCGGGGTCCCGTTTTCGAGCCCCTCGTGCTCGATCTTCATTTTCAAGGGCTCCTGGGCTCTTCAAATCCTTGGGTGACTCTGCTTCGAGATCGGTGACCATTAAGCAAGAGGTGCAGCGAAATACATGAGAGTTACGTGGCCACCGTACGGTCGAGTTGCAGGTCTGGCATTTCCCCTCCGTCAGTTCATTGCCTTGTCCAACCTTTGCTTCTTTGCGGGGACTCGCTGAGTTAGGCTGCGTGGGAACTGTGACGTCTGAATCAGAGTCAGATTCCCACGTAGTGTACTTGGGTCCGGCCTTGTCACGCTTCTTCGCTATTCCAGTGAATGGTGAGGTAAAGGGGTGACTGATCGAGCGATGGTGTCCGCGTCGGTGCGAGCCCGTGTGCAGGCTGGTATTCAGCGGAACCATATTTGGAGCATTATGAGTATGTGACGGGCGTCTTTGAGAGTGATCCGAGGCAGGGACTGTGTGAGGGGGTCGAGGGAAGGGCAGTGCTGGGGCTTGCGATCGGAAGGATCGGTGGATTACGTCCAGACCAGGACGGCATATGGGCGCATTTGTTCAGCTAGAGCTGAGAGGATGACCAGGTCGCAGACTGGGACGGTCGAGACAAGAAGCAAGTTCAAGGAGCTTGGTCCTCGCGCTAAACGCATGCGAGTCGATTGTGGGGAAGTTAACGATAACGGAGGCGGGATATTCGTTTCTTTGTTCACTGAACAAGATAGATGATATATGCAGGAAATCACACCATGAAGCAGAAACGAAACGAAACGGCAAAGAAAGGTAGCAATGGGTATCGTTGCAGCATCTCATAGTCGTCTTAGACGGATTGGGAAAGCGGCTAACTGGGCAGGGGCGGGCCCGGCTCCACGCCTAAGGCAGCAACGTTGGTTATTTTTGGCTCTGGCTGCCTGAATTTCATGGCCACAGTCAGGTTCTTCCAAGATTCGAGAATTCTGCAACTAATAATGGTAGATGCGTGGTCTAGATGTTACGATCCGTTATAGCAATAGCTCAAACCGCCACATTATTCCCATTTTACAAGCAGAGGGAGGTACAACCAGCACACACATACGCAATTACCCGATTACCAACACGAAGCCACGAAGGCACCAGACATGGGTAAGACTACAATCTAAATGCTGCCTCTAGCAGTTCTACAGGTCGTGGTGCCGGGAAGTGAACCAGTCATACTTTCGTTAATAGGGGAATTCAACAATAAACAAGATGGCTTTTTGGCTAAAAACAGACCATGCCGGTCTGCATTAAACTCTGGCCCAGTGTGAATAACACTGTCCGGGCGAGCACTGATCGAAGAGATAACCACATGCAGCCAATATCCAACCCAGTCCACCGATTAAGTGCATTAGTGCACTTAACGGTAACGCCAGTAGCTCTGGGTGTTCTGGCGCTTCCAGGTGTGGCGGCGACCGGCCTTGGTGTTGTTGTAGCGGTGACCCTTGTTCATACCACGAGACTTCTTGCCAGTAGCGGTGAGACCACGGCTCTCACGGTGCTGTAGAGGATATTCATCAGTATGGCTGTTTCACTCATAGTGAAGAGTTTTCTCTTAGAGTCAAAACTCACCTTGTGGACGGAGTTGCAGATCCAGTTGATGCGGGCATCACGACGGATGGCCTTGTGCTGGGGATCAACGAGAATAACCTCGAAGTACTTGTAGGTAGAGTCCTGGTTAACCCAGTAGGAGTTCAGGACGCGCAGGTTAGCGCAGCGGCGGCCAACACGCTCCTCGGCAGTGGAGCGCAGAGCACGCTGGTACTTGAGCTGGTTGATACCCTGGTTGGTGGGCTTGCCGTAAGTGGCACCCTTGCGGGCAGGGCGCTTGCGACCACCGCGGCGGACACGGATGCGGTAGACGACGTAACCCTGCTTGGCCTTGTAGCCGAGACGGCGGGCCTTGTCAGGGCGGGAGGGGCGCGAAGCACGGTGGATGGCGTTCAGCTGGCGGAGCTATATTGATGCACTCTCAGCAAAGTTCAACGAGTGTATAGCAAGACACAGGAGCCTCAAAATGAGTTCCTTCAAGTGCCACATCCATTTCCGCCGAATCAAATTTCGTTTGATTTAGCCGGTCACACCAGATTTTCTCAGGCGTTCCTATGGCTACACTCACGAGCACTCGGCGGAGAGATGTTAGGCAATCGGGGGTCGGGGGGTTTATCTCACCTCCCAGCAGCGAACGCGGAGCAAGAACCGAATGACATCGGACTGCTTCTTCTTCTGGATCTCTTCGACGTACTTGAGGGCACCCATCTGAGGCAATTGAGAGTCAGTGAATATGTCAGGGTGAAAACGAGTGTTGGAATGGCGGATGAGCGTACCTTGTCGGTCGTCGGTTGTCGTTGTCGCAACTGCAAAAAGTTCGAGGGAGAAAGATCAAAGACAGAGGTTGTGTGTGGGACGCTAGCAATTAGCCGAGTCTGCAGCGAGCCAATCATAGAGATGCCCCACCCAGGGCATAGTGGCCTTAGGCTCCAGTCACATGACCATCACGTGCTATGCATGCCCTGCACTTCTGTCGCTCCCCGCCACCGTACAGTTATACAGCTAACAGTTTACATTCGAGTTTAAAGATGGGGGAGACTTTGATGGATATCGTTGCCGATTTTTAATCACATTCACTAGCTCACTTTTCAAAAGTTACCGTACACTACCTATGTACTTCATATTGCGCAAAAGGGCCTACTCGAACTCTATAATAATTCAAATGAATGCAAGAAGGAGAGAACGTAAATGCCACTTCATATTTGCTTTACTGATATACGGTCATCGATGCCTATATACATGTTTAATGCCTCCAGACTTCTCTTACTCGCCTCTTATGGCCGATTCATTCCTGGTTCCGTGCTGCATGCTCTTGCCGGACCAGGGCGTTGGTCACGGGGATCTGAAGGGATCCCACCGGCAGGACGCTCTTCTTGCAGAGCGGACACTGACTGCTCTGCTCAATCAAATACTGATCGATACAGGGTGGGTCAAATACGTGACCACACGGCAGCTCGCGGAGCTGGGATGAGCCAACCATGAACTCATCGAGGCAGATCGCACACGAGGTTTGCAAGTCCCAGTGTTGATTTGTCGAAGGCGCAGGTTCGTTTGTCACAGGATTTATCACTGCTGGTTCCGGACGGCGGATGCCAGTGACCTTGCGTGTGCTGTTTGGCGGGCTGATGGACGAGCTACTGGACGGGCTGCTGGACGGGCTGTTGGATAGCGACGGTGTGCCATTCACCTCGGTCACACTGGTTTGCACTTCTTCTTTGATCTCCTCTTTCGGAGTGACCGGTACCACGATAGGTGCTTCGCCAGTGTATGTGTAGATTGGCAATTTATCGACGAGCTCACGAGGAGCGCGGAGGACGGACATCGCCAAGCGTTCGACGTCAACCTGACCAGCTTCGATACGCTGGATAAGGATTTGGCGGCGACGCCTCTGGAGGAAGCGGTAAAATACTACAAGGACGAGGCTCAAGCCAACAATTGTACCCAGGATTGCGAGTACAAAGTTCCATAGGCTCGGCTGCTGAGAAGAGGAAGTTTCTATATGGTTTTTATCAGCAACTGATTTATACACAACATGGGCATTAATACAACATACCGGTGTCAAGCATTGTGAAAAGCCGTTGACTTGTTTCTTTGCGTGAAGTATCTGTTGATGTGTCGTTGTCACTACTGCTTTGATTAGGCTTTCCATCCGAAAACCAAGCAAGCTCGTTCATGAGAGTCACGCCGGCTGGACCAGGGATCGCGTAGATCGGATAGTCGTTTTGCTTTCTCCACTGGTCCCCGTCGTGTAAATCCCACCGCTGGTCGCTATGAGGTGGTGGGATTCCTGAGTCGTTACTTGACGGTTGGAAGAAAACGAGTGCCTCTGCGTTTACTTCACGTGAAGCAGAGAGAAACGATTGAGTACACTCTGGCGTCACCCACGGAGCGAGACCGATGATCGGGTAGCCGTAGTCTGTCACGTCTTTGTGACGAGTCACGTTGGAGGGTATGTATTGGGAGATGATTGAATTGCACGGATCTTGTGGTGAAAGATTGGGAACAAACAAGAGGCCGGAAAGGGATCCAGAGTCAGGAAGACTGTTGCTTGAGAGAGTTTGAACTGTTCTATCCAGGACAAAACGGAAACCGACATTTTCCTATAAATATATATGCTTAATTAGCAAGCGAACCCCAAGGCAGCGCTATACATCAGGCGGCTATACTTACGCTGACTGACGAAGTAGAATTTGAGGCGCTCCCCGGACCCGCAAATAGCGTGGCAACCGTAGCCTGCGAATCAGGCTGTTCGGTGCGAGACATAATGTGATCGATTTAAAATATGCTGAATTCTCGGTCTGTCGGAGCAAACGATGCAAAGAGCCAGTGTATAGGTGACCCCGAAAGGTATATACACATGGTTAGATCGATAGATGTGAAGAGTTTCAAGACAAGAACACGAGAAAACATCCTCGTTTTGGGTATAATGTACACCATCGCATTTGTTCGATCCCGGCGAAGGAAACAACCAAAGACGGACATTACTGTATGGGCATCTCGGCCTCTGCGGCAGCCGATGGTATGCAAGGGCAAATCGTGGGCGGCACAAGAATGCGGGCAAGTCCGGCCACGCGACAAAAGGGCTGCAAACTTTGATTTCATTAAGGGAAAGAGAGAAACATGGCAACCGCAATCGATCGGAGGGGCGTCATTGCATACAGATGCGTATAAAATGTATGGGAATTGGTCGGCTATGTCCGTCCGCATTGGGAATGTTCGTTTGCGGATGCCGCTTTCAGAAAGATCGTCTCCCTAGAGAGGAAGTCTATTTTGGTGTTTGGTGTTTCAGGCCTATTGCCTTGTGTAATTCTATGCTTGATCTTGTCGTTCCAATGCCGTCACGATGAAAATCATCCCAATAGACCCTTCATATACTCTATCTGCGGATGGAAATCCACGTCTCATGGCCTAAGGATCTATGTTAAGGCTAAGGTCATCCCAAAACACTCGACGCCCGAATAAACTCGGTTTGAAATGGACAATCTGGAGAGGACTGTTCTAGGCTGAACAATAGGTCATTTTGCAAAATAATGCTTTTCAGAGCATGTAGTTATAAAGCTTTCATGGGCGATTTAAACCGCCAGACTCGAGCTTGCTTACCGCTCTTCATACCGCCTCACGTGCTGGCAGAACAAATGATAATGTCACGTGTTCAAACGTCCCCAGGTTGATCGGCTCCGCGCGACTTCTTGGTCACCACAGCTCACTCAACTCATCGCCGATAGTCAGAAACACTCTGATTGTCGCTGCTTCACTTATGGTGGAGTAAACTGAGGGTCTTCAGCTCTCGTTGAACTGTTTCTTGACTTGGTGATTCGTTTCAGCATGTGGTACCCGATCGCAGCTGGCGCCTCTTAGAAACCCTCGACATCCCAACTAACAATCCCGCGAACCAATTGTTTCTCTTGATTCAGCTCTCATACCATATCCTCGACTATTACCGAAAGACAGACCCCATGCCTTCACTCAAGGGCAAGAGCAAAGGGCGCGATGCGCGCCAGTCGCGCAGCCGCAATACCACCCCATCCAACGCAGGCAGTGGTCCAGGGGCCGTGACGTCTGCGACCAGTTATCTCGAAAATGATGTTTCGAAGCTCATCGATCAAGCCAACGGTCAGTATACGGATATGCTCGACTTAATAGCTGGGCCGAACATCCCCGATTCTCGGACCCTCGAAACACTCGTGGATCACCTGAGGAGCCTCAGTGACATGGCGGATATCCGAGGGGATACTTGCAATGCTGGTATGCGAGAGATGTCACAGAAGCGTAAGAACGTGACGGATGACCCTGAACTCAGTCGTGAGGTTGGAGAACGTGCGAAGCTCAAGCGCGAGACGGAGGAAGATGATGAGCAAATACACAAAGGAAAGACGAAGAAACGCAAGGAGCGTGCTGCGAAAGAGGAGCGACCATTGAATCACGGAGCGCACGAAATGGCTCGTCAAGACGGCGCCGAGACAAAGATCGAGGGAGGTAAGTGCAGCTCATGGCCCCGTCACACTCCACACCCGCCCACAGCTCCACCTTCAATTTTCACTTTCACAAAAATGACTGACCATACCCAGCGGCTTCTCCAGTCTCCAAGCATCCGAAGAACGCCGGCTCTGATGACAGTTCCTCCCTCTCTCCTCCATCCATGTTGTCCCCCAACGGTGCCGCTGCCGGGGCAGATGGCGCGGCCGCGCCTGGGTCTCCCGGCTCGGATTCCAGCGAAGACTCACACCAGCCTGAACCCCAGCCCGCCATACCCCAAGTACAGATTTTCGGCGAGAACCCGCTGAGATTCGATGATCCGACCGTTTACCACATCCGAGACGTGACCCCAGACATGCCCGACGATGAGAAGAAGGAAATCTACAGTGTTGCCCGGTTCCCCAAGAGTGATCTCGTTCACATGATGGCCGGTGTTCCTCCAGACAAGGACTTCAGCAATGCCAAGCCGTCCAACCAGGTCAGCGCCAACACCTTCCAGGCCTACATTGAGCCGTATGTTCGTCCTCTTACCGAAGAGGACATTGCTTGGCTCCGGGAGAGAGGAGACCGTGTCACGCCTTTCATCAACCCACGCCGTGGGAAGAAATTCTACCGTCAAGTCTGGGCTGAAGAGGATGGAATGTCTTACGACTCAAGTCAAGATGATAAGGATCAGCTACCCTTGAACCAAGGACGAGGCAGCATCGATACTTTGACCGATGACAAGGCTGAGACTAGTGATGTTTCCATCGGCCCACTGCTTAGTCGTCTGTGCTCTTTACTCCGCTACGAGCACCGCACACTCCCGGAGGACAAGGACTCCGCGAACGGCGACACGGGGATGGGAGACGCAATGGACTTGGACCAACCCAATGGTGAAACGGAGGCCAAGGAAGACGGCAAGACCCTCCCACCCGCGACGGCATTCCGTGACGCCGATCCAAACGGATTCAAGACCTCCGTGGCCAAGCTCGACCACGCACAGCTCGATGAGCGCGCCAAGGCCGAGCTGCGATACATTGGCTTTCTCGGCGCAGATGACAACCCCGACTACGACGCACACTACGACGACGAAGTCGCCGAGCGTTTGCGCCTCCTTCAAAACGAACTCAAGAAGCAGATTGTCACCAACAACGCGCGCAAGGCCCGCATCCTCAAGATTGCCCAGGAGCACATGGCTCTCCTCGAATTCACCACCATCCAAGATGACCTCGACTCCCAGGTCCAACAGGCCTATCTTAAACGCACTCGTACCATGGGCAAGAGCAAAAAGGGCTCGCAGGCCAAGCACCGCCCCGGTGGTGCTGGTGGTGGTAGCCACGTTGCCGGCGCCGGAATCTCTCGACCTGCTGTGGGCGATGCCGCTAAGATCGTCATGGACCGACGTAAGCGTTGGAATGATGCCTTCTTGCCTATCTTCGATGATATCAAGACCACCATTCCGTCGGAGGGTGAAACTATCTTCGACCCTCAGGTGATGAGTGAATACGAGAAGGCCGAGCTGGAGGCTTGGGACGAGGAGTAAACTCACAATTCCTTCCTCACACGATACGATACGACTGGAACGACAAGGGGTCACGGCGTTAGTGAGTTTTTATATCTCTCCGGTTATAGTGGACCACCTGCGTCCGCGGTGGATTCGAAACCGACTTGATGGAGACGATTTTGTGCTTTAGTCTTCGCATCTTCAGGATGGAGGGTTCATTGTGGTTTCGCGCATTCTCGGTAGCTATTAGAGACACCGATCATATCAATAAACTGAAACAGTATTTCAACAACCTTCCAGCGCTGTAATTGATCAACTCAAATAATCAGGGTATCTATTAACTAGACTCAAACACATACACGGACAAAGTAATCACCGATGCACAATCAGTACCTCCCCAGGATACCGCTTCAATCTAGCCGTCAACTCGCGCTCACTAATCTCCAGCTCCGTGCAGATCTGATCAATACAATGCGTCCCGTCAAGATACTTCGACAACGTACGATCATCAATCTCTTCCTCGTCATCCTCAAATAATCCCGACGGCCCGCTCCCTCCTACTCCAGTCCGACTCCCACTTTGAAACGAGGCCGCTCGCTCACGGCTCGTCTCACGCCGAGCTGCCGATGAAATCGGCGCGTCTTCGCCCACACTAGACGCAGTATACGGCGTATTCGTCCCTGTTGTAGCACGAGACGACGGACCAGTCGAGTCTCGAGCAGGAAGGATAGAAGAAGAGCGTGCCGCGGATGCAGGTTGTCCCGTTGCACAAGCGTATTTATGCACGCGGTAAAGGAAGCCCTTAATCACACCGAAGGTAATAAAGCGGCGGATATCGATGTTGGCTAGTTCGCGACTGTGTTGGGAGTACCATTGCTTAACGCTCTGGCCCTGTTTCAGGCTTGCGTAGAGCTCGACAATGCCTATGCCATCGACGATGCTGGGGATTAGGCCTGCATGTGCTATGTCGTTGTCTAGTGTTTCGGGTGTGTACGGTAGCCCGTTTGTGTCTTCGTCGCCTAGTAAGGGCCAGATTTCTTCGGCGTCGAAGCGGAACTCGTCGCGCGATACGCTCGTTGCTGGGTCGGTAAGGGAGCCTACTAGGGGCCCGGCGCCGATACTGCTGCTTCCGCTGGTTCCTGCAGCTGGGACGGGGGGAGGGGTGAGCGGGGGCCGATGGCGGGATGTGGTGCGAAGCAGGTGTTTACGTAGCGTGCACATTCGAGTTGCATGGATTCGTCTGAGGCTATTGTGTTGCTAAATTGTGCTGTTGGCGCGTAGATTGCGGAGAAGGAAAAGATGTCTAGGATATATAGGCAGCCGTAGTATAGTAGGTGTCGAATTGCACGGCAGGTGAGGGAGAAGTCGGTGTCGGCTAAGATGGAGATGATGCGAACGCTATTAATGCCGTTGATATGGGGTACGATCTGCGGGATTGTGTCAGTCGATACTTCTGAGAGAGCCATACACACTGTAGGTTCATACCCGTTGCAATGTCAGGTCCCAATTCTCATCCATAAAGGCATGGTATCGCACTGTGAACAGAGGGACCTGCCAGGCCTTGACAGTCGGCGGAGAAGGATATATAGGGAACAACTTGATGTTCAATGTGTTGAGCTCATCTGTATTCAAATATTCAGTAACAGCGAAGCTCGAGTCCGACCCAAGACATACCAATGGGTATCATGCATTCGCAATAGTTGTTGAGGTCCTCCATCAGCATCTCGCAAAGACTATATACCTTGCCCTCGCCACTCTTCGAGAAATCTCGCGACAAGAACCCATTCTGTTCCTCCAGGGCATGCATCATATCGGCCAGCTTCTGCACCACACTCTTGTAGGTGCTGAAATCATCCTCCTCGGCCAGCACCACACAAAAGTTGAAGATGAACTCATTGCGGTCGTAGCGAGGGGACTTCATGCAGATTGGGTATCCCAAAATACGGTAACCATTGGTGCAGACCTGAAGGAGGTTGCCGCAGAGCTCCTGGCGCGGGATCACGAAAAACGAGATGTCAGAGAAAATTAAGAAGAGGGGCTGCGCGGGCGCGGTTGAGGAGGGGACAATAGCTCCATCGGGGACCTGGTGGACGACCTTCGGGCCTGGAGACGTGTTAGTGAGCTGTTCAAGAATCACGGGTGTCTAGGTGCCCTCTCACCCTCCTGGGTGTCGAATTTGCTGTAGAAGATGGCTTTGATCATGATGGAGCTGCGCGCATTGAAGCTAGGGATGAGGTCTACAGCACGGGAGCCCTGGAGAGATTGGACGGAAGGCTGTCTGAGTGTGTCACCCTAGCAATCAAGGCTTCAACATTATTGAGGGACAATTCGAGGTATGGTGTTCGGAGGTTGTGAAGTCCAAAATGCGGGCAGCGGAGGTGCTCTTATCGGTGGATCCACTGTGCTCCGCATGATTTGCAAGAATATATAGCTCCGCTGTGTTTCTTCAACCCAACATTGAATCGGTATAAACCATTGGCGACTCCCACCAATTGACTCGACTCTACTTACCGTTACGCGCCTGTGCCGGGGCCAAATCCACGGCTACGAAACCGGGTTCGCTTCTAGGCTGTTAATGAAACCTCTACGGGGTTGCAGAATTTACATCTGGAATAAAAAGAACATCAAGAACATCCACAGGTCTTACTGACTCCAGACAATAAACGGATCAGAAATAAGGTATCGGCTATCATTCGTAAGCAATAAATATGCAGCAAGTCGCCCAGGGTATTAAGTGAATCAGAACGTCATAAGTGATCGCTGGGGAAAATTTTCCGAAAGATCTATACAGAGAAAGCTATTCGGACTCCTGCGATAGTAAAAAAGCATGGTAGGGATAATAGCAGCAATGTAGATAATGGTGAGCAGAGAAACACCCGAGAAGGAGCCAGTCCGTGTCGGAGAGAATGCGAAGGAAATGCGCCAAGGAAATGCAGGTGTGGTCATATCGAGTCCTTTTTTGCGTCAGCGCGAGAAGCGCTGCTCATCGCGTGCTGGAGTGCGATCATGGGAGAACGGGCCTGGAGGTGAAGCGTGGGCCGGGATTTGCGAGCAGCCATTCTTCTGCAGCTAGAGTGGTGGCCGAAAGGCCCCGTACGCCTCGATCACTATGTCGGAGGTTCGCACTTGGGGGTTCAGGAAAAACGTTCAGTGGTTGATTTGAGCGAATGGCGTGCATAACCTCAGTGTAGCCCCCATCACGCTCGCCAGCCTCCTTGAACCACTGCTCCCAGTCCTCGTCGAGAGGTACATCATCGCCCTGGTCGCGTGCGACCATTGCGGCGCGCAGTCGGTTGTTCAGTTCCACGCCACAGCTCTCTACCTCTTCGTCACTGAGGTCATCTTCGAACTCATGCTGGCGGTAGTCGGAAGCGACACTCGAGCTGCGAGACTCGCTCGCACGAACAGTGTCATCGCTCCGGGCATCCATATTCAGATCTTGATCGTCATCTGGCAGTACATCCACACCCATGTGTGTTTGGATGGTGGGTGCGGGGGTCGGTGTCGCAGGTCGGACGTCCTGGCCAGTAGTATCCCGCACCGTTATTCCTTCCTCCATTTCGTAGCGCTGACGGGCCGACTTGGTACCTTCCCAGCAGCACAGCTCCGAGATCTCGTGTTCGGTCAGCTTGAGCGCGTCGAACACCCTGAATAGCCGTCGGTGCCAAGTGAAGCGTCCGAGTCGTAGGCGATGTGGGCCATAGGAATAGTCGAGTCCGGGGTACTGGGATTCGATGCAGTCAGGAGGACCGTAGAAGACGCTGGTCTCGATGCGAACTTCGGGGACAAGATGGCGGGTGATGTGAGCTGCAAAGGTCCCCGGGTCGCTCGGGCGAGAGTGAGGGAAAGTCGCGTTATACACGGACTGGGCAAGTGACGGTTTGCGCATGGTGAGGATGGAGGACTAAAGGAGAAGAGTACGAAGGAGGTCACAAAGGCTCTGAACGGCCCTAAATGGCCCTCAGCCGGAGAGTTGAAACGAGGCGAACCCCAAAGGGAGAGACCTGGAGCGGATGTGGGGTCTAGATGGAGTGAGGATTCATTAGGAGATTGAGTTACCCTGAGGGTGACGGTGAAGGATAGGCAGACTGTGCAGACTAAGGAATGAAGGGAAGGGAAGGGAAGAGGAAAGGAAGGGTCAGACTTGAAAAATGCCTTATGAAAGACCGTGTCACAACGGCAACGTGGACTGCGTTGTCAACTGCACCGCCAACACCAACAGTGGATTCTTCGCACGCACCAACTACACTAACCCGGACCCTAAAACCACACTTTACTACACTACACTAATCTGCTCCATGTCCACCTTTGACGGATTTGTCTCCGGTAGGTTGATTCCCTCCGATTGTGATCCCCGCTAACTCTGCTAGAATTTCCCGATATTCAGAGTCAGTATGACACCATGAGCGGAAATTACATTCCTCTAAGACATCAATAGTCGATTACTTCCGCAAGAGTCCCGACCGGCAGCCGTTGGCCTGCCTCCTAAGCCATGTCCATAGCGACCACCTACAGGGCCTAGAGTCCTTTCGGGCTCCTTTCATCTACTGCTCTCCAGCCACGCGCGAAGTATGTCTGCACCTAACACACCTAACACACCAACTCATCTAATACACCTAACATGACCCCAACTAACCCGGATACCCGCAGCTGCTGTTGCGCATTGAGAAGTACCCACATCGGATGAACTTCCACAAAGGCATTCTTGAATCTCGTCGCCTACACTATAAACATCTGGCCAAGTTACTGGTGGGCATCCGATCCGCGCGGTGTCATGGACTCTGCTCACGATTTCCCTAGCGACCAATCCCCTTGAACACCCCAACAGAGATCGAACTTACGCCCCGACGGCGTATTCGGGTCACTCTGTTCGATGCTAATCACTGCTCTGGGGCTGTGATGTTCCTGATCGAGGGAAATAACAAAGCGATCATCTACTCAGGCGACATTCGAGGTGAGTCTTTCGCTTCCCTTCTGTTCTACTGCTTACGTATCATAGCTGAAAAATGGTGGGTTGATAGCTTGATTCGGAATCCTATTCTGATACCGTATACCCTGGGTCATAAACGGCTGGATAAGCTGTATCTTGACACCACATTTGCTCAAAAATCTAATCCTTTCCGGGAATTTCCATCAAAAGCGGAAGGGCTTGCTGAACTCCTTCGCAAAGTTGAGGCCTACTCAGATGACACCGTCTTCTATTTCCGAGCATGGACTTTCGGCTATGAGGATGTCTGGTTGGCGCTCTCAGCGGCACTGGGGACCAAGGTTTGTAGAGCTTCCCAGGTGTTAGGCGACTACAAGTCGAGGTTGACGACTTCATATAGATCCACGTGGACCGTTACCAGATGGGACTCTATCGATCCCTTGTAAACATCTCCAGCAGCAGAGGTGTCAATGAAGGCCCGGCTCTCTGTGGCTTTGACCTAGGCAACAGGGCCGTGTCAGGATGCCTGAGCGATAGCGAGTCCAGCAGGATTCACAGCTGTGAGCCTGATGTATCATGCCGCACGGCCCAGGGCCCGAAAACTGTTTACATCATGCCCATTATCAATCGGACCAAGGACGGTGCCGAAGTTTCCGAAGTTGGGGCCGGTGGTGGAATTGGTGATCTTTATCAGGTCCACGAGCTCGAGTTGCCGGATGAGTCTACACTTGCTCAATTGGAGAAATTATGTCTCCAGCAAATTCCCGATAAGAAACGTTCATCGCAGATGCAAAAGGCACTCCTGGAAGCATTCCAGTCAAGGAAGAAGGCGCTGTCACTTGATATATATGGTGTAAAAGAAGAAGGCGATATGTCTCTCGAGAAGCTTGTGGCTATGCTCGGCCAGGGTGTGTTTGACCCAAGCTCCAAGCAGGACCTACCAAACACGATTGTAAGTTGTATCTATCCTTCCGGTGCGCACTATTCTGACCACGGCAAGCGATTTCCCTATTCCCGCCACTCCTCATATTCCGAGCTATGCGAGCTCGTGGCGGCTTTTCGCCCGAAAGACATACATCCTTGCACAGTGGATCCATCTACTTGGAACGAAGACGTCTCCATTTGTTGTCTTTTCGGTCACTTATGCTCAGGAAGCGACTTTGCACACGACAACTTTATGCGTCAAACCATCGACCAAACAGACGATGACGATGGTCAACGCTCTAAGAAGCGAGCCCGATATGAAGCAAACATTTCAACCGAGTCATCACAGTCCAGCGACGAGATAGAAGACCAAACAAGTACCGGCGACACAGAACACAAAGCCCACAGTGCCCTGGATGGTACCGTCAAGGAAACATCCAATATTAGCCAACCAACAGCCAACTCACAGCCCTCACTAGACTACGACCCAGAAAGAGCAAAACGTGCCGAAATTCAAAAAGCACACTTATACCTCCAAGAACATGCCGATCCATCAATCCTCGAAATTGGTCCCCTCCCACCCACGTCCCCAGAAACCCAAGCTAGAACACCAACCCCGAAACCGTTGCCCCACGTATCTAGTTTCACCTCAACTAGAGACGATGGCTCATCGCCCCGTCCACACGAACCTTCCCAAGTAGAAGACAGCCAACACACGGACCTACTCAGCCTCTCGATCTCCGAATCAGATCTCAATGCTTCGCCTCCCTCGGACATTAAACAGGGTCTAGAGAGTACTCAAGACCATACTGCGCGCAGGCGTGCTCGTGTTTCTGCGTACCTTGCTGCGAGAGAGGATAGTTGGGCTGATATTTCGCTAGTATCGGCGGGGGGTAATCATGCTGCTGAGGAGATGGAGTTGTAGGGTTTATTCTCAGGGGTTTACCTCGGTATAGAAATGAATGATGAAGATAATGAGCTATTATGTACCAATTGAAACTTCTATTCTATTTTTAGTCATTCTTTTGCTACAATTTGCAAGTTATCTGGTGGGTGAACTTTAATTTTCAAGGTTAAAACCATGTCAACGGGATAGATTTTGCTCTTGTCTATTCACCATAGACAACCACTAGGCACATGTCGCTAACAAATCAATGTTTGAGGAACTTGAGCCTCCCTTAGCGTGGGCCCTAACATTAAACCGGCCAATTCCGACCCAGGCCGAGGCGAGCGACGGCGTATCCACGGCGAAGTCCGCTGGGTCCCCTTCAAAAGTTGGCCGGCTTTCCGCCGAAATTACGTATAACAAATGGTCAAAGAAAGTCATAACGTTCGTAGCTAGCTACCTAATGCATAAACACGAACCTGAAAATAGCAGACGCTCGAGATGGATATTAAGTCGGAGGCAATGCTAGATATCAAGGTGAAGTGATGGGGATATAGAAGGTTAGAACAAGAAACGGGGAATGGGAAAAATAGGGAATGAGAGAATCAGATCAGGGGCAGCGATGTAAGTGTGAGACACAATTGCACAGGTGTTACATCACACAGGTCTAGAAGATGTAGTAGGCCTGCGTTAGTGGTAACTCGCTTGCGGGCTCGGCGTCGCACAGCATGCCGTCTGCTTCGACAGTCTGGTATTGGTGTTAGTGTGATGGGGATTATTTCGGCGGATGACTGACTTACGTAGCTCTCGGGGTCGACCTTCATCTTCGGCATTGTATCGTTGAACTTCATGTCCTTTTTGCCGACGGTGCGGCAGTTCTTGACGGCTTCAATGCGCTTACGTAGGCCGTAGGTTTGAACAATGCCTTCATCGATGGAGGCCTGGGAAACCCACATGATTGATGTGCTTGGGACGCGAGGCTAAATTGATCAGTATTTCCTAAGGAAATGAGTAGAAGTAGGAACATACCGCGAACATTGGTCGCATAATCATCGGCTCGATAGTCGGGATGGAAGCATTAGGGTCACCCTGTTCAAAATTAGACAGGCAATGGGAATAATATCAGGGGAACGTACCATTTCCGCAACGGCAATCATACCGCTCTTCAGAACCTGCACAGGCTTCGTACCGAAGGAGCTAGGTTTCCAAAGAACGAGATCGGCAATCTTGCCAACCTCGACACTGCCGATGAGGTGTCCCATACCCTGCGTCAAGGCCGGGTTGATGGTATACTTGCTAATGTAGCGCTTCACGCGGAAGTTGTCGTTTTTGGTGCCTTGGTCCTCGGCCAATTGACCACGCTGCTCCTTGTTCTTGTGTGCAGTGTGCCAGGTACGCAGGATGACTTCTCCGCAGCGGCCCATGGCCTGAGAGTCTGAGGACATCATACTGATAGCACCCAAGTCATGAAGAACGTCCTCGGCGGCGATGGTCTCTGCTCGGATGCGGCTCTCGGCGAAGGCGACATCCTCGGGAATATTCTTGGACAGGTGATGGCATACCATCAGCATGTCCAGGTGTTCATCGAGGGTGTTGAGGGTGAAGGGTCGAGTTGGGTTTGTACTGCTGGGAAGCACGTTGGGGTGCTCAACGACCGAAATAATGTCAGGTGCGTGGCCACCGCCTGCACCTTCGGTGTGGTATGTGTGGATCGTGCGACCCTTGAAAGCCTCGATCGTCTGCTCAACGAAGCCAGACTCGTTCAGTGTATCTGTGTGGATCATACACTGGACATCGTAGTCATCACAGACTCCCAGACAGTTGTCAATGGCAGCCGGGGTGGAGCCCCAATCCTCGTGCAGCTTCAGACCAGCTGCACCTGCCTTGATCTGTTCCACGATACTAATGGGTCCACAATCATTACCCTTGCCGGTGATTCCAATATTGATCGGCAGACTGTCGCAAGCCTGCATCATCTGGCGCAGATGGTTCGGGCCGGGCGTGCAGGTCGTAGCGTTCGAACCAGTGCTAGGACCAGTGCCACCGCCAAGGAAGGTCGTGATACCAGAAGCTAGAGCCTCATCCACCTGTTGCGGGCAAATCAAGTGGATGTGCGTGTCGAAACCACCAGCGGTAATAATCTTGTTCTCGCCGGCAATCACATCCGTGGAGGCACCCACCACCATCTCCGGGTGCACGCCTTCCATAGTATCCGGGTTTCCAGCCTTTCCAATTCCAGAGATGAGGCCGTCCTTGATACCAATATCTGCTTTATAGATACCAGACCAATCAATGATCAGCGCATTCGTGATAACCGTGTCCAAACACTCAGCCGCAGAGCGACCAGATGCCTGCGCCATTCCATCACGGAGAGTCTTGCCTCCACCAAAAGCACACTCATCTCCGTAATGGGTCATGTCCTTCTCTACTTCAATCCACAAGTTGGTCAAGCCCAGGCGCACCAAATCTCCAGTAGTCGGTCCAAACATGCGAGAGTAGGCTTCACGCTCCATGGAAAATCCAGTAGTCAAAACAGCATCGGCTGTCGGCTCGGGTACATGTGCAAATCCTGCAGTTTGCAGTTTCGTCACGATCTCATCCACACGACTCAAATCCACGGGACCATTGGCCAGCCAATTGCCTCCACGAATCACCTTCTTGCCGCCAATCTCAACCAGAGTGACGGTCTTGGTATCGCCGGGCTCGAATCGAATGGAAGTGCCGGCGGCGATATCCAGTCGGTATCCGTATGCCTGGACGCGATCAAAGTGCAATTGTGGATTCGTCTCAATGAAATGGTAGTGTGATCCGACCTATCACTCTCCGTCAGTATCTACCGTCTTGTATGTTAGGTATCCTATACATACCTGAATCGGTCGGTCACCCTTGCTCATAATTTTGAGGCGAATACGCTTCCGTCCATCATTCAACGCAACACGGGCACTCTTCAACGGGATCACGGCGCCGGGCATCTTCTCGGGCATGAAGTCCTCGGGATCGGGATCGGGGAATGCCTCGTGCGAGGGAACAGGCAGGAAGCTACTATATAGCGCACGCTCGAGATCACCCTCATCACTACTGATGGGGTGATGCACAGTCACCAGGTAGGTCCCACTCGGGAAGGTACCCTCGACCTGCAATTCGACCAGGGTCGCAACCACAGACGGTAAGACATGACGACGACCCAGCATAGTCTTGCCAATGGACATCAAATCGGCAACCGAGTAATGGCCATCACGGATAAGCTATCGGAAGCAGGATTAGCAATGCCGATCTACGGCATTTGCGAAAAAGAAAAGAAAAGTGGGGATCGAACCTCGTGCAGAACAGATGAAATCAAGGCCTGTTGGACATTAGCGCGTAGTTATCTATTGGAATAAGTAGAACATACCACTGCTTCGGCATGATTCAATCGGACACCTCGGGCCAGGCGACGTTGTGCCAGAAACCCGAGGTGCGCAATAGTGAGCTTGTCGAGCTACCAATAATCAGTGATATTACATTTGCGACGGGCTTGGCTGGCACGACCTACCTCCTTCGGAACAAGCTGCATGACGCAGGTGGAACCGGGGCCTGGGAGCTTGGCGAATGATTCGAGTCTTATTCAAGACTCTATAGAAGAATCCTCAACGGTGTTAGGTTAGGTTCCAGGGAATTATAAAGAACGAAAAGAATGTGGGGTGAAGAGCAGTTCAAAAGTGCCAGGCCAACTCCGATAACGAAGATAAGGCAAGTACCGCGTTCGCCGATTGGCGTGTTGTTGGGCGGCCCCAGCCGTGTTAGTCATTCATCGTTGATTGCTTATTGATTACTTGACTCCATCGCATTGGTGGGGAAATACAACTTATGCACTGCACTTATATAAAACCAAGTACCATGTAGCAAATACTATAGCAATATGTTCCTATTGAATACACTTTTCAAAGACGCCCTTGAACCTTGAACCTTGAACCATTGACATAATCCCCTAAACCAACTTCAACTTGATCAATTAAACCTCGCTCTTGCGCTTCTTGGTGCGGCTGCGCTTCTCTGGCAGCTTCTCCTTGAGCGGAGTGGGCTCGGCTGCCTTGCCTCGTCCCTTCTTTGCGGGAGTGACAGCGGGTATGGGTTCCTTGGCCACCTCCTTGATAGCCTTGGCGTCACTGCGACGGCGCTTGTTGGTGCTGCGCGGGGGAGTCTTCTCCTTAACCGGCTTAGGCGAGGGAGACTCTGATGAAGATTCCTCGTCCTCATCGTCAGAGGAGTCCGAGGCTTGGGTCTCAGCACCAGCAATGTCCTGCTGCAGCTGCGAAGCGGCCGGGTCGGTGTCCTCGGTGGGGTTCTTCTTGGACTCGTCGTATGCGGCCTTCGCGATCTTGTACCGCTCGTAGTTCTCGCCGTAGATGGACTTCCAGATCTAACCGTGTGTGTTAACATGGGTGATACGCGTTTCAATTGATGATACAGCGGTATTGACGTACCTCCTTCTCCTTCAAATCCATCTCCTGCCAGCGGCGGGTTCCTTCGTCGGCGATAACCTTGGGCTTCGCTTCAGAGCCAAGGTCCTCGGCGATCTTGGGGCGGTTGTTCTGCATATACAAGAAGTACGGGGTGAGAGGACGCTTGGGCGCATTTGGGTCAACGGGCGCGCGCTTGCGCTTCTTGCGACCGCCAGCCTCGGACTTGGCGCCGACACTACTGGCGCGGGGAACAAAGTCAAAGTGGCTTAGGCCGGCGGGCACAATCGGGAGATCGATGGCGGCAGAGGTGCCGTTGATTATATTGTTGACATGCTCAACATAGGCCTTGCTGAAGTCGGCAATTTGGGCCTGAATGGACATGCTCCACATGATGATCTGTGAAAACGTCAGCTTCTGTGTTACGCGCTCATGATACCCGGCAATGGCTGTGTTGCGGTGCATGGACATGCTGAATGACAGGGGTGGTGGGGTTGAGACCACTCGAAGCTTTTCTATAAGGAAAAGCACGCGCAGGACGCGACAACAAAGACCAGACCAACGCAACACAACTAAGGTACTTAAGGAACATGAAACTAAATCATCAAAGCATTGTACAGGTCCTCGGAGCTTCGAGGTCTCATGGCACCCAAGTAGCGTGGGGAACAAAGCTCTGTTTATATGCGTCGCGTCGCGCGCCCACGATCGACTCCAGGTAAAGAAGGCGCGCGACGAACCAAATTGCAAGAAAAGAAGGAAGTAAAATATCTGAAGAAATAAAACTTACAGCATCTTTAGAGGAGCGAAGCTCCTCGATATTGACGGCCACAGAGGCCTCGGAGTCCTTGGAAGTCATCGTTAGGGTGTTTGGGGGGGGGGCAGGTGGTGAAGAAAATTTGTTAAGAAATGGGGAGGGCGAGGGGGTTTCACCCCCGAGAGCTCCGGCATGCCTGGGAGGCCCCGCTTTGGGCTTAGGCTCTGGTGCGTGCTTCTCTGGTGTCCTCACTTGGGTCACGGTCTCACCTAGGCTTGCACAACACTCAGGCTGCTCAGCCCACCTCCCCTCTCCAGGCATTGCCTAGGCGTGCGACCCATAAACTTGGTCCTCTCCGTTGCGTATTTCACTACGCTTAACTGCTGCGCACGGGTTTTCGCACTTCTTAGTTCTTTACCTATTCTTTACTTTGATCTTCTCAAATTATCTGCCTTTTTTTCTTTTTCCCAATGTGTAGCCCTTTTTGTTCCAAGTCGGTTTTTGTCAATTTTGTGAACCGAATGAGGAATACATATATGGGCTCAGTTTGCGCCTGCGACCTGCTTACAAGCAGGTACCTGTTAACTGGCACGTAACCACGTACGGGTCAATTCAAATCCAGAGAAGAAGCGATACAAGTAGTTTCCTGATATCCAATGTATTCGAAAATGGATTGTGCAACCTTTAGGCTTGAAACATCAATAGCGAGTACCTTTCCGCGTAGATTGAGCTTGCCATACTCCCCCAGGTGCTGTGTGCGATCCCCCGGCCGGGCGCTTCCCGACCGCGGGAGGTCGCACCTAAGCCCAAGAAGTTACGCCCAATCTTTGTGCACAAAGTCAATATATACAGATTGTATCTGTTCACCTGGACAAGCAATTACGAGGTAGATGGATAACTAATTGACAGCTAATTTGACATATATTGAGATCAGGTATTCTATGGCATTTACCCTGGCTAATGTTACCGGGGAATGCTGACAAATAATGCATCATTGTACACAGCCATGTCGCATACGGCTCTATATTCTACAATGCTCTAAAACTTGAAAACCTGCTCCTTGTCGTAGCCAAGCTCCTTCAGAACACCGGAAAGCTCGCCCTGATCCTTGGGGCTGACCTTACCGCCAGAAATGGCCTTGTACAGACCCGGGGGACCGCAGACGAAGAGCTTGATGTTCTCCTCCTTGGGCTCGGGTAGAACAGTCTTCAGCAGCTCCTTGTTGATAAAGCCCTTGCCGCCGGTCCACTCCTTGGGAGGGTTGTCGAGGACGTAGAAGGCGCGGAAGCGCTGGGGGTAGGTGTTCTCGAGATCCTGGAGCTCCTTCTTCAGGAGAATGTCGTCCTCGTTGACATTACCGAAAACAAGAGTAACCTTGGTGCGGTCCTCGGAGTTCTTGAAGATCTGGCGGGCCAGCTGGTACATGGGGGTGATACCGGTTCCACCGGCGATCAGGGCAACATGATCGTGCTTGTTAGCCTCCCAGGGGTACTTGGGAAGAGGACCCTTGAAGGACAAGCGCTGGTCGACGTTCAGGGAGTGGATGTGCTCGGACATGGGACCGTTGGGGTAGGACTTGACCACGAGCTCGAGGTAGCCGGGAGCATCTGGTGATTTGCCATTAGCGTTGAACAGGGCGCAGAGTATATTGGTACGCACCCTCATCACTGACAGGGGTGTAGGGGCGGAGAATGTTCTTCTCAGCACCGGCGGGCTTGAAACGGGTCAAGATAGCAGCTGTGTTGGGAGGTCAATAGAGGGACAGGAATATTTCACTGAAGCAGACTAACAGGTGATGGGAAGACCAGAGACAGCCTCCTTGTCCTCAAACTCGAAGCGCAGCTTCTTGGTGTTGTGGCTGAGAGTCTCAATGCTGGCAACCTTGAGGTCAACCCAGTCCTCGCCGTTGAAGACCTTGGGGCGGTCCTTGAGCTCGATGGGGGCGCTGGTGCCGTAGTAACGGTACAGACCGGCACCGACACCAGCAAGACCGACACCGACGTAGATTGGGGTCAAGTTGGACTTCGGGGAGGAGGGGGAGGCGGAACGGCAGCCTCGGCGGCCTTGGGGGCCTCAGTAGAGTACTTGCGGAAGCTCTATTACAAATAGTTGAATTAGTCCCCAGCAAGCATTTCTGGCTTGAATTTTGTGCTTACCTGCTTCAGAGGAGCCGCACAGCGGAAGGTTTGACGGGCGAACATGATTGCAAATTAATTGAATCGATGAGGGTGGGAGAGAAGGGAAGGGGAAGGGAAGAAATCGGGATCCCATGCGAAAGCGGACAAGGGCAGTAAGCACGTCCTAATTTCGGATGACGCAATAGCTGTTCCTGGGACACTTGCGCAACTCGCGGATATATGTACACTTATCTCGGTTATTGCTCGGGCCAATTACAAAGGTCTCCAATCTTTTAAAAATGGGGTTATCATATGTTGCCCCGGGTTTACTCTGGTACAAGCCTGTGAACCGGCCTCCTCGGGCCAGGGTTTAACCGGGCTTGGGGCCTTTTCAACCCCCAATGTCAGCATGGAGTCGCTTTCCATTGGAAGGTACCAAAGGGAGTGATTGACATGACTGTAGGTCAGGATTTGACAAGTTAGGTTTGCTCAGATCTCTGCCAGATGGGACGAGGACCTGAGACTACCTTATAACACTGTCATCGGCAACCCGCGAAGTCGTCTCAATGTACCGTCTACAAAGGTGCTCCGTCCGCGGTGTACTGATATCTACAAGGAAAGATTGAACCCGATGATTTTTTGCATTTAAACCTCAGACGCCCCTACACGGGATTAGAGACATCTAAACCATCTCCCATAACTGGGTACAAAACAGGCCGAATCCTAGCGGCCAGTCTTTTAATGCATGCCATGGCCGTAACACAGTTATTCATCCACACACTCCATCCCCAGAACCCAAAAACATCGCATTTAAGCAAAGGTGGAGGGACGCGAGTAGGCGAACAGCTTCTTGCCGGGGTTGGCGGAGCGGTGGGGCAGAGGGAACTTGAGGTCCTTCTGGAGGAGCTGCTTGATGTAGGGGCGGCGGATGCTGTCAGCATCGGTAACCTCGACAACCTTCAGGATCTGTAGAAATTAGTTAGAATGTGTTTCGATCGTAACAGTGTACAGATTGCATACGTGGATGGAACCGAAACGGGCACGGTGGCGGGCGGCCATGTCCTGGTAGAGAGCCTCAACGGCCTCAGTGCGGGACATCTCGCGGAACTCCTTGTACATGTTGTGGGTACCGGAGCGCGAGTCGTAGCGGAGCCAGATACCGAAGTTCTTGACCTTGAGGGGGCGCTTCTCGTTGATCTGAAACAGAATCAGCAGTCGTTCCGGGACCCTCGGATTCAGTCGATACATACCACGTTCAGGCTGACGATCTCGCCGTTGGCCTTCTTCAGCTTGCGAAGCTGAGCAAGGAAGTACCAGAAGCGGGACTTGGCGACAACGGTGTTGGGCGCAAAGATGCGCATGCGGTACAGCTTGGGCGTGGGGTTCGCCTCGGAGGGCAGGTGACGCCCGATAACCTGGTACTCAGTAAGACGCCCTGTAATGAATTCGTTAGTCATGGCTCCGTTTTGTTCTTAGATTAATCCGCATCTGCTCGATTGACGGGAAACGGTGTGCGATCGCGGTTGGTGAAAGAATTGGAAGGCGGAAGGGAGCGAAAGGTTCGAAGTGAAAAATTCAAGAACTCGACATTCTCGACCGACAGCGTTGTGTGAAGGCGTCCTGTAACCGCCTTATCATTTCTGATAAATCATTTCTCCTCCATGTACTTGGATCTTCGTGCCAATGTCGTGATGTTGTCGCAAGTTATCGTTCGCATGAAATTTCGTCCGACCGTTTGCACACACCGTGACCGTATCGAGAGAGCGCTGGATTTCGAGAAAAAAAGTGACACGTACCCATCTGTACACAAGTTAGTTAGCAATGAATTCGTCGGCAATGGTATAGGGGGGCCACGTACTGTGATTGTCGCTGTGGTGGTTGAGTCGTTAGTGTGCCGTCGGGGAGAGAAATCTAAGATTGTGTTGCAATGTGCTTAGGGCTACCGCCCTTCGGTTAAGCGAGTGGGGCATTGTCTTATGTAAACAGACACCTGAGGTACAAATATCGGGACAAGTCACCGCCACAGTTCTGCCCTTACAGCCACACCGCCCTGCCCCACTGCTGTTGCTTGCTCTAGGTGTACCTACTACTCACATAGCTAGTGACGACTCCCGCCTGGTACCCACCTCAAGAACCCAAGCACCTTTGTGCCCTTCGACTATCAGATCATCTACAACTGAGTTGGAAACTTACCCCGTGGGGGAATCACATCATGAGCACTCTTGCAGGCGAGTTCAAGAGCGCCTACTCTGCTGGCTCCGGCGACGCTCTTGCAGCAGTATTCACACCGATCGGAACCCAAAACAAACCCTACCGGTTACAATCGTTCTACGACTTTACAAATGCTGCATCCCTACAGAAAGACCTGTCCTTTGCGCTCTTTCACGGCAAGAGTCTGAAAGTACCCCGAGCCGAACAAACCGCGTGGGTCGACATCTTTGCCGCATACTGGGAAGCAGTTGGGGAGCTGCTGAAGTACGAGCAAGACTGGCCTGGTGCGAGCCTTGTTGCAATCTTCACTGCATGGAAGAAGGTTGCCAATGCGCTGATTCGGGGTTATTCTTCATCCGCCGGTATCCCCGCCTGGACTTTGCCTTGCCTGTACACGGTGGGCAAGTACTTGCGCACCTTTGCGATCAATGCCGATATCAAAGCAGCTCCACAGGGAGCTTCAAGCTTCGGGTTCCAAGATGATGTTGCTGCTGATATTGAGAAAAATGCGCACCTGGAGGAGGCTGCTCGCATCATTAATCGAATGTTTACTTTATGTCTCAGTGATCGGTGAGTAACTACTTCATTGCTGGCTGATAACCATGCTAACAAACTCAGGGCACCAATGGAGGAATCGCGTAAGTGGGGAATTTATCAAACGACGAATTTGATCTTCAAGACTTACTTCAGGGTACATAAACCAATCTTGACTTACCGGGTACAAACTAACTTCTATAGATCAACTCGGTCGGCCTCACTAAAAACCTTCTTCGCGCAATTAATGCCCAGTCAGCCGATTTGCCTCCGCTGGAAGCATTTCCCAAGTCCCATATCGTCACCTTTGAATACTATGTTGGAGTTATCCACTTTTTGGATGAGAACTATGCAGAGGTTCGTGAAGATGCATTCTTTAGGGTTATCGGTCTAACTCAATTAATGCAGGCCGAGAAACATCTAGCAACTGCTTGGAGCATGTGTCACCGAGGAGCATCCAAGAATCGAGAGTCAGTAAATGCTCTTTCCTTCTACGAAACTGAACTGACTGAAACAGGTTGATTCTGACATACTTAATCCCATGTCATTTGGTTACAACACATACCCTCCCTAGTGACCAACTCCTCGCTCCGTTCCCACGCCTGGAGAAGCTCTTCCGTCCTCTGTCCAACTGTATTCGGAAAGGGGATCTGGTCGGATTCGACAAAGCCATGTCTGCCGGCGAAGAAGAGTTCGTCAAGAGACGTATCTACTTGCCGCTGGAGCGTGGGCGCGATATTGCATTGCGTAACCTGTTCCGAAAAGTGTTTATTGTAGGAGGGTTCGAAGAGGCTAAGGAGGGACAGACTTCCCTTCGACGAACCCGTGTCCCCGTGGTGGAATTTGCGGCTGCCTTGAGAATTGGTACTCACGCTACCGGCCGGACACGGATTGATATGGATGAGGTGGAGTGCCTTTTATCTAACCTTATCTATAAGGTCAGTCCCTGAGCAATGCTGATACATACCGGTCTTTTACTAATGAAGCAATCAATAGGGACTGATGAAAGGTTACATTGCGCGCGAGCGAGGCATTGTCGTTTTGAGCAAGAACAACTCTGCTTTCCCAGGAACTGGCGTCTAAAATTTATTAAGCATCGCTCGAAAACATAGACTCGTCTTTTTTGACGAGGAAATACACAATCTGATACCCCGTTCAAACCCCAAAAGCTCAAATCTCAAACTTAGAGTTGATCTAGCAAATTAATGATCCCCATTGGCCCATTCGAATAGTTTCCTATGGCCTGCCGACGCCTTGTGCTCGAAGCAACAGACCTTCAATGAATGGAAGTTAAATACCGGAAAGCACGCGAAAACAATCGTCTTATCTAGACAGCTACCAATAGATTGAGTCTTTGTTGTACGAGTCGAGAAACATTTATTATACAAAATCCCAAAGTTTACACCTAGTAATACAAGGGTATAGAAACCAAATACAAACGCAAACCGGAAGCAGAAACCGACCTTATAACTAGAACTCCACCTACCACGCCACCTGAGCCACAGAACTACAAACTGACAATTGTGCCGGGAAGACATCATCCTGTCAACACGTTAGCCTGAAACCCATCCACCAAGCCAAGGGGGACATGGAATACCAACCATATGGTTACACATAGCAACAAACAAATCAAAAAACAACTTCCCACCTGATTCCATCTCCATCTGCATAGTCCCACTCCGCTTAAACGTACCCCGGCTCCGGATGATCAGGGCCAGGTAATGCGCCCGCAGCTTCGAGTCCGAATCCGGTGTATTGGCGTATGCATATCTCGCGCTCGACAGGATCGTGTTGCATTGAATACCTGTATGCAAGCCCTGTTTACGGAGTGCGAGGCGTTGGAGGGTTGGAAGGTTATATTTCTCAGCGGCGCAGCTGGACTCAATTAGCATATCTCTCAAGGATTGGGAATCGGAGTTGGTTTACTAAATTGCTGTATCGCGGAGGATCGCTGTCCTCGCGGCATGATGATATACCGTCGCACCAACGCTCTGGCCTTCAGAGTCGATCGCGCCATCTTCTAATTCCCATGTCTGGCGCTGTGAGTTTCGTTGGAGGCGTGGGTAGTAGTCGCCTTTGTAGAGGTATTCTAGGACGCAGGAGAGGACCTCGGGCTGTTCTTCTGGGAGTTCGATGTGTTTGCCTGGGTGTTGGGTGAGGTGGGTTCTCATGGGCGGACTGGGTCTTTGCGCTTGGCATTTTGTTGCGAAAAATGGGGATGCGCTGAGAATTGCTTCGTGCGCTGCGAAGAGGCGCTTTTCTGGACCGACGCGGAGGGTCACAATGGGGGAGGTGGATGGAGACGGCGTTCTTTTTAGGGTTAGTTGTCGTCTTTAAGGTTGTCTATGAGGGATTGAGCTACTTACGATGCGTCAGGGGGATTTGCGGGCCTTCGATGACGCTCCAATCGCCGAGAGGAGCCGGAGCTGGAGCTATCTCGAATCCTGCGAGGTCGGGCCACTGTCTTTGTGGCGCGGTACCTGGTGAAGTTACCAGAGGGAGTATGGGGAGGTCTTTTGGACAGCATTGTGATTTCTATCTGGTGGGAAAAGGGAGATATTGTACAGAATTGGGAGGAGGATGCGACTCAGGGGCTGGCGATGCTATTTATAAGGGGGCAATATGACCTGGGTGAAATGATCATGTCGCAGGTGGTATAGTTATGACAGTAATGGACAGTGACAAGCCCCTAATCTTGCCTGAAAGGGCAGTAGATGGAGGTCGACGCGTCACAAAGCAGTTTGAAACGCGTAAAGTGGGCGCTTTCCGTCGCCAAATGAGCGCGTGATCACGGGACCGTGGACCCAATAGGAGGAGCTGGGCACTACGCTATTTCTACCTAAGTGGAGATCGGGAAATGAATGGGAAAAAAAGGAAAAACAAGAGCTGAGCATGTGCATCTGTCTTTACTATGTACAGCTTGTTACGCAAAACGCCATCTCAAACGCCATCCCATGTGTGAATCCCATAAACCCTGAAATTCCCGGTCAAATGTCGTGAAAAGAGAAAAGTCATCAAAGGAACACCTTGCGGGCGTCCTTGGGGGAGCTCTCGTTAGGGCAGTAGGGACACTTAAACCGATTGCCCTTGCTGAGCCGACGCAGAGAGTCCTCGGCAATGACGTGCCCACATGGCATCATCATCGGAGGGTTCTCATCGGTTGCCTGTTCTTTGGAAACAGGGCAGACAAAGATTGAGTGGAACAGGTAGGAGGGCGGTAGCGAGATCTCAACCTAAGAGTGGATTAGCGTGGGGTTTGGGTACTCCATTGAGAGTCAACTTACAGGAAGCTCGTTCTCACTGGTCCACTCAGTGCGCTTGGCCTTCATGATGGTCTGCAATTTTAACAGAGTAGGCAGAGCGATAGCACCGGCGGTCGCCGCAATGTAAAGAGGTGAGTCCGCAGAGAGGCCCAGAAGAGAGCAGAACTCGCGGGTAAAGAAGTTGGCAACATCGTCCCAGGCGGACGAGTTGTTGAAGATGCTCGCATACGGCGAGTCTCGCAGGTTAGGGCAAAAGGCCATGGCGCCGATCAGTTGCTGGACTTCTCGTAGGTAGCGCGGCGCAAATCCCTGGAACTCAGCTTGCGCATACTGCATTGCCGCTTTGACGTTGCCTGATTTATTACCATGCTCGTGTGATTCACCGTGGTAAAGCCAGACAAATTGCAATCGGCACAGCTCAAACTCCAGGTTGCTTCCCCTTGCGTCCAGGGCTTCATGGTTCTCGCGCGACCATTCAATGGCCGGTAGCAAATTCTTTTGTTCCTTCAGTTCGTGTAAAATATAGTACATCTGGCCGAACTGCTTGCGGATCTCATCGGAGGGGACTTCGTCAATGTCAAATACGATCGCCGCCTGGTCTGTCGAGCAGACAGTCGATTCGGAAGTTTGGGTCATGGCTTTCTTATCAAGGATGTCGGAGAGAAAGGTGGCTGCGACGGAGAACTGACCCTCACGGAGAAGGTGCATAGCAATCGCACGGTCGATGAGGTGTTCTTGTTCGGAGAGGACGTCGTGTTCCGTACTTGGAAGGGGTCGGTCTTTGAAGAGCTGAGGGAGTCAAAATGTGAGCGGGGCATCATAAGAAGTGAATTTAAAGGTGCAAATACCTTGTCGAGCGACTTGGTGTACTTATTAAGGCCGCTATGGGTTTCTTTGAGGCTATCGTTGATTGCCTCGAAAGATGATTTGACGGGATTTTGAAGTTTCGCAAGAGTTACGGCAGCCTGGTTCGGGTCTGAGGCGACATAGATGTATCAGTAAACGTATGCTGAACATAGCCCGAGTTCTGTCGCCAGGTGCGACATGGACAGTCCGTCAAATGGGGTTAACTGACCTTGAGCAATGGCATCCCGAGCCTGCTGTAGTATATCTATGGTAGACTGGACATTCTTAATGCCCTGGGAGGCCTTCAGCCTCTTCTGCAGCCTGTCGTGCTCTTTCTGTACTAAATCCATGCTGGCTCAGGCAGCGGATACTCAATGCGGAGTCGATGAGGTTACCGCCCGACAAGCCAGCGGTTGCCCATATGGAGAAGGGCTGAAGATGGGCTCTCTAGTCACAGTTAAGGAGCCCCGGAAGGTCGAAATGGTGCTGCATGGGTCTAGTCGGATATTGCTGAGGGAGTTGAATCGAGTAGAACGTATAATGGCCGTTGTCACCCGGATGCTGAGCTATTCCGGCGGGTGATCGCCGTTCTTACGACATAGGCACGTGACCCAATAGATTACCCCTCTACCAGGTGTGGAATGTGCCAAACAGGTACAACTTGGGGGAGTAAGGGCGCATGTTCCCTTTACACTAAAGCTACCTAGACATCACTTGTTCGGAGGGCTGTCACTGCAGGGGCAATTGCGCATAGTTGCTATGTTTGTCTGTCCTGGGAGCTCCAGAAAGCACTAGACCTGATCAGGTGAAGCCCAAGTAAGACATGACTCATCACAGGTCACATGACCGATGGCCCTCGCTTGCACTAGCGCGGCCCCCGCCTATAAATATTTGCCTCTTCCCGTTTCCTTTCCTCTTCTTTTTTCTTTTCTTCTTTATCCTAGTGCACGGGTTTTACACGTATCAGTGAGGAATTATCCGAGATCGTGTTTTTGCTAGTTGAAAACTACCAAACTGACCACTCCAGTTGGTCCTTCGGGATCGTCTGGGAATTTTTGAACAAATTAAGTTGCCCTGATCTCCTTGACTTCGGTCATCGAGTCAGACCGGTGCTCGCTGTGCCTCCAAGCCCGAGCACTGGCCCGGTCTTCTTTTCACTACCGTTGTCACCCAGGTTGGTGGCCTGTAGAGAAGAGCTCAGTCCCTGTTCCCTTTTGAAATTCGTAATGCTTCTGCATCCCCGTAGAAATATTTTGTTTTGCTGTTCAATGTCTGTATCGCGTCAGTATTGGATCACGCTCGATTAGCTCCCTCAAGGACCTCGTTTGCTGGTTTGACCCTGGCGGACCATTCTTGCGTCGTGTACACAGCCGCCAGCTAGATCCTGAATATGATGCAAATGGTCCTCAATAGGCGTCCCTTGACTGGTCCTACCACAAGGTATTTATATCCATTTAGAAGGATATGTTGAGGGAGAAATAAGAAAAGCTGTAGAAAGAGCTCTGGAGAGATGCCCTGAAAGATATTGAGAAAGAGCTGAAGATTGTCTGCCTGGGCCGTCCATGCGCGCAACCCTTGATATCCAACCTCTAAGCTTGGCACTCACCGCCCGCTTTCCCCGTGACGTCGACCTTTCTGCAAGTTGGAAAGGGTCCAGCGAGCTTGCATATATTCGCACCTGGCCTGCAAAGACTTACTCACTGGTTTGTCTGTCACTAGAATATGTCTCGAGAGTCCTCTTCAGGATATGCTCCCTTTGTCCCTACCTGACAGGCATTGAAGGAGGTTTGAAGGTCGGTGATCCGACTTGAGAGAGGCAGCTGGCTCATGTGGCTCAAATGCTTCTCTGTCGATAAAAACTGATTCATTTGGGCTACACACTGTTTCCCAAATTACGACACAGCTGCCATGCAGACCAATACTTTAACTGCCTCTGCACCTGATGGTCGCGACGCCGTGAAGCTTTCGGATAGCATCAGGGGAACCCCCGCCGGCAACATCAATAGCCATGACCGCCAGATACCTCATGGTCATCAGAAGCTTATCTTCACCGACCCGGTCGCTCTCCGATACCTCGAAGAAGATCCCTCCACTGATGTCCTCCACCGCCGATCGACCCTGGAAGGCTATGAGATCTACATCGTTGAACAATGGGCCTGCTCGCGTATCCATCCTACATTCGTCATCTCGACATACACAGGTGACCCGTCACACAAGGTGGTCGTGGGTGTGCTCAGCGTACCGACGGACGAGACAACATGGTCGCCTCGGCTGCGAATGTACTTCGATGCAGTGAAACAATACCATGCTCGGAAGAAGGAGACTGCTCTGGGAACGGTGATGGTCACAGACTTGGGCTCATTTCCATCTGCTTTGACAGTCATCCCGGTCCCAGAAGGCGACATCAAGAAACACAGGGAGGACTTTATCGTGAACGAGAACCTGAAACGGCTCGGCTGTGCTGGTCGCGCGGGCTTAAAATTACAAACCCCTGCAGCAGCGACGGAGGCGAAGTTTCACCAGCTTTATCGGACGAGCGAGAGAGTGCCGCTCTACAATGCTGTCATCGAATTGGTCAAGCAGTGCCAAATTGCCTTGATGGTATTTGACAAACTAGCCCCCGAATTCGTGGACGGCATGCTGTGCGATGTGACCGAAGCGGCCATTAATGACTGGTGGACAGACATCGGCACCGATCTATACAACATCGAACCAAGCGATGGCGTCTTGGGACCTACAAGTGTGGCCGCTCTACTGGGCACGCTTTTAGGTGCTCGGAATCGACTTAATGCCTACGGAGCCCCCGTGGGGAAGGATGCTTTTGACATCGATAATCTGAAGAGAGGGATTGGCGGGTTCCAGAAATCCCAGAAGATGAACAAGTCACGAAGACTGGACCGGCGAACGCTGGAACGTTTACATCGCGCTACCTCCAAAGCTGCAAATGCTGAGGGCTGGACCGACGCCGTCAAGTCAACTATGGCGGAGCTTAGTGGCCAAGGAGGTGAGATGGTCATGGGCATGGTGCGTGGACGTGAGAAGGGTGGCATTGCCGACATCGAGACCCTTGATCTTGATACCTTTGTTCAGTGCTGTTATGGAGCGAGGGCCAAGTGGCTATGGCTTGGAAAGCCGCGCAAAAGTGGTCCCACTCCCGGCTTCGCCGGTAGGGAAGCAGATATGATGTTTACAACCGACGATCAAGGTGGTTATATCTGGACGAGTAAAAAGAGGCCTTCGACCGAGGACTTACATGCCGAGCGTGTTGCCACTGGCCTTGACAAACAATGGAAGGCCCCCGAATCCTTGGTCGCAGAAGAGAGAGACCACCGCAAAAAGGGCGTCAGCGGACGAGTCTCCGATGCCCGAGCTGGTCTTGGCCGTTTCAAGGACGCAGTCGGATTGCCTGGTTTGCGTTCACACCACCACAAGCCGTCTCGTGATGGCTCAGAATTGACACACGATGCCGCATATCATCCACACATGGACAGCGACATCGAGGTGTCATTTCCTAAATTAAAAAACAGCTCTGGTGTTGAAATGGATGGGGAGGCTGAAAAGCATACTGAGGTTGATGAGGACACTCTAACCGCTGTTCCCACTGAAGAGAGATCAGATATCAAGCCACCAGAAATTCACATCGAGTCTGCCCCGGCAGAAACAGAGCCAAATTCTCAAACAGAGGAGGCTGATCGGCTTGCAGAGCTGCAGCCCACTCAAACGCTTGATGATGAGTCGTCAGACATTGAGCGTATATTGTCTCGCTCAACCGCGGCTTCGAGCGACCAGGGTGAGGACCGAGATGAGCCAGTATCCGGACTAGCCTTGAAGGCCCTTCGGCGACCGCAAAGTTGCGAGGATTTGCGAACCCTGGACGGTGATAATGAGCGTCAAGATGAGCGGTGTCCGCGTCACCTTTCCTTCAGCAATGTTGAAGAGGTAATTCTTAATTGGAAGCAGCTGGGAGGCCAGCTGGTAGTGGAGGAAACCGACAACCTCGAAGAGGCCATTGTCCAAGAAGACATGCTTGCATCGGATGCTCGTATATTCAGCACTCGGATCCTAGACTTGAGTGAGCGCACTGTTCCCTGGGTCGAGCGGCAGGTGGATTCGGTCGATGGTCTTAACACGAAGCTTTACGAGCGCCACGAAGAGCTTAATTTGGTCTATCTGGAACGCTTTGGTGATTACCAGCGTCTGCGCGAACGATCCAGCGATCTTCTATCCGACGAGCAATCCCATCTCAGCGACGACGTGAAACGCGTCGAGCTACTCGGTGCCAAGCTGGATTACGAGCTGCATGTCCTCGAATCTAAAGTCGAGGACATGGAAGAAGGCCTCACGGACTTTGAACGGCACATTGTCAATATAGAAATGCGGGTAAAGGCTCTCCTGAAAGGCGAGGAAGAGCATAGCATTTCTTGGGTAACATGGTTCCGGCGGTCCATCGGCTTCGGAGCGTAATGTGATCACGGTTGTACGATATATCCTTTTGATTTTCCCCTGTTCCCCTGTTCCTATTGTACATAAGATAGACGGCGTTTCTCGCCGCCCAACTCGTGATGGTATAAAACATTGTTCCATCACCAAACAAAAATCATTGATTGCAGTAGCTCTGAATGGCGCGGGCGTAGCTAGCACGAACCGGCGATCCGTTCAGGCCGATTCAACCCGATCCAGCGTCCACATCGACGCTTACATGAAACCCATACCGCCACCCTGCTTCTGGGCGGCATCACCCTGCATCTTCTCGCTGACCTTGATGTTGACGTCGAAGAACTTGGAGACGCAGCGGTCGAGGCAGACGGACTCGCCCTTGTTGAGGTCGCCTTCGCGGTAGTCGGCCGGGATGCACTTCTTGGCGCAGGACTCGTTCAAGCTGGAAGACGTTAGAATGATGACTCGCTGAGAATAGGGGCCCAATAGATCGAACGATCGGATAGGGGAAAGCGCTTACCGGTTGAACATGTCTGCGATCATGTCAACTTCGGTCTCGGCAGCAGCAAGCTTCTGCTCCGAGGACATCTTGGGCTGGCCGCCGAAAAGGAAAGACATTGTGGATGTGATAGAGTGTTTATCTATAACGATTAATATCAATTGATGGGGGAAGCAGGAAAGGGAAGACGTACCAAAGATGATGATGGGAGTTTAGGACGATGACGGGACCGAAGTTGCTGAGGTCGCCGAGCTTGGACCTTCTCCGCCTACGCCGAATTTTCCCACTTTTTCCCGCTCACATTTTTCTCTTTTCCTTTTCATCCACGCAATGTGAGTGTGGTTTCACTCCTTATGCATCCAATCCGTTTCAAGGCTTTAAGCCTTGGTTTCAGCAGGTAAGCTACTTCTATTTCTTCTTTCTGCATTGCTTCCCATCCCTTGATATGATGATTCTCCCATCTGCTTCAGAACCGCTGCAGTTGATGCTCTCGGGCATATGAACGTACCTGGAATAGTCTCTGATCTCTCAACTTTTCATCTGCATTGTGATCATACAATTGTGGCGAGCTATTGCTAACCCGATGTTCAGTGCAGGACTACGTGTCACCCGAACACAGAGCCTCTTCAGGGCCCGACTAACCCAGACATCGCGAGCTGCCAGCTCCACGTCCCCAAGCAAGGCATTCCAGGACCGGGTACAGGAAATCAAAACTGCTTGTGCAGAGCCCTATCCTCGGCTAGCCGTGGACCAGCGCACATTGAGCTGCGCGGAATTTCGCGAGCGATACAATGGCCTCGCCAACAATGAATCAGTAGAGGATACAGTGGTCGTCTCTGGTAGGTAGCGCCCAGCCTGTCTAAAAGCTCTGTACTTAGATAGTATTAGGTAGAATTCGTACCTACAGGCTTGCCGGAAGCAAATTGATCTTTTTCGACCTCATCCAAGATGGCCATAAACTACAGGTGATGTGCAACAAGCGCCAGCTTGGGGGCATTGAACCTGCCCAATTCAAGCAGCTGTATCGCCTGCTTCGCCGTGGTGATGCCTTTTGTATGTCTTGTTCTTCTCTAGCGAGAGCCATGGCTAACCGGTTTAGCTGTAACTGGTAAACCGCACCGCACCGGTCGAGGTGAGCTCACTGTCGATGCAATGGAGCTGCCGAAGCTGCTGTCGCCCTGTCTTCACGATGTCCCTGTTCACGATGCCTCGCACGAAACATCGCCGTATCCCCGCCATGTCCAGTTCCTGGCGGACCCGGTGACCAAGGATATTATCCGTGCCAGGTCTGCTATAGTTCAATATCTACGCCAGTTCTTCTTGGATCGGTCGTTTATGGAGGTCAATACTCCTATCGTCGGATCTGTGGCTGGCGGTGCAATTGCTCGTCCTTTCTACACCAATGCCACTGAATTCCCCGAGCGCGAGCTCTCTCTGCGAATTGCACCGGAGTTGTGGCTCAAGCGGCTGGTGGTGGGTGGATTCGACAAGGTCTTTGAGATTGGACCATCTTTCCGGAATGAAGGTATGAATGGTTGATATGTGAGACCAACAGAGAAGAAGCTTACCAGTTGCAGGACTGGACAAGACGCACAATCCCGAATTCACCACCTGCGAGTTCTATCACGCGTACGCCAACCTCGAGGACTTGATGACCACCACGGAGAAGCTTCTGTCTGAAATGGCTTCACACATCCGGGACTTCAATAAAGAAGGAACTCTCAATCCGACCTCTGTTAACTTCACCACCCCCTTCCGTCGGATCGACTTCCTCACCGGCATCGAAGAAGGAATCAGTCGCAAACTCCCCGATCTCACATCCCCCGACGCTCTCTCCCAAGTCTACCAAATCTTCCACGACCTCTCCCTCCCACTCCCCGAGAACGCCAATCTCCCCCGCCTCCTCGACGAACTATGCAGCATCTACGTGGAACCGCAGTGTATAGACCCAACCTTCATCATCAATCCACCTGAATGCCTTTCTCCTCTCTCCAAATCCTTCGTCCACCCTATCACCAAACAAATCGTCGCCGCGCGAGGTGAGCTCTTTATCGAAGGCAAGGAAGTCGTCAACACCTACGAAGAAGAGAATTCCCCCTTTGAACAACGCCGCAAGTTCGAGGACCAATTGCGCTTCTCCAGGGCCGCCGATGAGCCCGGTGAAATTGATGAAAGCTACCTCGAGGCTTTGGAGTGGGGTCTCCCTGCTACTGGTGGCTGGGGATGTGGTATCGATCGCCTCGTTATGCTGTTTACGGGCGCGAAACGCATTGGCGATGTCTTGCCATTTGGTAATCTGAGGGCAGTTACCAGACGCCCTGGAACGAGCGAGTAACTTACATCAAGTCTTAGTGTACGATAGTAATTGAAGCCATCTTAATAGTATCTACATGTGCATCCATAGAGGATCTTATCTGTCAACTCCGTAACCGTGACTAGCCGCTGAGCTTATCGGCAAGGTCCGATTTACGATGAAGCGGGGGAAGAAAACATCTTCATCCACCACGATGACTGTCCCCAAGGTATCCGTGGCCCAGGCGGTCACGGTGAGTCTCAAAGAGCTCGAAAATGGTACGGAAATCTCACATCTATGTAAAAATACGTCTAATTGACTCCAAGGCACCGTCTCCTTCGATACCCTGACCGAAGCCTTCGGGCCCTCTTCCCTGGGCATAATCGTTGTTAAAGACCTCCCGGAGAACTTCCTGCAGCTACGCAAACAAGTCCTTTCAAATGCATCCTACCTCGCTGCCCTCCCTGAGTCCGAACTTGGTCTGTAACCCCCCCCCCCCCCCCCCCCAACTCCCGCAGACTAGAGGTCTAACATACAACAGAGGCCCTCGAAAGCCCAGAGTCAAGGTACCTAGTAGGCTGGTCCTGCGGCAAAGAAACCCTCAAATCGGGAACCTTTGATACCCTAAAGGGCTCCTACTACGTCAACTGCGCCTTCTACAAGGATCCAACCCTGCAAAGTGCCCCGTCTGAAGGCTTCCCCGATCTACCACAGTACACAGCGCCCAATATCTGGCCATCCCCCGCACGCCTGCCGACATTCAGATCCAGCATCGAGAGTCTATGTACCCTAATCATTGACACAGCGGGACTCGTCGCGCAAGCCTGTGATCGTTACGCAGAGGCTAATATCGACGATTATAAGCCTGGCTATCTCCAGCGCGTCGTCAAAACAAGTCTCACCACCAAAGCTCGACTCCTCCATTATTTCCCATCAACCGAAACCGGGAAAACAGAGGATGATGACGACGACTGGTGCGCAACCCACGTCGACCACGGCTGTCTAACAGGTCTTACATCGGCCATGTTTCTTGACGAAGAAGCTTCCCTGCCTATTCCAGACCCATCATCTCCGGACTTCGTTCTCACTGAACTTCCGCAGTCTCCGGATCCGGAGGCAGGGTTGTATATTAGTTCCCGTGCGGGGGATATCGTTAAGGTGAATATTCCGAAGGATTGTCTTGCTTTCCAGACGGGGGAGGCGTTGCAGCTTATTACGAGGGGGAAGTTTAGGGCTGTGCCGCATTTTGTGAAGGGAGCGAAGTGTGCTGGAAATGGCAAGATTGCGAGGAACACGTTGGCTGTTTTCACTCAGCCCAATCTTGAGGAGGAGGTTGATAGTGGGCTGACCTTTGCGGAGTTTGCGAGGGGGGTTGTGGCGAAGAACTATTAGGTACTTCATTTATCTTGTATGTTGATCTTGGATACGTGGAATCGTTATTAATTGAGATGAGCCTTTTTTTTTTGCTGTACTGGGCAGTTGACAAGGTTCAAGCCTATTCCGTGTCATCGACCTCTGCATCGTCTTTTTCACGGAAAGGAATTGACGCAGTCAACAGTCCTGCGGGGAGATCCATCTCCGAGACATTCCCACTCAACCCCTCAATAGAATCCTCCGTCTCTTCATCAACACTCGTCTCATCCTTCGACCCAAGCCCTGCAAGACCCGTGTTCACAAGTTTGCTAGCCACGAAATGCTTCTTCGGTGGACGCCCAGGACCCCTAATTTCATCGTCCCTAGGATCTTTAAACGCAAGCTTCAAATCACCTCCCCTCATGCAATCGTTCAAGATCCGCAGAATTGCCTGCCACCTCGGCATGTTCTCGCGCTGCTCAGCAGCAGGTCCGACCTCCACGCCGTTCATAGTAGCTAATCCCAGCGTCTCGGCCCGGTAATCGCCCCAGAACCAGTTCACGCCTTCTGGGGTGCGCGCATCAGCCTTCGCTGAGAAAGCTCGGCCGCTTAGCATACTATGCAGATCGTAGCCGAGGCCTTTGAATGTACCGAAGTGGAGGTATGCTGCTTCAGGCTCGTAGCAGCGGCCTAAGAGCATGTTCTTCGTTACGGCGCAAGTCCGCCCGCCTGCAATGCGGTACCACGGACCGTAGCCCTGCATGCCGACGTATTGGAATGCATCGTCGACTTCATTGTCGGTTAACTGTTGTAACTCGTCTCGGTCGAATCCAATGGGTCGGTTGAGGCGGGTGGGATCTACCGTGTACACTTTGCCTGCGATGTAGGGCTGATATGATTTTGCGTATTGGGGATCCTTCGGGTCAGCGATGCACCCTTCTAGCGAGAGCCAAATTTGTTCGATGACCATCACATCTGTGACCTTTTCATCTTTGGTTGTGTTGGATTTGTCGTTCATGGTTTCTGCTGTCAGGCCGGGTGGCTTCAGTCGTACGGCGTCTTTAATGGCGAGTAGTTCGTGTCCGATCCAGATCCCTTTACAGTAGATCTTTGCATTGGGCCAATCGCCCTTGAACTTTGTGTAATGTAGCAGACTCCATGAGGCCATCGTGGTCAGAGCGAACTCAATGGATGGGTGAAGTTTTTCCCGAGGCAGGGGCCACAGGAACTGCTCGTAGGCACCGAAAGGCTTGATTTGTTTCAGCGGGACGTATTTATATTGGTGTGAGTATACTTTGTCGTCACTCAGCGGATCAACCAAAGTCTCGACACGGAACCCAGAGTAGGTGATCAGCTCGTTCTTCTTCTTAGTGAGCTGGATAATGTCCATGAAGTTGCATTCTTCTTCCGGAACCTGGGTGACAATCCCAGCTCGCCATTCGGGCATTCCCTGCCATTTACCATCTTTGTCCTTGATTTGGATACACTTGGCAGGAGTATTGTACTCAAGCGTGCCGTCTAGATCGGGAGTCCATAGGACGACCTCGCCTCGTCGGGGAACAAATGCGGCTTGAAGAGTCAGGCTGACAAAGTAATCAGCGAGTTGTTCGTGAGTCACAGCCCAGTCCATGTTTAGACGGTGATTGATATCTTCATCGACCTTCCCCTTCTCTTTCAGGTCCATGATGTGGATCCGCCAATAATCAGGGCCCTCTTCATCAGAAGGATATTTTGGGTTAAGTTCGTATATCGTCTTTGGAGGTGGTAAGCCCCTAGCCATTAGCATCTCAGCCTTAGTGCGACCTGTCTAATTGTCAGCGTTTGTAGGTCTTCCACAATACAGATGGGGGGTCCTTGCGCTTTCGAGGCCCTGCTATTCTGGGCCCTGCTGATTTTGCGGCTCTGGCACAATTTATGCATTGGCAAACGCCCTCTCGATTGGACATCAACCAGAAGAAGTGGGGAAAGAAGGCGATGCGAGACTGGAAGTAGAATTTGCTAGGATGTCCAAAGAGGAATGTGTCTCGCTGTAATGATTTGTGAGTAGTTTGGCTCAGGATCAGAGGTTGAGTAAACTCACCTCCGTGGGATTAGATCCACGGGGCCGGTCAAAGAGACCGTAGCCCTCCGGGAGCTTTTCCAGGATATAGGTCTTGCCTGGCAGCCAAATTTAGTGTAATCCCTTTCCAGATGAGGGACAAAGAGCAAAAGAAAAGAGGCATTCGACTTTGGATGAAAAGGCATGTTTAGCTGAAGATGGCACAAATACAAATGCAGGGGGTCGTTCTCAGCCGCCAAACGAATCATTTCGGCCAAACAACAAGCTCTCTGCAGAACCTGTTTGATTCTCTTCGGCAAGCAGAATACAGGCTTTGGAATACACAAAACAGAAAGGAAGCAACAGGGAAACAAGTAGCGTACCCGTTTCAACGGCGCCGGTCTTCTCGATCCACATCTGGGCGAGGGCCACTCTCCATCTGGTGTCATCGATCATCCGGTACTGGAATTGAGGATCATTGAGTCTCCATGTAGTCTCGTCCCCATCACTCATCGAGTCCGGGACGGGGAGGATGACCTCATTCTCATTCTCTTCATCACTTGACATTGTTGATATTGGACACAGTCTTGATTAAACACGCCTAGCAGAGGGGCATTGGCGCCCCAGGAATGCGTATGACGCAGTCAGATTGGAAATACACAATCCAAAGGTTTGGAGGCGCGTCTCAGATGGTGGTTAGAATATTAGCGAAATTTGTTTTTTAAGGTAAACAGTAATAGTAAAGGTCCAAGACGGTGCTCATTAATTATATCATCACGTGCTGATAGATGTGAGCTACTTTCGGTAGGCGGTAAGCTTTTGACTAGGAGCCGTCCGAGGCCGATAATATCAATCGGCAGAATTATGTAGTAGGGATTTGGAGTCAATGAAATGGTATCGAATTGGGAAGTAAAAATAAATGACGCTCATATACGCATAGAAAATAAATGGACATCACAAAAGCACCTAGGTATCAACTCAATTCGTGATTCCTTCAACAGATGCCTCAGAAACCAGTTCCACTGACGCATGCTCCGATTCCTGGTAAGGCGGAGGCGCGATTTCGCCATCAGTGGCCCAAACCTTGCACAGCTCCTGCTCAATTTCCTCGCGGCGTTGCTTCCATTCATCGACCTTGTCGAGACGCTTGCGGAGCTCTTGAATCTCTTTCTCAACGCCGAGCTTCTCCTTCTCGGTGCCAATTCTCTCAAACTCCCACTGTTCACCCTCATCTCCCATACCTAGAGTGAGATTGAAGGTGTGGTATTTCTTCAGAGATGCACGAGTGGAGATGGTTATCAGAGTAATTCCACGCTCCTTGGCCCGCTCATAAAGCAGGCCTTCCACATCAGAAGAGACGGCCGAGGTGCCTTCGTCAATGAAGGCGTATCGGGGCTCGTGGTAGAAGAGTCGAGCCATCGCCATGCGCTGCTTCTCTCCGCCACTGAGAACATCCTTCCACTCTTTGCGAGCATCCCATCCACCTTCACGAGAGGGTAGGTAGCCCAGATGCGCATCATCCAGGATCTTCTGCAAGCTAGCGTCCGATTCTCCGGCTTCGTGCATGTCGATTTCGGTGTGAGGGTAGAGAACCTGATCTCTTAGAGTACCCACGCTCAGGTAAGGTCTCTGGGGAAGGAACATGATGCCATCAAGTCCGAATCCTCGAGGTCGGCTGACGAGTCCGCGGTAGACGGGCCACAGTCCGGCCACGATGCGGGGAATGGCAGACTTGCCGACGCCATTGGGACCGGAGATGAGAAGATGGTCACCCGCGTGAACGATGAACGATAGCTGCTCAATGAGCTCGTCGCCGCCCATTGGGTAGATAGAAGGTGCCACGATGGGGACCTGCTCCAGGCGCACACCGTCAAATCCGTTGTGAATGGTGCCCTGAGAATCGGCGAGAGAATAAAGCTCGGGATGTGTTCCCCGCGGTGGGTAGTAAGCGTCGGCATGGACGCGGTGGAGGGTGGAGATGAGCGTGTAGACCCGGGAAGTGTAGCCTGCAAGCTCCGAGATATCCTTGATACTGTACATCATACGACCACCTGCATCGGCCAGCGAAAGCATGAGACGCTTGTTGGTGATAAAGTCCTTCATCCGGCCGCGTTCACGACCCATTCCTTCTTCTGGAATGTCTGCCAACTCCGGGACGCCTCCTGTGCCGCCCCAGGCGGGAAGGAAAACAGGCAAAGAGGTCACCAAGTAACCAAAGGCGGACCACGAGTATTTTAGGATCATGTCCTCGAGCATGTTGTAGCGAATTTTCAGGCTGTAAATTCCTTCCATCCAGCGCTGCAAGTCCTTGAAGCTTCGGACCAAGAACAGTCGTTCGATATCGGCACCGCCATAGAACGAGATCTCTTCGGCATTTGCCAAAAGCCTCGAGTGCAGGCCTCGGAAATCACCTTCTTTCTTACCCTCGACTGCCTTCAGTTTTCCAAATGGCGGTGACAATTTCCGGAGCACCACAGCAGTGCTGAAATAGCCAGCGAGAATTCCACTCAGAGCAAGAGGACCAAGGGAGCGGTAGAGCTGGTAGTTGAATACAAATAGATCCACCATAGGTTTACCCATTGAAGAGTATAGCGAAGCAGCTGCTGTGCAGAACAAAGTAAGGTCCTGGGTGATGAATTGATCGGGACCTTGGCCAATGCCCCCATCGGTATTCATCAGCTTGTAATAATTGTTATTATCAGTTAGATAGAGATCGTGAATGTATCTTGTCAGTCGGGTTCGGAAGGCGATCGACACCTTTGACTGGAGGAACTTGATCATCGCATTGGTGTAGGAGGCCAGGGTGCCAATACCAAGCCATTTTAGGATGCCCCAGGTAAAAGCCTTTCCTTTACCAGCGACGAGATCCCTAACGATTTCGCCGTCGAGGCGTGCAATAAGCAAGGATAAATATGTTCTCAGTAGGAGAAACACGCCATGGCCCATGAGCAGACCTGTTTCCTTGCTTCCCCATCGTGGAACCATGATACTCCCCAAGCTGAGGAACTGGTGCAAAAATGCCAGATTCAAGCCGGGCTTTGTTGTTGGTGGAGGTATTTGACTCGCTGCGCCCTCTTCCTTACTGCGAGCGGAGGCTGGAGGGTTCAGGAACAATCGACGGTGGGCGTCAAAGGTGGTGGGCTTGGTCGGATGAATCAACACCTTCGAGGTGCGAGACCCCTTGTAAGGTACATAAATGGTTCGAGATCCATCTTTGCCTCGGATGCCAGAGTTGCGACGCAGCAAACGGCGACCTTGGGCTCGTTCTTTGGCGCGCTCTCGGAACCATCTATATCCTCCGTAGCCGGAGCCGACGATCGATAGAAGTAACAAAATTGTTGCAACGAGGCGGGAAGTTTTTGAGGCCTTTCGAAGCCGGGAACGTATCAAGTCCGAATAGTGTTGGTAGAGCGCCAGGAGCGGGTCCTCCGGGCGACGGAGTGTCGACTGGGCGGCCATGGTGATGCCCGATCTAGGCTCCGTCTCATGAGTTGCCCAGGCGGCAGTTGGTTAACGATAGGCGCGGGCCATGAGCGGTTCAGAGACCAGTTTGTGCAGAGAAGTGAGTTGAGGGAAGAATGAAGAGCTTTGGGCTGCCAAGGGAGCGTTGCATCATTGCATGTGAACCTCGGGATTGCGGAGAAGGCACGTGCCCGGGGTAAGCTTACAAGGTAGTCCTTACAGTTGATGTACCGCTACAGACGATTGTACCTTGTTTAGTGTTCTGGATTAATGTTTTAAGGACTTGGACGTTATTGTAGTAGGGAAACGTTATTTATTCGGTCTATTTTGACCCTGCGGGCTTGGGGGGCCACTTGGTGGAGAGTAGCCCATGGAGTCCGTGAGGATCTCGAACTCGTCCCAAGTTCCAAGTTCAATTAGTCTAGTTTTTCGGTAGACTTTATGTCCCTTGTCCGAGATTCAATGTTGTGCAAAGTTTCAAATGCTAGGCAGAAAGGCAACTTTGGATATCTGTGCAAACGGGTCGCCATCTATAGTCAACCTTCCGTGCTAAATATGTTTCTGGCCCTTTACCACTTTTGCCGAACCGACCTCAAGACAAGTGATACCTACGCCTGTAAACAGCATGTACAATGATTGAAAGGGTGTTTGCATGGAATCAAATAAGCCTACATGCACGCCGTCGCACGGTAGCTGTCCGTGTACCCCAAAAGATAAGGCCGGGCAAATCCAGGTACCAAGAGAGTAGAGGACTTGACCAGTCACAAGTGGCTGAACTTTGTCATATAAACATGCAACCCTGGCTGCCAGATGCAGGTATAGTGGTCTGAAGCTTTCTTTATGACATAGGATTTGCAGTCGCAGTTGGTCTTGGGGTTCGGCGGATATCCGACATCCCGAGGTTACTACACTCTGTCTACTTGGGAAACGAACTAGGCTCAAGGAACTCTTTCTCATGCATAGCAGAAAGAACTCCCATGAAAATGTCCGGCACTTAGCGTTAGCTTCAGATTGGCAGCGTGCCCTGAATAGACAGGCAGGAAAGAGCCCTGGAGGATGACCCTAGGAGATCTCGAGGACCAAGCGCAGCTCATGCATACACCACACCCAGGACCCACTCCAGCTACAGTAGACACCTCACTTCCACAGGGGAACGTGGCAGATCACTGCATTACGGAAGAACGGGAGAACGAAAGCTTTAATCCCTGGTGGTACCTGGTATCTAGCATAGGACTCATGCGCAGCTGTACTGACGAGAATTCCAAGTCAGGTCTGATCATCCGAGGCTTCCCCGAATGCTGACGATTAGCCCCCATTCTGGTCTCCCACCACGCCTCACTATTGGATTGGCTGGACAGGCCCTCATTTCAACCCGGCCAATGGTGGTACCGGCAAGACCCAGGGCCATAGCTCCCGTGCCCAGGATACAAGGAAAAAAGGGGCACACCGGATCGTCGAGTGGGGTTGGAAATTGATACCCTGATCTGATCTTGCAGTGATCACGAATGTGTGTGATGTTTGGTCCAGGCCCTGCGCTAAGTCGAATTATCGAAGTCCGTGACCCTCGTTTGTACCTAGTGCTTGAAGTGGCCATGCCCCGAGATTGGAAATGAAACGAAATGAGCGCTTGACAATAGTTCCCCGGCGCACTTCGACAATAGAAAACAGGTTGGCATTTTGTCAGTCATGAATAATGACCTTCTAAATAAATAGGGATACGAATAGGGATACGAATCTGCATACGAAGGGACAGTAGCCGCCGGGCTTGCGGTAGCGCGTGGAATCACAGCAGGCAAAAAAGGCAGGAAATGGCCCCCGGTCACATTGACATCACGTGACATCCCCGACTCCTCTCTCGCCTCAGCTAAACATTCTCCCCCTCAAGCATCATCCGTGTCGCTTTCTACTTCTCTGGGCTGGATCCGACTGCCTTGGTGGTGATTCTCGTTGGTACCTTTGGGGCCAAAGGTGGTACGTGCGATCTTTGTCCGCGCTTGCCGACCCAGGAGGCCCATGTTGACATTGCTATTAGCCGCGCTCTCTGCTTTTGGAGGCTCCTTTGCTCTCTAATCACTTCGCAATCACTGCTCTTGGCCGTGCCATATTCATATATTCGCTTTTGAGCTATCACCGGTCCAAATACCCTCGATGAGTGGAGAGAGTACGGGGCGAGACATCGCACCCTCGCCTTCTCCCGAGTCCGCGGGCAAAGCACCCATGTCTTCCCCAAACCAAATCGATTCAACCGGTAAGTCTTTGCGCATAATCATACCTGCATTCGGTATTCAAAAAGTTCGGTCGCTGACTCCCCTGCTTCGTTTAACGCAGGCCCTGAGTCGCCCCCCGACCAGCCGGCCACTAATGCAGCTGAGATCCAGGAATCAACCGCCGGCGCATCCTCTCAGCAGGCTTCTTCCTCCACTGCTCCAGCTTTGAATCAACCAGAGGCCACTGGGGGCTCCAGTGTTTCCAAGAAACACCATCTTTCAATTCCAATTCCATCGCGAAGGTCCTCGAAGGCGGATAAGCAATCGACCACTGGGAAGACCGAAGAAGCGGCGCAGGAGGCATCCTCACGGAGAGCATCCAAAGTAAGCATGTTGAGGGTTGGAAGAGAGCGCAGTCGTGCGAGTAGTCGGCAATCGCGACGGACGCAGGACGTGGCGAATGCCGAAAAAGCACAGGAGACAAACACCCCCAGCACAACTGAAATGAATGGCTCCTCAAAGCCAGAGAAGAAGAAAAGCTCCAAGTTTCTCTCTTTCCTGAGCTGCTGCTCTTCGTCCGATGTCGACGGCGACGACTCGGCCTTGCCCCCTAAGAAGACCGCCATGCGACCCCCCGCTTCGAACCGACTGCCAACCCCCAACAAAGCGGAAGCCCATGCCGGTGATTCTAGCACAGCGGAGTCCAGGGATCCGACTTATTTGGATGAGAAAGCGAACATGTCGGTGACCGCAGATCAACCTCACCCGCAGGAAGAAGAGCTTACTGCTGCCACGGAGTCGCAGGGTGAAGGAGCGTCTGGAGGAGTTGGTTCATCTGATGTTCCTCCGGTGAGCTCGAAGGAGCACGAAGGAGCTGGCGCGATGGCCAATGGTGTAATAGCCGAATCGAAGTCGGATGAAGCTCACCAGACCGATGAGAAGGCTATAGCCGCTGAAGAAACGCCTGCTCCCGAGCCGACTCCAGAGAAGGCCAAGGCCACAGAGAGCCAAGATTCTTCACACCAGGAGGATGTCGTGCAGACGCAGACTGTGATACCTCCTCCCCCGCCGCCGCCAGCCCCTGAGGTCGCCAGCGATGCAGGTGAACAGCAATGGCTGCTCCCGCGAGCTTTGCCACACCTGTCGAACAGGAAATGTCTGGTCCTGGATCTCGACGAAACACTTGTACACAGTAGCTTCAAGGTAAGTAAACCTCGGCCCAGTAGTCTGAATGTGTCGACTCACTCACTGTGTCTCAGGTTCTTGAGCGTGCCGATTTTACCATCCCAGTTGAGATTGAGGGGCAGTATCACAACATCTATGTCATCAAGCGGCCTGGTGTGGATCAGTTCATGAAGAGAGTTGGTGAGCTGTACGAGGTTGTGGTGTTTACCGCATCGGTTTCCAAGGTGAGAAGCTCCGGCTCGATGAGCTTCAACATAACAAGCTCTAACTAGTCGACTACAGTACGGTGACCCTTTGCTCGACCAGTTGGATATTCACAACGTTGTCCACCACCGTTTATTCCGGGAGAGTTGTTACAACCACCAGGGGAACTACGTCAAGGTCGGCTATCTGTCACCCCTCCTTTGCTTTCATCTCATTTCTAACATCCATCTAGGATCTTTCGCAAGTTGGCCGTGACCTTCGGGAAACCATCATCATTGACAACTCCCCAACTTCCTATATCTTCCACCCTCAACACGCGATACCCATCAGCAGCTGGTTCTCTGACGCACACGACAATGAACTCTTGGACCTCATTCCCGTTCTCGAGGATCTTGCTGGGGCGCAAGTCCAAGATGTCAGCATGGTCTTGGACATCACCCTGTGAATGTTTTGTCCGGATCTTCCTTACGCCTGAGATTCCCCAGATTCCCCTTTGAGCGAGTCCTTTCTTTTGTGTTTTTGGTTGCGAGAAAAGCTTCTTCCTTTACAGCATTTCCCCTGCGATGGGTATCATCCTTGTCTTCCTTCCTCTCGTCACTTTGCCTTCTCCGACGCCCCCCTTGACCCAGAATGGAACTGGTTCCCTCGCAGGTCATGGTCCTCTGTTTGCATCTGTCGTCCTTTTGTTCATTCAAACAGTTCCCACACAGTTTGGCATCTTTTCTTCTCTGTGTTTCTTCCAGCCATCGGCATTGTGATCTTACTTAACTGACTGCGCTCCAAGAGAGCCTTGCCCTCACCATTTCCTATTCTCGATTCCCTGCTACGCCCTGATTTCTCCTTGTTGTCATTGCCCCAGTCCGCATTCTCCAATGCATTACGCAGGCGTCTGTTGGTTATCATGTACCCGCTGTATCCCCCTCCCTGTCTTTTGTCCCCCTGTTCTTTGCCTTGCTACCTTGCCAGGTCCGATCTCAGTTGGCCAGCGAAAGATTGTGCGTTCTTGTTCGCACCGAGTTTCGGTTCCATCGAAGGATACCTGCGTGCAGCGTCTTTAATAACACGCTCGACGCTGTCGCAGGAACTTGGACCATCGCTGGATTGATTCCCACATGCAATATGTACATGAGTTGATCGGCTACGGCACCTCTATGCTGTATATAGTCTTTGAGAAGACATCTCATCAGGAATACACAGTAGCTTGGCGCGTGAATACGTCTCTTGGGTCTTCTCTCTCGTAGATAGCTGTGGTCCGTACTTTGATTAGGCTGGAGGCGCCGCATTGAGCTATCTAGCCCGCATTAGGACATGGATGTAATAAGATCAATGCTTAGCGCCTTTACCCAGGCACCTGATAAGATTATTTGACCTTGAAATTCCCCACTGCGTACATCCATTTAAAGAAGCATCTCGCAGCTTTACTGAATATTCAGGCGTTGCGGGATCTCGGCCACGTTAAAACCTCCCCGCAATCACATTCCACCCGCCACCTTCAAATTACCGCCACGCCACGCCACGCATCATGAAGAATAAGGAAGGATGGGACGGCAAGCTACGGGTTGATCCCAAGCAGGCTGTCATCACGAACCCCGAGGCTTTAGAGGACTCGGACTACTCGGACCCGGAGGCGCCGCCCGTGGAAGAGATCGACGCCGACGAGGGTAAGGATTCGCGGGCCTCAGCAGCCCTGACAGCAGGGTGCATATCGCTGATAACTTGACAGATCTTTTGGAAGATGAGGATCCGGAAGCAGAGGTTTGTTCCAGCGACACTCTTCGCTTGACTCGGTGGCTGACATGTGCACTTTTCTAGGAAATCGATCTCGTTCACATGCGCATCAAGTCCCTTCCCGCGCTGCGCTTGGAACGGTTTTCCAAGCTTCAGGTACATATACCGGACTACACGCGAGCCTTGAGCTATATCACAGAGAGCTGACTGTCAGATTCTAGAGGTTATGTTTCCGCCAGAACGAAATATCTCGCATCGAGTTCCCATCCAATGTCGCTGCGACGCTAAAAGAACTCGACCTCTACGATAACCTCATCTCGCATATCAAGAACCTCGATGAGTTCGATTTGACGACTTTGGATCTCAGCTTCAACAAAATTAAGCATATCAAGAATGTGTCGCATCTTAAAAAGTTGACGGATCTCTTCTTCGTGCAGAACAAGATCTCCCGGATCGAAGGGTTAGAAGGATTGACTGAGTTGCGGAATCTGGAGCTTGGTGCCAACCGTATTAGGGTATGGTAGATTCTATGGGTTTCATATACGGGTGGACTGACATGGGGTAGGACATCGAGAACCTGGAGACCCTCAAGGCATTGGAGGAACTCTGGCTTGGCAAGAACAAGATCACTGAGATGAAGGCATGTCACATTCGAGACCTAGAGCACAAAAGGACATTTGATCTAACGCATCGACAGAACCTTGATTCTCTACCCAACCTCCGCATCATCTCTATTCAATCCAACCGTCTCACCAACCTAACAGGCCTCTCCGGCCTGCCCAACCTTGAAGAGCTCTACTTCTCCCACAACGCCGTGACCGACCTCTCAGGCCTGGAAAAGAACACCACTCTGCGCGTCCTGGATTTCTCCAACAACCAAATCTCGCACCTCGAGCATCTATCGACCCTCAAGAACCTGGAAGAGGTGTGGGCATCGAACAACCAGCTATCCAGCTTCGAGGAGGTCGAACGCGAGCTGAAGGATAAGGAGAAGCTACAAACCGTCTATTTTGAAGGTAATCCACTGCAGATGAACGGCCCTGCTGTGTACCGGAATAAGGTCCGGTTGGCATTGCCGCACATCGCCCAGATTGACGCAAGTATGTATCCCCTTCGTTGTAGTTTAGATCTATGTGCTAACTTCTCCTTTTCAGCTTATGTGCGCGTTTAAGACGGATCTATAATGTGAAGATGATTGCTGAGATGATGATGACGGTGTTTTCAATGTCCTATCATCATTCTCTACTCTGTGTAGAGGGAGAATGCTCTATGAGAAACGAAATCGGTCATTTGCACCACCTTTGTAGTTAGGATACTAAGTGCGAGATATCCTTAGTACAAGATAAAGGATTGAAATCGGAAACCGAAACCAACTCCAGCGTGTTGATACAAGTAAATTCGGGTATATAGCATAGAAAATTTCAGAAACTGTACAATAGCGACTGTCCCAGAAGCAGAGATTCTTCACCGCGGGCGAAGTCATCCTCTGTCCGTCTTCTTCGTCTCCTCCAGATGTCCAATCCAGTCCTCCCCCATCCTCTCAACTCCCTCCTTCATCCTTTCCTCCTCTTCTCTCTCCTTCGCCCACTTCTGCATCTGTCTCGAGACCCTACTCAGCCCGGTCCTTGGCTTCCTTTCCTCACCCTCTCGCGCATGTTCCAATCCCTCCTCTAACCCACCCTCCCGCTCCAACCCCTCCCTCCAAAGCCTCCTTAAGCTGCGCCCATCATCCAGCATAATCTGCTCCTCCTCAGATCGGAAATTATTTCGAATCCAATGTTTCCGACTGCTTTGCAGGACATCTGCTAGTCCCATGAGCGGCACGCTCCGGTACATATCCTGGAATATCGCTCCTTTCCGGACATCCGTTCCGATTCCCCATGCCCCGCGGAATGGGTTGCGGTTCTGAGACGCCCAGTGATTATGTCGAGATTCTTGAATCGTGCATGTTATCGTCCTCGGTGAGGAGTTGGGGGCCGATTTCGAGTTCGGGGTTGGGATGGGAGAGTCCGGTGAGAGCGTGATGTTGATTGGAGAGGCGGCGATGGCGCGGTGAGCCGACTCGTTGGTGTCGAAGATGGCGAGGATGGTTTTGTCTTTGTGCGGGTTTTGATTTTGGATGTTGTACTGTGCTGGTTAATGGCGGTGTTTTCTGTGTGCGCGGAGGTTCTTTACTTTGCCGTTTTTGAAGGCTGTCACTTCGCCGAATTTCTGCAATGCTGCTAGGATTTGTCGGCTCTCGTGTAGGTTTTTGGTGCCTGGTGTTATGCTTATGTGCACATGCGAGACCAAGGTCTCGAAGAGCGCGGCTCCCGGTTTGGCTGTGGATGTGGCTGCCATTGTGGTGAGGTTGGAGATGCGGAGAGAAAAGTGTCGATCGACGCGGTCGATGGGTGCCCGCTCTTGGCATTCGAGCTACAGTGTATACACTGGCCACTCACGTTTCGCGTGTTACAAGGATATCTAAATGGTGAATATTTTCATTGGATTCTATTCATTTCGCGCAACTCGTGAGATTTATATATAATCAAATTCGTCAAAATACGTGAGTTTCCCACCAAGTGCTAGTTACTCCAAGCAGGCCAATATCTACTTTTAGAAGATGGGGATAGGAAGGCCGTACTGTTGATAATGTTAGCACCGGGTCAATATTCCACATAGAAGAGCAACTTACAGCAATGGGGTCATTGAAGCGCAGACCCTTGTCCAGAGCACTAATAGACTCGAGCTCACTGGCCTCCAAGTCAAAGTCGGTGACCTGCAAGTTCTGTGCCAGACGAGTAGGGTTGTTGCTCTTGGGAATAACAGCAATCTTACGCTGCGTAGCCCAACGAAGCAGAACCTGTGCCGGGGTACGGTTGTACTTCTCAGCAAGACCCTTGATAACGCTGTGCTCAAAGAGAGGAGGAGTGTCCTGCGCATGCTTGAGGTCCAACTCCAGGAAACTCAAAGGCCCGAACGACGAGTAAGCAGTAAGGGAAATACCCTCACGCTGAGCAAAGTCCACCAATCGGGTCTGGGTAAGGTAGGGGTGGTGCTCGATCTGGAGAGTCGAAGGACGGATACGAGCGTAACGAAGGAGATCCATCAACAGCTGAGCGCTGAAGTTGCTAATGCCGATGCTACGGGCCAGCTTCTCGTCCACAAGGGTCTCCATGGCGGTCCAGGTCTCCTGGATCGAAGCATTGCCGAGCTCAAGCTTGTCTTCGGCGTTGGTCCAGCTGGGCGGGTAGCGCACGCTAGGGTCGAGGTACTTCAAGGAGATGGGGAAGTGCACGATGTACAGGTCGAAGTAATCCACGCCCCAGTCGCCCAGCTGCTTGCGGCAGATAGGACCCACGCGGTCACCGTCGTGGAAGCTGTTCCACAGCTTGGAGACGATGAAGAGCTCCTCGCGCTTCACGATGCCCTCCTTGATGGCACGGGCAACACCCTGGCCGGCTTCAACCTCATTGCCATAGTCTGTGTTTCAATCATTAGTATGGAGGGAATGCGAGGGTGGCAAAGGTGGCAAAGGTGGCAAAGGTGAAGACATACCGCAGGCGCCGTCAAAGAGACGGTAGCCGGCCTTGATGGCCTCGTAGACCTGGTCCGCGCAAGTGTCGTTGTTCACTTTCCACAGACCGAAGCCCACGAGGGGCATTTCGTAGCCGGAGCTCAGCTTAACGGTAGGGGTAGACATTTTTGGAGGAATTTCTCTGTCAAGCTGTCAGTTCTAGTTCGAAAGCAATGGGTGGCAGACTGACTGGGAGGTGCGGATAGGAGAAAAAACAAGGTCACAGCGGGCTTCCCCAATTCTTTAAAAAACTGGTTCCAATTCATGCCACCTTCCTCTTCGACTAGTCCAGGCTAAAGTGCGCGAGGCGCAACCCTCCACACGAGTCTATGGATGTCCGGGGCCCCACCACGTATCCGGCTAAAGTTGTCGTCGGCTAAACGGAAAGATATTTATCCAGTGTACAAAAGTAGATTGATTTAGAATCGAATCGGACACGGGGCTCTCTGAAATCACCTAAACTGCCCCTCCCTTCATGCTCCGAAATAAAGAGAAAATAAAGTAGTAGGAAAAGAGAAGGAAAAAGTCACAGGTATAAAGGGTACAGGCTTCTTAGATGATTATCATTACCAATAATTTTCAACGTTTTTTGTCTTCATTAAACCGAGTCCACCGGCCCATTATCGGCGTAACCGGTGTTGGTATGCTCGGGGCCAGCCCCATGCATGTTAGAACCGTTGGACATGCGCCCAACAATCTTATCCATCAACTCCGGCAAGAGTCCGTCGAAGTGATGCGGCTGTTGCGACTCGCGCGAGGCAGGCACCTGGTGCTCGGGCTGGAAGGGCATGTGGTGGTAGCCACCGGTGCTAACATCGCCAGGGATGGAAGTAGAATGGGCACCCCAGGATGCCTGGCCGTGGCTCAGGTCATCGAGGGATTGTGTGCCCGGGAAAAAGCCGTTCAACACACTGTTGCTATCATGTATGTTGACGCTGTGCTGTTGCGATGGCACGTATTGACTTGTGTCGTGGCCCATAGCGTATCCCAGGCTCGGATGGGACAGCGGCAGGTCGTGCATGTTCATCATCATGGGCCCGCTGCTCGAAACACTGAGGCTGGTGGGTTGCGATGTCTCATTGGGCAGGCTGGAAGAGAAGGAGTCCAGCACGGAGGTGACGGCAGTCTTGTCACCGAGACCATCCTCGGGTTTGGTGATGGAGTTCATGAAGTCGAGGTGGCCCGACGAATTAAAAATATTAGCCACATTGTCGTGGGAGGATTGGTACATAGGCCATTGAGATTGAGGCTGGCCCTGGTGAATTAGGTCTTGGGGTTGAGATGCCTGGTAGACGTTCTGAGTAGGCTTGTTGAGAAGAATAGAATCAAGAGAGAGCGGAGGCAGATCAACTCCAGAGCTTTGCCGAGGGCTGTTAGTGGTAGTGCGGTCCGGGGGTGGGATCAGACGGCGCCAAGTGGTAGTGCCAACTTCGCCAGGGCGAGTCTGGCGGAATTTCCAGACCAGAATGGCCATACGCTCGCTCTCCTCGCCGCTGTGGCCCTGGAATTGATTCGACATGCGGCGAGAGCTGGGAGCCGCCCGGATCTCTTGTACTGCAGACAGAGAGCGGAAGAAACGGCGAGTACGCTCGTCAGTAGCATGGACCGACTCGGGTTGGCCCGAGTCTTCGGCAATGCGCTTATCCTGGGTCAGCTCAGTGAAGAGCTTTGCCCACCAGGAGGATTCAAAGAGAGGCTTGACCTTGGTTGATTGGGGCTTGGGCAGATCGTGGTATGTCTCCCAGAGTTCCCGTCCATCTTCGTAGAGGCGAGTGCTGCAGGTCCAGTTGTCCATCTGGTTCACCATGAGGACATCTCCTGCAGTAGGGTGACCGAAGTCAAGGTCGAGTTGGATACCAAGTCGAGAGCCCGAAGGAGGGAAGTCGGTCATCAATTGTAGGTTGACTTCAAGCATGATGATATCGCAGTCAAGAGGACCGTTGAGGTTGTCAAGAAGAGAGGAAACATGGGGGAAAGAAGATCGCCATCCACTGACGTTCTCCAGAGGCATAGGGGGCGCAGGGTGGTGCAGATCACCTTGCAGCCGCGTGTATGCATGAAGAGCCTTGTCAATGCGATTGGCCTGCTGAGGCGCGCTTACCCACATATCAAAACTAAAGCCATGGATATTCTTCGTTCCGGCATCCTGCATGTTGGACCCTAGGGTATAGTGAGGCGGAGGAAGGTCTCCTCCATATGACTGCATTGACAACCTCATGGGATCGTGGTATGAGGGATGAGCGTGAGCTCCGTAGTGACTAGAGGCAGCTTGGTGGTCCATCGATGTCCTCCATTTCGGTCCCGATGTTGAAGAGTGGCTACTCGATCGCTCTGGGGAAGTTTCTCGGACCAGTCGCTCCCCTGTATATTCGTATCAATAAATGATGCTTTCACGCTTCTGATCAACACTCACAGTCAGGATCTCCCTTGAGGAACGAGTCAAGAACCTGAAGATGACTCGACACCTGCTTCCGGGTCCTTCGCTTGCCGGTCAACTTGAAGATGTACTCGGCGATCAGCTCGTTCCGTCCATATGACTTTCCACGCTCAGACCACTTTCGTCGACCCATAGGAGGGTTGGCTTCAAGAGCTGCATCATATTGTTACTATCACGTACGTTTCCGCATAGAAAATGTTATCACTTACCCTGCTGGAAGGCATCTTCCAACTCATCAGACCAAACAGGCTCCCCATCCTTACCGGTGTCACGTCGAGGGCGTGCCCGATATTCCAAGTACTTTTGGGACTTAAGGTAGCTTCGACCCCGTCTGGGAGCTACATTGGGTCCAACAGAATGAAGACGTCTCAGTTTGCGTGCATGAAGCCGAGCGGCCACGGCTTGCTGGTGCATGCTCACAGCTGGGACATGGTGAGAGATAGATTGGGGATACTTGTAAGCCAACTGCTGGAGGTGTTCTTCACGAGTGGTATCGTGTGCCAAGGCATCAGAATAGGACTGGACATTGCCAGAAGTATTCTGCAAAGCCCGATCAGAATGAGCACCGACAGTGTCGAGGGACGGTTGGCTCTGAGGCATGAGGCACTCGGGTTGCCAGTCAGCAGCCATGGAGACCAAGGACAGGCTTCGGGCTTCTCGAAAAGAATGACAGATTCCAACGATTCAACGAGGAGGGAAGTAGAGAAGCACCGCCGAATGCTTACTGCCCGACAAAGAACGCAGCACCGTCACAAACGGATACCCAAGAACGCAGAGGATGGAAGAGAATGTCAGAGCCTGGGAAAGAGAATGTGAGAGCGAGTTGGATGGTGTTTATAGGGAACCCATATCTCCCCTAGGAGAGGGATGTTGCCGCAGTAGTAGCATTGCCCAGGTTCGCTCGGCCTCGCACCACGACCCTCGAACGCCATACTCCTACGCAGGTACCAACTCGCGCCGCGTCCAGTCGTGTGGAGAGCACAAGGACACCCGCTGTCCTTGCCTGCAGCAAATCAGGAGTCCCGAAGGGCACGATAATGAAGGAAAGGTAGCCAGATGCAAGGGATACTGGGGCAGCACGATCCAGTGATGAGGGCTTCGGAGATTTTGTGCTGCACGAAGTCACCTTCGAGGGCATCCGCTCGGACCAGCGGTGACCTGTGTTGACATCCAGCTGCCAGTGATCAGTGGCAATGGCAGGCAATGAGGAATGTTGGATGCTCAACAACGTCGGTGATTGACCGGTTGACCCGGTCCGGAATGCTCATCATCTGAGGAAAACAAAGCCAACCGAGCTAGTACTGGAATGTAGAGCCTAGATCAGCTTAAAAAAGTGGAAAATAACTCGCGACCCTATCCAAGGTGTAGGTGAGAATAGCCCTGGAAGGTAGCCGGGAGAGGTAGCCCTCGAGGGTTCAGAAGGAGTATACGAAGATTTAGGGCTAATGCGGGAAGGGCGCAGGAACGCCTGCACCTCGGGAAAATCTTAGCAACTGCAGCCGCAGGAACGTGTTGGGGTATCTCTTTGCTCTGACAATTAGAAAAGGGAAATAGAAAAAAAAAATAGTACAGGAACATGTCCAGAGTCCACCGGGTCTTCCCTACGCAAGGGATATCGCGACCCAATGATCTTGGTCCATCGGTCGCCCTTCTTGCAGGGAGAAAGGAGACGGACCCTCATGCTTCCTCCTCCTGGCCTCCTACTGTGAATTTCTTTCGCCCTCCGCCCGTAAGCTGTTGGATCCTGACCCTGTCCACCTGCTCCCCTACCTTCTTTTCTAACCTCGCGAGCTCCTCCTCGGGATCGACAGCCTCCTCGTTTGCGAATTCCAGCACGAGTCGTCGACCCAGAAGATGCGTGTTTTTCAACGCGTCCATAGCATTCTCAGCCTCGCGAGCACTGATAAAGTCCGCGAAACCGAAACCACGCGCCGTGCGATCGAACTTCTGCGGAACACGGACGGACCGCAGTTGACCGTAGGCACCGAATAGGGACCGAATATCCTTCTTGGTAACCTGGAAAGGCAAGTTCTTGATGATGATCTTGGTTCTTCTCGATGCAATTTTCTTGGCGGTATCCTCCCGTCTCCGCTCTTCGGCGGCATCCATGCCCCTGTGGGAGGCGCGGATCACCAGCTCGTGGCCATCTAACTTGTACCCATTCATAGCAGCCACTGCCGACTGGGCTTGTGACTTGGTCTTGAACTCTGCAAAGCCGAAGCCCATGCTGAGTGTCTGACCGGGCTTCTTGGGATCGGGCTTGGTCTTGATACGACCCGTAACGAAGCCGTCCAGCGGCCGGAAGACCTCCAGGAATTTCTCGTTGGTAGTTGCAAAGGCCAAATTCTTCACGAAGAGGGTAGTCGTAAATGCGCCCTCAACCTCGTCTGCCGCGAAGGTGTCGGAGGTGGAGAAGCCCTGATCCTTGCCCTTTGTCTCAATAGCAACGTTCTTCGGGGCCACATTAGGATCGAATAGGTCCCTGGGAGCTTTCTCCAAGAAAAGGATGGAGTCACCCATCTTACGATAGGCGAGACCCCGGAACGCCTTTTGCGCTTCATCGGGCCTCGCGAACTCGACAATAGCGATGGTGCCACTGGGTGGCATCAACAATCGGATGATTTTACCATAAGGATCAAAGAGCTTCCGGAGCTCCTCACTCTGAACACCGTAGGAGAAGTTTTTCACCAAGATTGCTGTGTTTCCACGTTCCCGGTGCTTGAAAGCATCAATGTTGACTCCGTTGGCGGCGAAGTAAGCCTTTGTCTCCTGAATGACATGCGTCTCAGCATGTGCCTGCTTCACAGCGGCATCGGATGAAGTTGGATCTAGCAGCTCCGATTTGGAAACACCTAGTCTTTGAGCTACAGATGACATGACGGCATCAGACTAGATGAATATTAGCAATCAAGTCGACTTCCCTTCTAGACCAGACCAACTTACATTCATGTAGAGAGAGTTCCAACTGAATGTGGAAGATGTAGCATTCATCTTCCGCTTGATCTGATTTTGCTTCTTCAATGGAAGCTTCGACAGGTCGTATTCATCGATCTTGTACGTCTTCTTCTCAGAAGCGGGGAGGATGTGCAAAATACGACCTTGGAAGTGCTTGCCATCGAGATCCTTGTAGGCATCAACAGCACCATCTGCATCTGCATACTGCACGTAGGCGAAACCCTTGCTGGTCTCAGTGCGAGTATCAAAAGCCACGTGAATCTGTTATCCATTTAAATTAGCACATGGTCAAAATATATATCGTGAGTCAATGTGTAAATGGATTTGGGTTGCTCATTCAGATAAACAAGAAGCATCTACTAAAATCTCTTGACCTGTTCACATCATCTGCCTTGGCATAAGATGTCCCTATCAGGAAGATCATCATACGAGCACTCTACCGGATGACCGGCGAGTTGGGTGGAGGGGAAGGGGGAAAAGATGAAGACAAAGAGTACTAACCTCTTCGAGTTTTCCATATGGAGCAAAGAGAGGCTGAAGATCGTCCTCTTTAATGTCGTACGCCAAGTTTCTGAGGAACAAACGGGCAGAGGCCCGGATCAAATCAATGTTTTGGTCATCAATCGGTTCCTGCTCTTCCCGATCGGGAATGTCTTCGACTGCATCGTCATCATTAGTTGCGGGCTCGGTCATGACGTCCTCGGACCCGATGTTCTCAATTGCCGTAGTGCGGGATTCAATATGGGACCGACGGGGTGGCTCGACCGGTTCCTCAACTTTGTGTGTTTCGAAATCGGTCTGCTCATCCTCATCAAGAAGACCCAAAAGCCGGCTTGTCTTGGACCGGAGCCAGTCGGCATCCGATACAGGACCAGCCTCTTCTTCTTGTGCCTCTGTCTCTTCCTGGGCATGTGACTCTTCAACTTCATCCGTAGCACTGTCCACAACCATGGGCTGAGGTTGCTCCTTGGCAGCAGGTTCCTGTGTCCGAGCTTTCTTCCGATGTGAAGGCAGCTCCTCGGTTACACTGTTATCCTCAGTCACTTGGTTAATGGCCCGCGAGGGCTGCTCTGATGGCTGGATCATGTCATCGTTCGCCCAGGTTCGGGTCTTGGAGTTGGCCATCAAAGACATATATTCCTTCAGCTTGGGGTCCTCTGCCTTTTTCTCGGCGTCCCTCTTGCGCTTGAGCGCATTGTCCGCAGTCTCCTGTGCATCAAGTCTCCTGGTGGGGTGAGCCTTGTCTGACTTGGAATCAATCTACAAAGATGCTGGTCAGTCTCAAGACCATCTGAGTGGGTCAGCGGGGGCGCAAAAAAAGACAAAAAAAATCGAAGCGACGACACAACAGTCACATACCGGTCGAGCAAGATCTACCGAGATCTTGGACATCCTCATGTATGTCCTGTTGAAGTAGCTTGCAGCTTCCTTTGCTACTTCATTGCTTTTGAAGCCAACGAAGCCCATGTGGCGCTTAGGCAACACATGAGCATCCGTGACCTGAAAGCGGCCTGCAAAATGACTGCGAAGCTGGTCATTGGAGCAGGATGGCGGAAGGCCACTAACAAACACCCGAGTTGACTCCATTTTGGTGTGTTGTGGCTGAAAAAGCCTTGAGGCAAGTTCAGTAGTAGAAGGCTTCAGAAAAAACTTTTTTCTGCGTCTTGTATGGTCCTAGGCGGTGAGAAGAGCGGCCATGTGGGAATGGTGGGCAGTAATAATAAAAGCGGTGAAAGATGGCCTCGACGCGCTCGATTGCCGCGCAGCTTGATCGTCTACGAACATCCCACACGCTGCAAAGATCGCTATTCACGAACTTACTGGATTTCTGTGATACCCTCTGACCGCTACAATGGCCACTGAGAAGAAGGACAAGATGGAAGGTAAGGTGGCTCACCTCGTGGCTGGTGACCGATGACTAACCGTTGTGACAGCGCAAATTAAGTCCGTGGACATGGTACGAGACGATGACATTCGCGTTTTCTGGACAGATTCTTACACAGTGATATAGACGGAGGACATGCAGCAGGAGGCCATTGCCCTTGGTAGGGACCCTGGATATCCCCGCAGATGGAATTGCGACTGATTTCTTAGCGATCGAGGCTATGGAGAAGTACCACATTGAGAAGGTATGCGCAGATTCAATTCCCCGCAAATATCTGGATCTAGGATTTGTGACTAATGGTTCGCAGGACATTGCACAGTACATCAAGAAAGAGGTCCGCCTTACCCCTCCCCCTACCTCCTCGAATCTCCCGCTCATAACCCTTCTAGTTCGACTCCCGAAAGGGTGCTACCTGGCACTGCGTTGTCGGCCGGAACTTCGGCAGCTTCGTCACTCATGGTCAGTGCTGAACAGTTCATCTTGATCGAGATCCACTGCTGACCATCTCCGCAGAGACAAAGCACTTCATCTACTTCTACCTCGGCCACTGCGCCATCCTCCTCTTCAAGACCCAGTAAATTGGACGACTGGCTTTGCAATAACAAGCTTGGAGGCTTTCAGGAAGAAGTCTGGCATTTGCCTTTCACAGCGATATTTTGTTTGTGCTATGACTTTCTCAGTAATTTCACCAGAGCGCTTTCCATACGAGAGACTTGCAGCATTCTGTACACAGATTAAAATCAAATACTGACGATACCACTCCCAGAATCCAGGATGTCCAAGATGTCCAAGATTTCCAATATAAAAAATGAAGCGAATGTATCTGTGTTCCGTAGAATGTCACATGGGCCTCACGTGCCGTCCCGCCAAGCAGCCAAGCCACAGTTGCCTTGATCGAGGTTCGATGTGCATCCTTTCCTCCTTTACATCTCATCGACATCATGGCGATCTGTATTACCTTTGGAACTCATGGTAAGTTGCAAGTCTGAGTCAGTTGTATTGGACCCTGGAGTGGACCCGACGCCTCACCGAGCTGAGGCGTCGCGTGTTTACGTTTTGTGGCTCCATTCGCCCCATCTATATCACGGAATACTGACATGGCCCACAGAGTTCTCGGGCATGCTCGAGGGCTATGAGAATGTTCGCGCTTATTGTTACAACTGTATGTTCTGCCCTTGATGATTATTGTCTTTCCAGGGGATCCTTCATATGGACAATACTGACGTAAGTCATAGGCCAGCACTGGAACGGCCACTGTGTTACTCGATGGTATGTATCTCCAATCTCATCCATGGGTGGTATCTAGCTAACAAGATCGAAAGGCCTTTCTTCACCGTTTGCTTTGTCGTAAGCATTTGTCTTTGATCCCCGGCATTTGATCCTCATGACTGACGTGCCCTTTTCAGCCTCTGATTCCCCTTGCCATGCACAAGTACAAGGTAGGTACTTCTCGTTGAATAGACTCCGTCTTTTAACTTCTGTCCATATGATTGGCACCTGTTGATCCTAACTGACGATCAAATAGGAGGTTGTATGCTACACCTGCCGCTTCAGTCAAGACCTGCGGTAAGTTGTACCAAAACCGATCCTTTAAACAAAAAATTGACAACAAACAGGGACCGGCCTGATATCACGCCGGATACTCGAGCACCACCTAATATGCAATGGGGACCGCAGCCACCTCCTCAAGCGTACGGAGGTTGGCAACAGCAGCAAGATCCTAGCAAGCAGCAACCTCTCCAGCAGCCGCCTCAGCAAGAATCCATGAACTATAAGTAAAACCGCACTGCAGCTTTGACTTATTTTAATCTCGGGGTGTGCCTTTAAGCGCGGGGGAAGTGGCCAGGGATGTGGATGAGCATGCGTGTTTTGGACTTTCCGTGAATTCTTCCATGGCGTTGATATATGTTTTCGGTTCAAAATGTTCTCAGTAAAAGACAAGATACCAGCAATACGACCCGTCTAAACAGCAAAAACAATTGAAAATTAATATAACCATTCATTTGAAACTCATAACAGGGGTATAAAAAGCCACAAATCCATCCAAAACCCCTATCCTAAAACAACCAATCCAGTAACTAATTCAATTTCACTTTCAATTTCACTTCACTTCACTTTCAAGAAGTCTCCAATTCCTTTCCCTTCTCCTCAATCTGCTCAGCAGGCGTCGCCACACCCGAAGGCTGCGAGTCATACGTTTTCCTCCCCTCATGAAGCACAGGTTTCTTGCCCATAAGATCAAGGCTCATCATACGCACAACCCGAACGATACTCTCGCGACCTTCATAGAGCGGGAAGATCACGACTCCACAAAGAGTACAGAACAACCAGAGGATGCCAACAACAACCCAGCCAGTGAAGAACTTCTTGCTGAAAACGTACGAAGTTCCGTACATCGGAATCGGCCAGAGGATCAACAATGCGAAGGCCATGAAGACTGTCAAGGTGCGCGAGTAGAAGGCTGCTTTGTTCAGCTTGCGCATCTCCTCGTCGATTTGTTCTTGCGATGGGCCCGTTTCGCCAGGGACGAGTTCTAGGTCGATGTGCGCGGCGACGGCGACTTCTGTGTCGTCGACTTTGCGAATTGCACGCATGGATTCGTAGTCATAGTTCTGGGGGCCGAAGACGTAGGTGAGGATTGGGACGAAGACCATGGGGCTTAGTAGGGCGGCGACGTTGCCTGCTAGCATGGGGTAGTTGTCTCCGGTTGTAACCACGGTCAGGACACCGTATTGTTTCTTGGCTGTGACTAGCCACGCGATCAGGGAGACGGCGAGGCCTAGAGGTGGGGAGACAGCGGCGGCGATCCAGTTCTGGCCTTTCCAGAGGAGGGTCATGGCGCCTGGGAAGACGGCGGAAGAGATGATAACGCCCATAAGGAGGTAGAGGTATCCCATTCCGATGCCGGCGTAGTAGAGACCTGTTGCGAAGCCGGCCATGATGATTGAGTAGACGATGCAGGACATGTGAGAGATCCAGACGAGTTTCTTGCCCTTGGCGGAAGGCTCGATGTAGGCTTGGTAGATGTCATAGGTGAAGATGGAGGAGACGGCGATGAGTTGGGCTGAGAAAGCGGACGTGACGGCCATGAAGATCATGAGTGTTGTTGCAACGGCTCCGCTGTAACCTAGGAGTTTGACTGCTGCGAAGGGAAGGACGAGGCCGGCTGTCACGTCGTCGCTGCTGAGACGCTGGGAACCTTCGAGGGCCAGGGCTGAGATGCCTAGGGTGCTGGCGCAGAGCCAGGGGATGGCGAACCAGCATAATCCGCCGATAACGTAACCGGGGAAAGCATGGATAGGGCTTGCGGCGATGGCTATTTAAATTAGTTCTGAGTTGTCTTGCTAGGACTTTGGCTAATTTACCTTTGTTGTAGTAACCGTTGTCAAGGAAGACTGTTCCAAAGTTACCTGTCAGGATAGTTAGCAACTATTCCATACTTGTTTGAACAGAGTATCAAACTCACCAATCAAGTTGATAACCCAGAAAATTCCACCCTCCTTGGACCGCATAGTCAAGTAACTGCCCTCGGCATTACCCTCAACGGGATGAGCCTTTGCAGCCGCCACCAAAGCATCATACACTCTGCCGGGCGAGCCCAGCTCCGCATTGGTAGCGTATGCCGAGAAGGCAAAGAGGAAAATAACAACCAAGATGACCACGGTGTGCAAATAATCGGTAATGAAGGTTGCCTTGATACCTCCAAAGAGAGTATACAGCACCACACCAATGGGAAGGAGAAAACAGGCCGCCGGGGTAGACACGCCAGTCAGGGAAGTCATGACAGCCGAGCCGCCGGTGAGTAGCATGGCAGTAACAAGGATGTTGGTCATGAGGCAGAAGACGATGAAGACGACGTGCACGACGGTGCCATAGCGGGCGCGGATAACCTCAAGGAAGGTATGGGCATTTGGTGCGCGGCGCTTCAGCTCAATGGCCAGGGTCGCGAAGAGGAGAATTTGAACCGTTGCACCTGTTGCAAGGTTGTCTGTTAGTTATGCATTGCGTTTTATATTGGAGTGTAGACCCACCCGAAGCATAGAAGAAGGGTCCCGAAATGCCGTATTTGTATGCCACTGCTGAAGACTGAAGCAGTGTCGCTGCCCATGTCCAACTACTGACGACTGCAGCAGCGACAAGACCGGACTTGACGGATCGTCCGGCGGTTGAGAACATTTCAGAGGTCTGGACTTCATTCTGGTATCTAGGTCCGACGATGTCAGTTGCTATGTCTGATATAGGCTGATGGCTTCAATTCACCTCCTCAAAGCCCAGGTAATGAAGATCATCAGCAGCGCAAAGGCAAATCCCAGCCCCAGGATAATGCCATAGCCAAATCCTTGGGACAGGGGCGCCGTAAAGGTGACAGTCCCAGACGACATGACTGGACTGAAACCGGCCGGTTCAGGTGATAGGCTAATATAGTCGAGTCAAGGGAAGGAAAAAAGGGTTAGACTCGTTCAATCAAGCTCGGAATCCACAATATCTTAAATGGGAATGGAATGTAATGGTAGGAACGATAGTTCTAATTCTTAATTGAACATGAACCCCGGATACAGCGATCTTTATAAGAAGCCCACATGTGCAGATATCCCCCGGACACAGACCCAGGCTCCGAATTCGCAGTCTACCACCCCGGTAGGAAGTATAATGCTGATCCCCGCGGATTTAGATAGTCGAGGATGATAAGAGCTGGACTCTCGTAATGGCCTCAGGGTCGCGCCGACGGCACTGGGCGACGGCGAGGACAGGGAAAATGGTCTCCACCACTCGCCAACCCGAACATTGCCAACCAATCTTGGTTTGAAATCAGATGAAAAACGAGATGACTGCGTTATCTCTGTACGCGACAGCCAATCACAGTCCCTGATGCCCAGCCCCGAGATAAGGCTTCGGGTGCAGGCCATTACGTGCAAATCGGGGCAGCGAGGTGGGTCGGGGAAACTAGGAACCGGGAACTAGACATTGGGGTGATAAAGATTGACTGGCAGATGCTTACTCGATGCTTATTGTCATTCGTGATCAACGGTAGTTCAAGAGACTGCCCCACTACTTTAAGGTATCGGCAGTCAACCTTGGTATGACGGTTTCGGGTTATGTGTGGATTCAGGAGGGTAAAGTTTGGCCCGCTAGCTATCGCCCAGGGATCTGAGCCTTAGGCTAATACCCTACTCCGCACTTATGCTCAAGAACTCGGCCTTGGCTCGGCCAAAGCGTCCTCTGAGCTCTCGGTCGAAGGGTCCTTTGCACTCTCGGTCGAAGGGCCCTGATACTCTCTACGCAATCGCGTTTCCCGATCCGGACAAACACTGATACGAAGGAATTAATAATGATCCAGGCCCTAACCAGGGCCTCATTAATGACTCAATGCAATTGACTCTGATATGATACAGACGCTTGGATGTCCTGTTGCCACCTCGGCAATCCGGCCCTCTCGCTGCACAGACAGTTAGACAAGGCTCAGACCCAGACTCAGGTCAGAGATCGAGACAACAGGACATGACCTATACGGCAGATAGGTCTTCGGTGCTCATGCCCAGCACCGCAAAACAGCAAAACAAAACACCACACATGTCGAGAAATTGGGGGACGGTAGTCGAAACTGGTGATCCCGGCGCCACCTTCAACGGAAAGGACAAATGTCACGGGGGTATAGGAGAGGAAGGTTTGGTGGAGAGAATTTGGAGTTGGGTTCCCACAATCTATGTCGACAGCAGATGGCCGCGCCACCGATTGCAAGAGAGGAGTGTTATCGGCGGAGAGACGCTTATGCGGAGAACTTGCGGGTGACCTTGGCGATGACTATTGCAAAAAATGAATACCCCAGATCAATCAAAATGTTATATAGTAACGAGAAACATACCGTGCAGGCCAACAACCGAGAAGATGAAGCCAAGACTCAGCACCAGAACAACGACGGGGTCAACGCGGAGACCGGGGCTCTCATCGGTGTAGAGCTTCAGCATGGTACCGGAGGAACCACCGGCGCCAGCAGAGCGGGTGGAGCTAGGACGGGCATTGCGCAGAGACTCCTTGTGGTCGGCAGTAGCACGGCGGCGCATGGCAGCGCGAGGTCCACCAGGGGCAGAGGGCGAGGAGGGACGGCTGACGGAGGAGCCGGAGGCGGCAGCGCCAGCACCAGCGCCCTTGGAGTCGGCACCGGACTCGGCACCCGAGGTGAGAGGAGAAGTGGGACGGGGGGAGGCCTGGAGATGCACAGTTAGATGGATGTTGAATTTCGTGAAAGGAGGGTGCGGTGGTGGGGAGTGTGAGGATCCGTGGGATCACTGGAGTGTCGTGAAAATGTCAATTGGACTGGGGTAAAGCTTACCATTATGATTGTGAGGGAACAAAGGATTGGAATAAAAAGGGAAAGGAGAAGGAGTGGAAGGAAGTTCGGGGAAGGAGAGTTTGCGGAGGAGGTGCAGTTGAGGCCACGATCGCGGTTTCCCGTTTCGTTACATGGCGCGGTAATTGTACTGTCATTTGGCCACTTTTGTACCAATAATAGGGGTAATTTTGCGAACGACGTTACAATGATCCACCAACCAGGGACATGTGACCAGTAGCTTCTATAAGAAGTTGGAGTTGGGCTCAAGAACTTGAGAGAAGCATGGATGTATGCAGGGTGAAAAGTAAAGCGAAAGATATTTCATTAGCTAGATTTGACTGTTGATCTCTAGTATTCCCAAATAGGACTCAGAACGTTGACAGAGCCCCTGGGTGATTCCATCCAGACCTCGAGAGGGACCAACCCCGAGACTTTCATCCGCCCCCACAAGCTCAAAACCAACATGAATCCTCGCTTCAAGCCTTAGGCAGGTATACCAGTAAGGACATAGAGTATCTAAAAAAAGCTTTTAAAAGAGAAGGGTTCCGAGAATTCTGCGTCTTTGACTCTACGAGTTGGTATTAGTAGGGCTCTAACGTGAATCCCACCCCGGGCTCCAGCAGTCGGCCTTTCTCGAGATTCTCTACACCGAAAGGTTGGACTTCAATTCAGCGGTCTTGATTCAACCAACTCGGCTACCAAGGGGTGCCGGGACAAATGGTCCTTTTTCATGCAGGGCACATAGGAACTCTTAGGCATAGGTAGGAACAAACCATAGTTTTGGTTCCCACTGTTCCCCACTATTGGAGATTCATGTTTCCGTTATTCTTGCCACTACACAACGAACTACACAGATTGTAAGCAAGTCACAATTGAACATTTAATTTTTTAAATTTTAGGACAAAGCCAAAGGTCATTGAGAAATGCCGCCAGGCACTGCACTGTCATAAATGACATGGGGATGGGAACACCCCGGGAATCATATCCAGATAAAACGCCACCGGTGCTCTCGTGAAGGATATGTAAAGAGCCAAAGGAAAGTAAAATCACAGAAGTATTGGACCCGCAGCGACAAAAGCCGGGTTTAGGAGAGGGGGAGGTTGCTGCTTCGACGCAGGTGAGGTATCGTGTCGAAGGCCCATGAGATAACACGCAAATGATAGGCTTAAATAATCAGTGTCCGAGGACGAAAATCACAAAGGGAAGGAGAGTGAAGAACCGCTGCTTGTCCAACGCCGGGAGATCGTTTTATGAAAAGAATACTGTACTCTTGATCTTGGAGATCAGTCGATCATCATCCGAGACGGGACCTGACCGGCGACGTTGGAAGAAAGCTCGGTTGTCTTCTCCTCGGCGGGACCCTTCTTCTTGTTGATGTGCGGCTTCAGGCCACAGTTGAAGTTGTTCGCGCACATACATGCGTTGACGATGGTGATCACAATCAGGACCAGAGTGATGATGGCGAAAAAGGTCATCGAGGGCCGAGCGGGCAGATAAAAGGGGGACGTAATCGGGTCGTACATGCGGTACAGCTTGAAGCAGAAGTAGGCCATAGCGGCGAAGAAGAGCAGAATAATGACGATCATGCCGAAGGTGCTTTCCCGTCGAACGAACCAGGCACCGCAGGCGAGGACAAGAATTGTCACGGGGACAGCAATGATGGTGAGATAAAATTCAGCATCATGCTTATCCGAAGACACAACGGTCAGGAACTGTACGGTGAAACCGAGGAAGAAGAAGAAATCGAACTTCAGCAGAGCGATAAAGATCTAGAAAGATCGTGTCAGATGGTGAACTAGGAGAAGTGCTGGAACAAGAAGACCTACCTGATAGGTCAGATAGCGGCGCTTCATACGCAGGTCCGCACTGATGTGCTTGTAGATTGTCCAGGCGAACTCGTCGTACAATTTCCACGCAACGAGAGTCATCAGGATGCTTCCAAGTCCCACGATGCACGGAATGATGATCAAGAAAGGCTCCGATTCCGCCCAGACCAACGGGCTGATTTTGGTGTTGTCGGACAAGATGGAGACGGCGTTTTGGATCTGCTCCACTTGGACAGCGCCGTAAATGAGGAGCCCGACATTGCACAGACAGAGACCGATAATCTGAATGGTATTTTTCATGCGAAGGGCATCGTAAACAAGGACAAGTTCGTAGAGGAAACCAAAACTATAGAGGGCGAGGAAGGTGGGGATTGTTCTCGAAGAGGGACTGTCGTTTGCCTTCTCTTGGATCTGAAAATTTGCAAAAATGTAACTGGGATAGCAATATCGTTAGCTGGCTGGATTTCGACGACTCCAGGCATGAAAACGTACCATTCTAGGCCAAGCGTCACTAATGTTTGGACGAGCGTGACGATGGTGAAGGCCCACGTCCACGTGGTATTAGGGAAATACATCCTGCTTGGAGCCTTGGCCGGCGCGATATTTGCGTACCCTTCTCGGGCGCGAAACCCTCTGGGATCCGGCCGAAAGGAGGGATCGAAAGATCCTCCTCCAAGGAAGGAGGCGCGTGACCCGTGGGAAGGAATTTTGCTGAAGTGGTGCCCCGGAGCGGAGCTCGGGTCCGCGGAGTGCTGGGGGAAAGACACAATGGCGGTATTGCCCACCTGGTGGTGGTGTTCCTTATTTATTGGGGGTGAATGAGAGTCAGCTGTCGGGGGTGACAGGGTCCCTGATACGTGGGCGAGTCGAAACAACGGGAGGCTCGTGTGCCCGGTGGGCTTGGCGGGCTATGGACCAGGGACAGGGATCGTAATAATTAGGGGGCCGTTGGCTGGACTCTAAAGAGTCGTAACATCAAACTGCAGAGCACAGCTCGATCCAGTCGATGCGAACGGGGGACGTAAAGAAAACAATCGGGTGTTTGCCAAGAGTCGAGTGGCTCAAGGATGAGAGGCGTCGAGGGGGGTGAGAGAGTTGTAAAGGGACGCCTAGGTGCTCCGAAACGAGGGAGAGCGCGCGAACGAGCGAGTGGATGGTAGGATGAAAAAAAGAGAGAAGAAAGTCAAGAGGTTAGGCTCAACGGCGAACGGTTAAGGGGCGGATCCGGGGAACACAATTCTTCGGGACATGCCAACTGAAGGCGGGTCGCACACTTCTACACACTAAAACCCCTACGACTTTGGCCTTCTCGAACATCTAGACACTCTTCTCCCCTCCCCCCTGAGACGTGGCTAGTGTGGGGCCAGGCCCATCGATTCGCGACAGTGACGGAGTCTCAATTGTGCACTTTTCATTCTATGTGGCTGCCTTGTTCCCAGTGATCGACTGTTATGCCCTTACCCTAAAGGTGTCGTTGGATGATTGCGAAACTTGACGGCCAAGTATCTGAGCTCGACGCCTTGAACAAATGAAATAGTTCATCATTCCCGCCGACCGTGTCGCACGATTTCAAGAAGTTACGCCCGACATGGTTCAATATGCATTGGTGGTGGCTGGACTCTGGAATGCTACTGTAGAGCGTGGCTGAGGTGGGGGGGTTAGGCCTCGGCCCTAGTCCCCGTGTACGTCCCTTACTGTATTCTTGACCCTGTCGTGATCTATCTTGATCGATGATCTAATAAAGGATCTAGATCTTGGGCCCTGATCTATTCCCTAACTGCTACCAAGCGTAGTGGCTTTCGCATATGAGACCCAAACCGGTGTAGAAGTGCATATGCAGGGATCAGCCCCAGGCTGCATATTATGCCCTGCGCTGTAAATGTCCAGCTCCAACCTAGAAGCAAATTTTTTTTTTCAGTATTTACTCAAGCGGGTAAACGTCAGGGTCAACGCGTACCTGATTCCCCCACCCAAAGACTAATGAACCACGGGTTGATAAAGGCCGATAACTGGTCTGGGTTAGCCCACCGGCCCCGTCTAGAACACTCGTGTGGGACTCACGTTGATCACCACCGAGTAAAACATGATCACCTCCATTGCGAAATCGGGATAATTGTCGACGATATACGTGGATAGCACTGTATTTCCGACCTGTGTCCCCGCGGCATCTGATCTATTAGTGGACGGCCTACGAACCCCCCCGATTGGTACTCACACAGGAAGAAAGCCACTTGGCCCGTCATCCAGTGCCAATTTTTATCGACCGAAATCCCCCAAAGCACGAGACCCACCGATGACACTACTGCAGCCGGGTACCCAAGCCATAGTCTCATCTCTGGAATTCGTTGCGAATCGTTCTTGTGAGCTAATCGAGTGACGAGCCAATCACTGAGCCGCCCGGAGCAGAACATCTCAGCGAACACGAGACCCACGAGGAGACCGATGAAGAGGAGGCCCTGCACTTGAACACTGCGGGTCTCGTACGCCAGTGGCTCCATCGTCATGATCGAGCAGATCCTATTGGGTTAGATGGGTGGTCGATGCGGTCTGGACTTTCACTTACCACCAGTACTGGAAAAAGACATAGCAGCAAACACTGATGGAGATCGTCGGATAAGTCCACAGTTTACAAAATTCGAGAACTGCATCCCAGGACTTGGGATGGCTGACTCCTGGGATTGGTCGGAAGTGCTGCCGTCGTCAGAGAAACAGATCCTTCGACAGAGAGACAATTCTTACCAAATAACCCAGCTGTTTCGTCCGTTTGATGGCAGAAAGGGCATCATGCATCGTTTCCTTGGGTATGTCCTGTCCTTCTAAGCCTGTTTCATACTCCAAAACCACCACACGTGGATAATGAGTCTCTGGGAGAAAGAGACATTCGCAGACAAGCAAGACCCCGAAGAGGATAGTAACATGATAGCTAATCCAATACTGTGAGACAGAAGCCAGGAAGCCCCCCACTGTAAACAGTCAGTATACTCCGTTGAGCCGGGTTCTGTTCTCTCATGCATACCCACGGCTCCAAGCACTGTCCCAATATTAGCAGACATCGCCCACAGACCAACGCGGAAGCCCCTCTCATGCTCGAAAGACAAATCATTGATAACCGTTAGCCCAATATTGGCAGACGGACCGGCACCCAGTCCCTGGAAAAAGCGTGCAGCCATGTATCCCGAAAGAGAGTTACCATGGAGCGATGTACAGCCGCTCGCCACGACCGCAACGGCGGTGCTGGCAATCAACACAATACGACGTCCATAGGTCTCAGCCAAGGACGAAGTAATAAGCGGACCGATAGCAAGACCGAGACATGGCACTGCAAAGGACCAATTCACTTTTGTATACGTGGTGTCGAATTGGACTTGGAGCTCAGTAAAGGACGGGACTGGTGCGGTGGTGAAATAGGTGAGTAGGCAGTACGCAAAGCATGCAATCACAATGCAGGTATATTTTTGAACAAAATTCCAGTTCAGAGGGTCTAGGGGATCTTCCGTCACTGCTGGGTATAGAGGGTTCCCAGATGGACTGAGTCGGATTGGTTTGGTCTGACCGGCCTCGGCCATGGCCGGCGACTCTTCAGTCTCAAGGTATTTATCGAGTGACATGATAGTTGCGCACGTAGAATATAATAAAAGGAGACCAATGCAAACCTACTGAATCGAAGGAATACTTTCTTATTTAACTGACTATGAGCTTCTACCTGATTAATCTGGCTTATCTCTCCGGTACCATACTTTCCACACCACTGGTTGTGATAGCAGCCCTGACAGAGAGACCGTGCTGACGAACAGGGCCTCTGAAGATCCTCCCGTTGACACTAGTCGTCACCATCTCCTCAGGCTTCCTATTTCGTGAAAGCGCCAAGCGTTATCGGTAGCCTCAAGCCAGTCACCGCGTGCCCGCTTGTCTTCCCCGCACCCCTCATCGCTTGCGACGATATCGGCTAGCACTGGCGGATCGGCGGGTTTTCTATCAGGACCAAAAGACTACACTAGAATTATCTAATAGCAATCGGGGATCAATCAGGGCCGTGGTATAAATAATTCAGCCATGAAAAGCTCCCGGAGGCTTCGTGGATCAAGATAACATTTGAACTCAACAACTTGCTCAGTCAGACGAACCCGGTTCATTCATTACGCAATCATGCTGTCGCTTTGGGCTGGTTTTATCCTTTTATTTGGATTTATCGTTGGCCAGGGACTTTTGTCACCTTTGTCGAAGGTACCTGGTCCGTGGTATACACGGTTCACAAGCCTTTGGCTCAAATACCAAGAGTTCACGGCTAATCGGCGAGAGTCCATCCATGCCCTTCACAAGAAATATGGACCCGTTGTCCGTCTTGGTCCAAATGAAGTGTCGTTTACAAGCCTTGATGCCATCAAGGAAATCTATGCCTCTGGGGGCAGTGGCTACGATAAGACGGAATTCTATTCTCTTTTTAAGCAGTTCAAGACAAAGTGAGTTACTCGAAGATTACAAGTCATATAGTTGCTGACACGATGTAGAACTATGTTCTCTACACTGCCAAGGGACGAAGTAAGTTGAACACCAGATGTTCATCCCAGAATGTGTCTAATAGCTTCACAGCATAGCAAGAGAAAGCGCCTCTTTGCAGAGAGATACGCCATGACCAATGTCATGAAAGCAAAGCCTCTGGCCGCTATCAATGAGCGTGCCCTGACCTTTGTCAGCCAGTGCACAGAAGCGGGCAAGAAAAGTGTTGATGTTTATGTGCTCCTACACTGCTACGCTCTGGACTGTGTCACCCACTTCATGTTCAGTCCAGGCGGATTGAAATCCTTGAACGTTCAGAAAGACTTTGACATCATGCAAGAGCTCACCTACCATCAGAGTCTACAGAGTGAGTTTCTCAGCCAACAACGGTTAAAGACGACCGATACTAAAGAACCTTAGAAAACCTCCTGGAGTACTACCTCCCAACACTGGCCCCATACTTCCCCTCAATCCTGCACCCACGAGCATCCCCTCAAACCAACCAATACGTCCAAGAGATGGTCTCTCAACCCAACGTCGAAGACCACACCCTCGTGGAAAAACTAAACCGCAAAGAATCAAACCTCGAACTCATCCAAGCCGCAGCCGAATGCAAAGATCACATGGCCGCAGGAATCGACACAACTGGCGACGGCCTCTGTTTCCTAATGTGGGAACTTTCCCAGCCCCCAAATCTCGAATTCCAAACTAAACTCCGCCACGAATTGACCACTGCCCCGGCAGATGCCCCTTTGGATAGCCTGGTCTACCTCGATGCAGTCATCAAAGAAGCACTGCGTGTCTCGCCGCCTATACCGATGTCATTACCTCGCTATGTTCCCCTTGGCGGAAGACTAATTGATAAATACTTTATGCCTGCGCATACAATTGTCAGCTGCCAGCCTTATACGGTGCACCGGTATCATGAGGATGTTTTCCCGGACCCGGATCGGTTCTATCCTGATAGGTGGGTTGAGGAGAAAGGTGCTGCGGAGCGGAACAGGTATTTCTTCTCCTTCGCTACAGGTGGTAGGGGATGTACAGGCAAGAAGTAAGTTTTACCGAGACACTTGGTTTGGAACGATTGCTGATTTCAATGTTCGTAGTCTTGCGATGGTGGAGATGAAGACTTTGTTGCGGGAAGTGTATTCGCAATTTCAAACTACTGTTGCGCCAGATATGAATGCCTCCATGGAGATTGATGATCAAATTATTGCGTCGAGGCCGAAGGGGCAGTCGTGCAAGTTGATTTTTACTCCTGTTTAGATGGATTTGGGGGTAGACTCTTGGGAGATTGAGGGTACGGTGTGCAGGGAAATCCAGATTACCAATTGTTTGACTAGTGTTAATGAAGTCAAGATTATGTCCCAGTCAGAAGGTAGTAGAAAATCGGCAAAGGAAGACGCTCAAAGTAGCTGCTCGAGCCGATATGCGGGGGAGCGTGAGGGGAACCCGATAAGAGCCGTCGCGACTAGCGACACGTTTGATAGGCGCATCCATCTCCTCCAACTACCCGATTCGTATTCATCACAAGCTCATACTTTTCCATACCCGGAATCAGGAGTCAATGCTTTGCACTTGCCAATTCCTGAAAATCGCCATTGCCCTCCTCCTCTTCCAACCCTCTCTCTTCAAATCCCTAAGAAGAATACTCAACCATGGCCAACCCAGACCTAATCGTTCCCACAACCTGCCGCCTCTCCACGCGCCTCTCGATACAATGGCTCCCGGAACCTGTCGGCGAAGAAACAACCGACACTCTGGTCATGTCCGTGAACGGCTGGTACCTAGACCTACGCATGAAGAAAACGGGAGGAATGGACTGGGCCATCGCAGGGCAACGGATCGTCGAGAGCCAGCATCCAGGTTTGTGGGGGAAAAATGCATATGCCTCACTGGTACTAACCGTTTACAGTCAAAGTATCATTCACACACGAACTCGACTCTCATAATGTCTTTGAAAGTGCGGACTGTGGAACCTTCGAGCCTCTTTCGCCGGGCGTCGATAAGGAGACAGGGTCTATGGCTAATTATGATCTCCCTGGGGCTCCTGAGATGGAGTATGTTGAGATTTGGAAGGAGCTTTCTTTTCGAGAAGGTCCTGAGGGGCCATTGAAGGGTATTTCGTGGGTGCTTGAATCAGATGATGAGGTTGTTGAAGAAGAGGGAGAGGTCTTGGTGACCAAGACTTTTTTGGGCCGAATTTGGGGGACGTATTTGGCATTGCAGCAGACTCAACTTCATAGGCGCCAGAAAGATTCGTCTGGTAATTGGATTGTGAGTAAGTCTGGACATGATGTTAGTGCTAAGAGGGAAGAATGGGCCTCAGGGTGGAGTACAACGGTTGTTTATGGAGAAGCCGGGGAGCTGTTGCCATCGATGACTGAGATTGAAGGCCAAGAGAATGGGCCTTGGACGGTTCCAGGGGAGAAGGTGACCGTTGAGGGTAAGAAGTACATTGTTCGAGCATTTGAAGAGATTCAGTAGAGAGTCAGAAATCGAAGAATAGTCAAACTCAAAATGGATCAAGTCTACGAACACTTTCTTACAAATCTATGGAATCAATGATGAGCAATTAAAGTAGCCAATAACTGTTACTGTCACTTCGATTTAAAGTGAATCCCATAGCAAAGCGGCAGAATAACCCGACTAGCACCACTGAAAGCGGTGAGCCCCACAGCCTCATATTTCTTCGACGCACCATCTTTTCTTTCCTTCCTCAAGCGTCGCCCCTACCAATGCTGCGTTTCTTTGCTACACACGACAGCAGGTTCGCCTCTGTCCTCGCCTGGCTCGTCCAGCGTGAGATTTGCAAATGAGAAATTCGGAGGAATCTTCAACTACCCAACCCGCTCCCTCTTCTCTCGAGAAGTGCGGAGCCGGTGCTGCCCGTGAGGGCCTGGTGTGATCTTTACACCTGCACTTGGCATCAGAAACATCGGGGGACTCAGCTTGCTGATACCCCATGGGAGAGTCGGTGCGGAGATTGTGTGTGAGAACACTTTAGTGCAATACGCAGCATACTTGGGCCTTGCCTTTCCTTCGGGACTGGTGAGGTTCGGTATCATTCAATTCCGATCATTCTGGTGGGGGCGACGCTTCACTTCTATTTTTTTCAGGTCAGTTTTTGTTTACTTCTCCCTCTGACGGCTGCTTTGTGCGGCGAGTGGGTCTGGAAAGGATTGTTTTTTTTGGCGACTCTGCTGATTTGTGGGGTTGTGGCCATGTCCCTGAGGTCCTCTTAGGTTCTTTCTGGACTTGGTGTTGAGTGATTGTGTCCTGCTTGGGGATCTGATTTGATGGACTCGTGTATGGGCTGAAGCTGATTGATATCTTCGCCACCAGATGTGTTGTATTGCCTCGGTCATTGTGCACTATGTCACCACGAGATGCAAATTCTAGCTTGGCCCAATGCTACATGCTATTTCTCTAGCATTTCTTCTACTCGTAATTTTAACACAAATCCAATGTAGCCAGTGACCCAGTAGATGCAACAGAAAACATGATATTGCCGTCCCTTCTATATTAGGGACATGTAAGTAAAAATAATGAAAATTCATTGCCTCCGTCAGCTTCTCGCCATTATCATAGGGGCTTCGTTTTGCATGACCCATCAGTCTACTCCTCGTCACCGATCTGCAAATATTATTAGCACGGTCCGACAAAACCACAACAATGTGACATACCTTGGGGGCGAGGTAGAACCGCAAGTGACCGCTTCCAAGACCGTACTCAACAAGCAGAGGCACCTCCTGGGACAGGTGCAGCTTTACAGAGCTGGACAGGTTGGAGGCTTTGCAGAAGTTGACGAGGTACTTGAGAGAGAAGGTCAGGGCGACGGGTTCGGAGAGAGAGATAGAGACGTTCTGGTCGGGCTTGTCGACGTTGGTATGCTGGCGGATAGTAACGGAGCCGTTACCAATGTCACCGGAGCAGGAGAACTTGACACCCTCCTTGCTGGCCTCGATGACGACTAAAGATCCAATTAGACATAGTTCCATGGCTTACGGCGCAGATAACTTACCAGACTCGGACAGAGCGTTCAAATCTCTACAGATACGCTGGAACTCCATCGCGGGCATCTCGACGGTAGCGGCGTATTCAGTCTCGGGGATGGCCAGGTGCTCCTGGTCAATATCCATGAGCTTGAGGTCGTACTCGCTGAGACGGTCAGTCTCGGCGCTCTCGAACATCAGGTTGACGGCATCGGGCGAGTCCTCGGCCTTCAGGGTGAGAATGTCTTCATTTTGGGCGGCACGCAGAACCTTGGTCAGGGAGACCAGGTTAATGCCGAGAGCGATGTTGCGGTCGCAACGGTAAGGCGAGAAACCCTCTGCGCGGAGCAGCATGGAGACCAGGGCAACGTGTGAGTTATCCATGGCCTGGAGCGCAATACCGGAGTCATTGCAGTCGAAGTTGCAGTCCTGAACCAGATCCTTGATGGCATCAACGACCTAGAGATTCCTGAGTCAGTTTATCAATCGGGTGTGAGGTTGCGGTGTCGGCTCCACGTACGCGCTTCAACAGACTGGCCTGCTCGAGACGTGCTTCCAACACTGTCGATGGGTTAGTCGGGGTTTCGCACCACGGTCGGGTTACGATCAAGACGTACTGATGATGAGGGGTGTGTGTTTGTGGGTTATTAAAAAGAGAAGTATGAGCAAGAAGGAGGCGTCGAATTGACGTAAAATTGAGTGTGTAGAGGGGGAGCAGAGCGTGGGTATTTTGGAAGTGGTATTGACGAAGGTAGAAAGGCCAGCGGTCTGATTATAAGGTGAAATCGCGTCCGAGGGTTAGTGGGGAAACGCGCGCGAGCGCGTTTGGCGATATGTCCTAATTGGGCTAGCTCTGTGCCTGCACAGTAAGGTGTCTGCGACATGCGGCCTGAGACCGGATTTTATGTAGGTATATTATTGGGTTTCCATTTTAGTAACAAGAGAAGATGTACTATACAAAAAGGGGAGGAAAGAGCAAGGCTTGATTTCCAGCTGAAGAGAGCAACGAAAAGAGGATCAACCCCTCTGTCAAAAAAAATTATACAAACGAAAGAGATGTGCAACGAATGAAAAATGGAAAAGATCACGATAAACGCCGTATTCGCCAGATCCTTCTATAGACATCAGGGTATCGTATCAATGTTTGCGCCTCCAACTCATGCCCATAGCAGCCGCGGGCAATGTTGGGGGGAGGATCGAAAGGGAGCGAGCGACTAGTCGAGTCGCTAGATACTGGTCACTCGTTTAGAGTGGGTGTTGCGAGGTCGCTGCTTTATAACCATCTCCAGTTCTTTGAGCATGTTCGTATTGGCGTCCACTTTCTCGCGAACAGTGGCCTGTCTCACTCGTTCTTCTCGCACGCGCGCCAAACGTTCATCTCTGGTAAGAGATGCTCTTTTGTTCCTGGATGCAGGAAGGACGACCGCCTCGAAGATTTCCTCATCGTCAAAGCTATGCGTCAAGTCGGGGCGAGAGTCGCCATTCAGGGCTTTCAGGGCGTCTGTGGGGCTGCCCTCAACTGCTGTAGTACCCCCAAGACTAGGGGTAGGCGACAACGGCAAGACAGTACTAGGGGGCCGCGAGCGGTCCAAAGCACCGAGTCGGTCTTGGCTATTCACAATTGCAGCTTTCCCGGCTTCCCACTCTTGCAGAAGAGACCGAATGTCACCACCAATCGAGTCGTACTGTGAAAGGAGAGCCGCCTCGAATTCACTGCTGTCCGGTCGGTCTATATTGGCGTTTGTCTCCTCGCTGACTATGTGCATTTTGGCATGCAAGGAACGCACTCCTTGAAATAGGGAATTGAGCCGCCGAAGTTGTGCACGCATGCTCTCCTTGCTTGGGGAAGCAGTGGGTAGCGGAGACGGAGGAATGGCATCCCCTATGAAATCAAGATTAGCCAATGCTTTTGCAGCAATCAAGCGCAAATACTCACGGTCTTCCTCATCCAGGATTTTGGTCATTTTAGTCATGCTCGTTCCAGTGACTGCAGCAAGCTCGCGCATCTCCTCTACAGCGGAGCTCCACCGCGCAATATCCGAGGCGCCCCCATCGGCACTTAGAGCCAGCAGACAGGATAGGACGCTTTTCCTGACGGTGTATAGTTTCCCGAACAGGTCCCGTAGTGAGCGCAACGAGTACTGGTCTTCCAAAGGCCGATGTGCCAAGGTTAACTCAATTGCTTCGAGATCCTCGAGTCCAATATCGTATATGTCGTAGTATTTGGCGAGATTTCCTTCGTCTGTGAGAGGGCGCAGCGTGTTTTGGGATTGAATATAGCGTTCAAGCATCGACCAGAAACATTCCGATACGGCTCGGCGGAGTCTCAGACAGCGTCTGGTCTGAACCTGGTCCTCGAGTCGACTAATTGGCGGCAAAGGTGTACTTCTGTAAGGCATGTTTAGCTCATGTCTTTCCACGAAACCAGTTGTGGCGTCTCACATCCGATAGCCTCTGGAAACCAGTTCCACTTCTTGGATGAAGACCACCGAAGCGGACGCAGCCGAGTCAAATCCCTGAGCATTTCCAACAAATGTGCCAGCAGCTTCCACGGCCTGATGCCTCAAGTATTTCAACCATTGTCGCTTTGCGAAAGCATAGAAGACAGCGCCCAGCACCGGGACAAGGACCAAGAGCACTCCGATTCTGCGTGGATTGAGTCCGGTTCCTGTTTTAGACCGACCCCAGTGTAGCAAAAAGGCAATCGAAAAGGAAGTAGCAGCAGTAACGGCGGCACCGTGTAGACCGAATGTCGTAGAGAGAGAAGGGAGGTCTGTGGGTTGGGAAGCGGAGGCAACGTCTGCGGCGGAGGTGTAGGAGGGGGCGCTGTGCTCGTTCAACAACTGCGAGGCGACGATAACGTATCCGAATTGTTCCAAGAATCTCTCGTTGTCACCACGACCGATGCGCGCATTTAGAGCTGACTATAATAGTTCCAACGGTCAGAATATGGCTCTTAACCATGGTCACGGGGACAATTACCGAACAAGCACTATACAGCTTCTCAACCGCCTTTCCGCGTCGCGTATTTGTCAGGTCCAAAGGCTTTGGTAGCTTGTTGCGTACGCGCTCCTGGAACTTGGACGCTCCCCGCGGGGCAAAGTCGGTGGACGGAGGGTCAGCTTCATCCTCACTGTGCATCTCCTGGACAAGCCAGTTCTCCTCATTTTCGCCTCCGCCTGATAATGACACGCGTGAGTATATGGAGTTTGCTGTGTTCGGAGGATGCGACGAACCTTGAAGGTAGTCGGCAAGTGGTGAATTCTCATATACGAGGGACTCCATGGCCGAAAATCATTCCGGAGAGAGTCGAGGAATGGAGGTGACGAAACGTGAAATGGGCGGACAAGGATGAAACAGGGTTAGGCAAGGCGCGCGCTTATGGACATATCGCAGAAAGATAAGACCAGGTACTCTCTAGTCGTTATACCCGTGATTATGAATAGTCTTGTAAGAGTGACCCGGCCACGTTGAGCATCCGGGGAAAGGAGAGGTCACGGGAGTTTAATTTAGGGCAGAGGACCCACTCGCCTCCTTTTCATGACATGAGCACTCGCCTAAACAACTATTAAATCGTGGAATTGTCAACTATGATTGGTGTATACGATTAACAATCTCCTAGATCTGCTAGGAGCAGATTATGATCATCCGGGCTAAGAGTGCAGAGAGATCCAAGGTGCATCCATGTACATAAACAGGGATGATAGGAGTCAGGTACCTGTGGCGGTGCAGCCCGGAGCCCGCTAAGAAGCGGTGGACAAGGGTAAGGGTACCTTTGACGACGGGCTGTGCTCCAGAGTCCCGACGAGATAAGCTGAACATGTTATGCATCCGTATTTCCATTTCGGGAATGCGCGCTGTTCGTATGTCACGTGATTTAGCCACTATCATTAGATAAGCATAGTTGCCCTAGACAACGCGCGTGTCAACAGGCCAAGAAGTACACTCTATCGTTGACACGCGGGAGATGCGCGTGGCCCGTTGGTTAAGTGGACGTGTCTTGCACATTTAGATCTTCCTTTCCATTCTTGACTCCCACATCCCGCGCGTTCGAAATATCCTAACCCCAACGACCTCACCGCTTCTTTGAGATCAACAAGCTGCAAGGGTCAACTCTATTGACGGTACAACCCTGAATCTCCATTTCGAACATATCCATTCGACATATCTATGCTCCATAGCCCCTCAACCAGCAATCCAGGCAGCTCGACGGCATGTCTGGAATTTTGAACGAATTTGTCACCCCCTGCCCGTCCAGGTCGAGGTCCTCGGGCTTCGGTGAAAACAGTAGTAGCGAGTGGGACAGTTTGCTGAATGGAGACTTGAGCTACGACCCCACCGGACAAGTCGAATATACCACCAAAGTAGGACCACCCACACTTACTGGGGCACGACCTCGACGCGCCCATCGGACTGGCTCTGCTTTTCATATCCTTGAGGATGTGGTGGAGAAGCCAGCTGCTCCACCCGAAAAACGAAGAAGACCAGTGACCAAGCTTCCTTCAGATCGCAAGACTTCCTTGCTTGCTCAGCCGGCTCAGCGATTCCGCCCGAAAGTTAACGTTGCCCCGAGTCCACCATCCCGACTTGTGAAACAAGAAATCGAGACACGACCGGGGCCTCGACTCGGAATTGAGACTGTCGAAAAGACCTCGCCTATCCCACGTTTAAGCGACAGAGGACTACGCCAGGCTAGGAACGAGGAAGGACTCAAGAAAAACCTGCGGCGCAATACCATGTACATCCCACCGGATGATGCTACCGTGGCTAGTGTTTTCATGGGGCTGTTCAGCCCACTGAAGAAGCTCCAAGGAGAGGATATGCCACATATTGCCGAGGATACACAGGTCAATACTCTCGAAGCACGAATTGCAAAGCGCCAAGCGAGGAAATCACTGGCAGTATCCGCTCGCAAGGCTCCCCTGCAGCTAAGTGTGAAGATCGCACAAGAAGTCGCAACAAGGGTCGATGTCGCCGGTAAAAATGGTGGCAAGGAAAACATTCCTCCTGGCACATTTGACGACACCGGAAAGAAGAGCGTCGTGAACTCTCTTCCACCATCGAAACCCAAGCGGGTCAGTACTGTACCGACCGCTAAGCCCGTTCGTCGCAACACTGCAAACCAAGCACCAAAGCCAAAGACAGTAGAGCCTGTTGCGGTATCGCAAAAGAAAGAACAAGCGAAGCGTGGAGTGCTGGGAGAAAAGCAGCACAATGCGAGACCCCAGCCGTCTCGCGTCATTCCAGAAAAAGGCGTCCTTCATGAACCAAAAGTTTCATTCAAAGCCTCGGCGTCCCTCAATGCTAGGGCGTCTGCCTTGTCGGATCGCCTTGGATATTCGACAAATCGCTCGTCGATAATTGGCAACATATCGAAGTTGAAGCACGAGTTTCCCATGCTCACTGACAACATCTCGAAACCTGCGCTCTATGAAGACCATTGGCTTTCTCATCAAGAAACTGTGATCACGCAGCTGGTCAATGCCTTGTTCGAGTGCACAAACGGTGACTTGACTACCTACGACCCAAGCGCTCTCCGCTTGGAATTGCTTGATCTCTATCACGCCGATTACTTCACCCAGCTCTATACACGGCTGCAAGCGTCCTTGTCTTGTGGAAACTTGAGCATTCCCAAAGACGCATTTGCCCGCAACAGTCGTCTCAGACATGACCTGGGTCTCCGACGCAAATACCTTGACATCTGGGTGCAATCGTATGATCTTCGCGCTCTGACAGCAGCACTGGAGACGGTTGTTGGTCGAAAAATCACAAGTGACGCAGGCTTATTCGAGCCTGGTGCCGGAGTTTTCCCACAGGCCAGAGCAAAGCGCCAGAAAACGATCATCCGTAAAGTGGAAGGCTTTCTTGAAGCATTTTTGCTGCGCAATGACGACATTGATTTGTCTGTGTCTGGGACCAAGAGCGTTCCAGAAGAGGTGCAGGCAAGGGCTTATCGTCGAACGGTGCTCCGGAGTATCATCTTGGTTGTTCTTATGGACAAGGGAAGACAAAGCCCCGGAACCGGCTTCCCGCGTCGCCTCTTTGTGGCATCTTCACCTCTCAGGTCCTCAATTGAAGTACTTCAGGCATTGACACGTGTACTGCTTCCTTTTTGCGGGGATATTATGAAGACTTTGAGCCATCTTGACTGCCACCTGTCTTACAAGCAGCATCAACTCCAGGAGTATAACTATCGAATGGACAATATTGCTGTGGACCTGAGAGATGGTATACAGCTGACCCGCGTGGTCGAGGTGCTTTTCTTCACGTCAGAGCATGTGCGGCCCGATGTTGAAGATCAGACCGAAATCACCTTGTCTACTGGAGAGGCCCTTTCGCTGCTGGGTAACGAAAGAGATCTTCCCCTTTCCAAACACCTGAAGTATCCTTGCACCAGCCGTGCCGCCAAAGTCTACAACGTACGTATTGCGCTCTCTGCGTTGAGCTCTGTGCGAGGATCGGGTACGATTGTCCAAGACCTGCGGGCTGAAGACATCGTAGACGGTTTTCGCGAGAAGACCATCGCACTTCTTTGGGCTCTCGTGAGCAAATGGGGTCTGGCTGGTCTGGTTGACTGGGACGATGTCAGAAACGAGATTGCTCGATTGAAAAAGAAGGAGATTTCCCAACTTGGCCACGAGAATGTCCAGAATGAGTCTCTGTGCGTAGACGACAGCGTTGTTGGTGATGAACATGCCCATCTACTTCAGCAATGGGTTTCGATCTTGGCTACTCTGAAAGGCCTTTCTATCAGTAACATGACAACCAGTTTTGCGGATGGAAAAATTTACGAGAGTATTGTTGATGAATACGAACCATACATCACTGGCAACCAGGAAAGTCAGGAGACAACCATGCAGCCTGGCCCATCGTTGGAAGGCCGCCTGCGACTGCTCGGATGCAGCTCCCAATTCGGTAAGTACTTTGCAATATGAGACATACCCCAATCAGAGAAAATACTAACAAATCACGACCAGCTCATCTCGTCTCACCTAATACAACATCTTCACACATCCTCGACCGCGATTTCACTCTTGGTGTACTCGCCTTCCTTTGTTCTCGATTACTCTCGGCATCAAAGCGTGCCCGAGCAGCTATGGTGCTACAGCGCGCTTGGCGAGCCCGCCTCGCAATCCAAAACGACTTGCGTCGCACCGTGGCCAAGAGTCTTGCCGCCCATTGTGCAGCCGTCGTTCAAACACGGGACGAAATCCTGTGGGCTAAGGGTGTTATCACTCGTTATTGGAGACAACACAAGGCTCGCCAGCAGCAGAAAGTCAAAGGAACACCCATTTTCCGCAAATTCGATCAGCCCTATGTGAAGACCGCTGGTCGTCGTCTTTGAAATACATCCTACTCTACATCGGCCCCTTCCGTCTCAGGGATCCCCTGTCACTGGTACATCTGTGACATCATAACGATAACGAAAGCGCGTCATTCTTTGAATCCCCATTGACACCTCCTATCGTTCTGGAGTATGTGTCCCATCGAACATTGAAGCGTTGGGCTCCAATTCTCAATCCCACTTATACCCTCATTACTCATGCTTTTTTTATGATATCCCAAACGAAATTGATCTTTATTTCTATGATGGCTACAGAAACCGTACATTTTCAATTTAAAGTTCGCAACAAAGAAGCATGTTCCTCGATTCATAAAGCCTCAGCAGGGCAAAACTAAATTACAGCAATTCATGTCCAATTCGTATCCTGCGTACGACATCTGCTTACCAGCGGCCACCGCCACCCTGCTACTAATTGTTAGCAATGTTGTCATAACCACTGGCTTCTTGTTGTACTTACAGGACCACCGGGGCCGCCGGGGCCACCGGGACCACCGCCGTGGGGACCGCCATGTTGGCCAGGACCTCCAGGACCTCCAGGGCCTCCGGGACCACCGTGAGAGCCACCCTGTCCGCCAAATCCGCCTTGGTGGCCACCAGGGCCTCCAGGTCCGCCGTGAGGGCCTCCTTCATGAGGGCCACCGAAGCCTCCGGGGCCTCCAGGACCGCCGGGACCACCGGAACCACCGTGGTGAGGGCCGCCACCAGGGGGACCGCCCTGAGGACCGCCAAATCCGCCCTGAGGACCAGGACCACCTGGTCCGCCCTGGGGGCCGGGACCACCTTGGGGATGGTCGTGGTGATGGTGGAAGAGACCCATTGTGAATGTGTGTAGAGTGTGTGTAAGGCCGAAGATGAAAGCCTTTGAAAGATGTAGGAATTGGAATACTGGAGAACAGCGAAGCTTGGAGCTCTTAAATACTTGGCTCTCCAGTTCTAAGAATAAGCACTTGAGTCATCATCGTAATCAAGCTCCCACGTAGCCACTCTGATGTGATCATCGTGGCTGGTCTTTCTCCTCGAGGCGTCTCCCCGGTGGCGTGGTCAATCTAATCGGTATAGCTAGGATTATGCCAAGGAACCATTGGATGCCAAGAACTTTTCTAGCTCAGAGATAGAGGGGCAGTTGCCTAGATCCAGTTGGTTACTGTCTGTGATTCGGGGCTAGTTCAGCTGGGCCATATATTTTGCCGTTTATTCTAGCTATCCGAATTAAGGTTTACCACTTTGTACCAACATCTGCCGCATGTCCAAACCTATACTGACATCAATTGACTACATAAATAGCAGGAATCATCAAATCAGAAAAGGAGTCGATCGTGTCGGACCATTGCCGTCATTCGTCTTGAAAGTCCACGCAAGCAAAAGCCAAGCGGCAAATCGTGAGCCCTACCCGCTGCTCAGTATCACGGAGGCCCCACTCGGCATAGAACGTGGCGCAGAATTACGCGTTCCAGGGGGGCACTCACACAGCAAGAGTCCATCCTCAGAATTAGATACTAGCGGGAGTTGGCAGCCTCGAGGATTAATTTTATTTCTCTAGGTGATAGGCCGTCGTTGCAAAGGGGAGGTCTTGGGTTGTGTGTTTCCTATCTACCCGATTTCTACACACTCACCATGTTCGACACGATTAAGAGCTGGTTCTCGTCGGCCCAATAACCCACCGAGGGCGAGTGGGACGCCAATACTTTGACTACGTAGCAGCTAACCAGCCCTGCGGCCCCGGCGATGAATCAGACTGTTCTGGGCAGCCGGTACGAATCCCGTCCGCCCTTGGCGTGCGATGGAATGAGCTAGAATGAAAGCTGATCGGTGTCATAGGATCATGCCAAGTGATGATAATGAATATGCTGATTGGGTTGATTAGCTGCGCTGAGCTTTGCTGCTTTGCTGCTTTGAGTGCTGCGAGTGCTGCTGCGGGGATTGCTGTGGCGATGATGGTCCCCCTGGAGGTCCTCCTGGCCGGTGAGGTGTATACCGTAGCACTGCACTTAAGTGTAAGATCATTTGCTGTTGAGTTGCTTCCATATTATGAAATAGATAATACGTTTCCCAGGTCTTCCTTGTACCCATGGATCGATCTTGTTGAACAAACTACACGCCAGTTCAAGTGCGAGGTTGTGGGTGAACGGTCACTTTCCATGCCTAGTAACCGACGGTATATTATTGACAAGGAAAATAACAGAATACTATAGCCTGGCTGAGGATATAGCCTAGGTAGGCCTAAACATTTGATTCTTTAGTTACTTCTTAATCTATTTCCCGGGTATCTCCCTGAAGCTCTTTGTAGACCTCTTCTTGTTCCTTTGAAAAAGTGTCTATTTGAATGACCGCAAATACGTTAAGGGAGAGAATCCCCGGTTACCTACTTGAAGCCTTTGCGTTATATTGCTAGTCCGGTTACACAATTTAGGATCTAGTCACGTAACCGAACTGAGGTATTGGAAATAAGCGGGCGGAACCATGGATGGTGAATTGATAATCAGCTGCCGCACCAATTCGAGATTGGGAACCCCGAGGTGCTTTCAGATCCGGATTCAGAGACGAAAAAATGAGTTCAGAAGAGGACTGCTTCCGTCTGGGCTCCTGTGAGCCTACTGCACATCCCAAATGAGTATTGGAATGTGTAGAAGCTTATCGAGAGCGGATCTACATGAGCTTAACGTGCAAATTCCGAATCCCGAAGCCACGAAGCCACGAGGAATGACGGATGTGGCTTGTGTAAGCACCTAGATGCATCTATAGAGCGCGGGATAGATGAGGAGTATCATGTTTGCCACGATATATCACAAAGGAGCCGTGGTCAGAGCAGTCATCAGAGCAGTCATGATTGGTAAATTGTATACTTGCCGGGTATTCTACAGAACGGGGCAGCGATAGGCTCTGAAGAATCCAAACACGGGAATGATCTCCGTGCCGTACATGATGATGGATCCCAACTGCCCTCATTTCTCTATTCCTCTAAGGACTGACACCATGCCCGGGGCTCCTTGGAGATCCCAGGGATGTAATACCTGCAGGAGGCGCAAGGTCAAGGTGCGCATACCCATGATCGCCGCGGCTCGGCGCTGCTAACCCGCTTCACCCGCAGTGCGACGGGGAACGACCCCACTGCGCTCGATGTCTACGAGGCGGCCATCGCTGTGACGGATACGATCGATCCCGAAAGTTCGTCCATGCCTTTTCAGCACCTAAACATCCTTCCCAGGATCTTCCGGTGGTCAAGCAACCACCCCATAAGCATGAAGCAAGCTTCTCGGCGATCAACGTCAACACGCAGATCCGATCCCAGCTTTTTTCCTTATTCATCGACTCATACATTCCATCTCGGCCAGTGGGCCATATCAACTTCCGATGTCAGCAGACGTCGAATCTGTTCGAGGTCTTCCCGACCGTCATGAATGGCAAGAATAGCCAACTACTTGACCGGGCCATATCAGCGCTTGCTGCTGTCTTTGTGGGCAATAAAATCGACGATGAACAGTTGGTTCGACATGGTGTTGGCCTATACAATAACGCCATTCAAGTGTTTGCACGTCTCATACCGCGATCTGGGCTCCCGGTTCAAGAGGTTCTATGTGCGAATGTTGTATTTCAACTATATGAGGTGAGTCGTTCCTGTATTGGAATTTCACGGATACAGCTAACCCATCCAGCTTATAAACTGCACATCCGGATTCTCGGGATGGACAGCGCATATGGAAGGCGCCAACGCTGTTCTCGCTCGACACCAACAATCCCTGGAAAGAGACAAATTATCCTCAATGTTACTTCGCCAGCTGAAACTATCAAATGTAAGTCCAGGCCACCCTTACCGTGTCTTGGAATCAGAACTGATTCAGACAGATATTCCATGCAATAGGAAAATCCAAATCAGCCCTCGCTTTTTGCCCGATGTGGCGGTATCTATCACCTAGGGACTCGGATGATCCTATCGACGAAATCATCGACATCCTTATGGCATGCACCAGTCTCCTCGCTCGAGAAGATGACTTGCAATCTACATATGATATCGAGCAATTAATCCAGCAGTGCTGGGATCTTCACATGCAAACCATGGCCTGGAACGATAAGCTCAAGCTAATTCATGGAAAATCGCTCTACACTAGGGTTCCGGACGAGACCAAAGTCACTCGAACTTCATCCAGCAGGAACGTCTTACCAGATAGATATGAATTCATAGCCCTTGAAGTCGCAGAGTCACACATGCTCTGCTGGACTGCAATGCTCATAATGTACTCTCTTTTCCACCGACTGGAGATACACAAAAAGCTTCTTTCTCCGGGATACACGTCCGATAAAGAAGCAGAAACATTCCTTAAAGGAGCACAGCACTACGCCACGCAGATCTGCCTTGGCGTGGGCTACTTCCTTCAACCGCACATGCATATCCTTGGTGGGCATAACTTGCTCTTCCCGGTGAGCATGGCGTCTCAGTTCTTTCTCATCAATGAACTGCATGGCCAGTACCAGTGGTGCCAGGAGGTCTTCATTGCACTTGAGGCTGACGGCCTAGGGCTCGCCAGTGTTCTGCTAGGGACACCCTGGTCCAGATACAAAGAAAGCAGTCCACCGGTGATTAAAATTGAAGCTGAAGCTGAAGCTGAAGCTGAAGCTGAGGTTGAAGCTGAGGTTGAAGCTGAAGTTGAAGCTGAGGCTGAAGATTTGGGGTACGATGCTTGACGTATCTTTTCCCTTCGTTGTACAGTACATACATACATTCAGTGCACATTTTCATGGAAAAGTTTAATCAATTTCATCCAACACATATATCTGGCGTGTCCATTCAATTAGATGCGATATATTTCGCATGTATCTTGTTAATCGCCCTCGTCCCCTGGTGCCGAACTATACGGGCTGGATGAATAGCCGAACTGGACTGGAAATGCAATATCCAAGCCTTGGCCCATATTACATCCAAGCCGAGATTGACGTGCATCGGTGACGATTACGAAACGCCCAGTGAAGGGTGAGATCTAGAAAAGATATATCTTACGAGGTGAATGTTTACAAGAGATCTTTAGACAATTTCTCAGCGGAGAATGCCCCAGACTCACGTTCTAGCTAGAGAAAGGTCCTTTCAAAGTTAGCTTATTCTCAGCCATTGTATGAGTCTTACTTCACCGCGATAAACCCTGTCGGAAGATTATTAATTGGACACGGGGAAGAGGCTTTTGTCGGAATGTCTTTTCTCATAGATCAGGTAGGCTTGTCTCCCTAGCAGAGTAGCGATAGAAGCAACTCCTGTCTTCGGATCCTTCGATGCGAATCGATGCAATATTGATCCCGGCCTACTGGGTGCCTCACTAGTTGAATATTCCAAGGTCGGCTTCCTTCTTTGACTCCCAGTAGTCATCGACGATATAGCATGAGTAAACGCATCTATTCACTGTAAATTTACCCCATTCACCTAGGCAACGGCCCCTACGTGACATCACCGATGAAGGGACTTGCTTCAATATCAACATCCTTGCATATACCGCACATTAATTAGTAAACGATAAACGGTCGCAAACCTACACCCCAGACCGCTTGAACGTCCGACCGCGACATCAATAACTCACCGATGATCAAAGCTAGATGATGCGTTGACATCCGTCATCTCGAGGCCCCGGATTAATTATGATGATATCTGTACAGGTGTACGGGGATAACCCGGGTTGCGCGGGCAAATGAGGAAGTGAACACCTTCATGGGTTAGCTGATCTTCGCGTGAGCACCTTTTCGGAGGACATTCTCCCGCGAGCACCCCAAGTACCTAGGATCAACCTCCCGGTGAACCGTATGTAGCCACTTGGGCAGAAAGAGAATGATTGATTATCATCTTCAAGGTATACATACAAAAGAGTGGCGATGCTACGTATTTCAGCCCCATCTTATTATGATATCACAGCCCCCTCCACCACTTCTATTATTATTCCTGATGTCCAAGCCACCCATGTAGTGAAGATCAGCTCCACCGTGGGATGACACATCAGGCCCCATGCCAGGGCATCGGCTACGCCCCTGATGACGGCATGAGCCTAAGCTGTGAGCCTCGAGTCTGAGAAAGCGCGCTGACGGGCGCAGATGACTATGCTGGGAACTAAGCACCGACGCGATAAGAGAATGGAAGAAACCGCGTTACGAGTTGCGAGTTGCGAGTTCAGACTTGATCGTGCGGGGATTCGGGACACTCATTGGTGAGTGTGCTGAACAGCGTGTGTGGCCCGGTGACTTTGATCTGAGCGCTTGGCTAACTATATTTGGGTATTTGTCGATCGGTGCAGGTGCACTTTGCACTTGTTTCTTGGTGGGGGCTTTTCTGTATTAGGTTGTATCGAGGTGACTACTTCGTATGTACTTGCTGTGTATCGATCTGCTGTTCTTGTTGGATGTTCGATGCAGCGAAGAACACTAGGCTTGTTCCATCATGGTGGCTTGGCTCCCCTAGGAGCCTCATTGGGTACTAAGTTCATGTGCATTTTGTCAGACTTCTACATTCGTATCTGGTGTCCTCCATCTGTAGGCAGATTCATTTCTAGTCTGCGCTTCGTTGGGGCGCCAGATGAGGTTGGGGTTGGGGTTGGGCGTCCTCGAGTTGGGCTGCGGGCTGTGGAAGGGGCGCAGCTTAGACAGCCTGAGGTCTACTGCGTAGAGATGCTCGAGATACACAATGCGACGATAGCGAACTCCCAGATCGGACTGATCCGAATCAGAACGAGCTGCCAAGGCTGTCCAAGCCTATAGCCGGTCGATCCCGCGAGCGCATTTGGCACAGGCACTGCCACGGTCACTGCAAGGCTCGACTGCACTGGTTGCACGGCGCGACGACTTGGCAAAACAATAGATCAATAGATTTCTCCATAGATACTTGCCAAGGCACCTCCTTAATGCACCGGGGGCAACGTGATCACCATGATCGCCCTTGGCACAGTTCATTTGCAATTGAACTGGCTGGTGGCCTTGTGTGACGATAGGGACTTGGCGCTGAGACCATCAGCCCCTGGGTATTGAATTCGAGCCAAGATCTTGAAGAAAGGGGGGATCCGGAATCTAGAGTTTGAGTCTGGAGTCTGGTCCACTCCGGGGAGAGTGGATTTCCTTCAGAAAGTGGTCATCGGACAGCTTTCGCTCATATTGAGAGTGACACCGGGCGCATTCTGAAGATCCGTCGAGTCTCTTGGCAGTCCGAAATATCGAGGGGTTGTCGCCAAGCACCGCAGCGGAATGGACTGGACCCAGTGTCGCCGGTCAACTGGCCCTCCCTGTGTTCTGAACCGCCCCCTACGGTGGTGCGTGGGTTAGGGGGTGATGCCCTGAGGAAATCCTTGGCGAGAGTATTTGGGATCTAAGTTCATTAGTGGTCTCGAATGATCGAATTGATCAATACCATTTGGTATGGTAGTATCTGCTGGAGAAAAGGGTGAATGGCTGATCTAGATACGGTCGGCAAATCTTGTCGGCTCGGTCGTATAGAAGACCGAGTCCTGCCCGGGAGGCCTGGAGTCAGCACGGAGTACACGGCACGGCGTAATGTAGTATTGCCAATCGGCCTTGGCCCTTGTGCATCCAACTGGGAAGTCAAGACGTGAAACGCGCCCTGCTGTCGCGGCATTGGAAAGGTAGGTGGCTTGCCTGAGCCAGGGCTCTCTCGTGCGAGTCTCACTGCAACAACGGTGGACACGGCATGCATGGTGCAGTGTAGAGTGCTGGAATTGGATGTCCAGATTCGTATAGTGCGGAGTAGAGAGTACGGAGTACTTGTCATAGATTGTACCGTGGAACCAAGAAAGTCGAAACCCTACCCTAGGGTACGTTTCCAATTGATCATGGCTAAATTGGACCATGCCAAGCGAGACAGCCGCTGTCAAAGTGAAAGTGTCGCAGCTTAACTGTTTCTGGCGTCCGTCGCAGACGAGTGGAGAGGGCCGGTAAAATGCCTCATACAAGTGACTCCAAATCCTGGCGCTAATGCGTACCACACGGTAGCTCTTGACCTAAGTCTTCCCGCGTTTCCTACCTTGCATATGCTGGCTCTCCACTTCCCCGGTTGATGTTCCGGTCAACCTTTTCGTCCTCGTTAGGGCATCGTTGGTGCTCGTGCCAGCTGCTGGCCCCGGCTCCTCTTCGTCTTGTGTGGATCCGAACGGAACAATGTCTGGTGCCAACGCAGCGCTTCAACTTCGGGGTGTTCTCTCTCTATAAGGATAGGATTGGAGAAGTTCGGGGAGATGAGGGGGTCTTCTTGGCCCATCCCAGAATCCCAATCCCATGGCATCGCCAGATTGGATGGCCCGTGAAGTCCGTGCAATGGTTCGATTTTTTATTTTGGTTTTGGCTCCCCGAGAGTTACTAGGTATACGCAATTACTGCAAGTCTCGTACTTTATTACTCCGTAGTCAAAGGAAGGACCTAGTCGATCGCGGGACCTCGTGTCCATCGATCCATCGACGTACATGCGGAGAAAATCATGCGACCTGCAAGCTTTCCTGAAAATATCCTGGCCCTATGGCAACAAACTTCGCGCTCGAGGACGGCAACCTCTGACCGGTTCGTAGGCAAATGGAGGGGACCACTGGGCGTCTCCCAACAGAACAGGGGCCATGCTGGCTCGCGCAGATGAAGTGTGGGGTGATTGGGGATTCGCGAAGCTTGTCGCGATGTGAGAGCTAGGATTGCACCGGGCGGATTGGATGATTGGATGATGGGATGATTGATGCTCCCAGTACTTGAGGATTTGAGTACTTCGAGTCTTGAATACTTGGTACCTGGTACTTGGTACTTGGTTACTTAGAGACTTGGGTACCTCTTTAGACCTCAGGTACTCTCCTTGTATACCGTTTTGTACACGGTACCCTACACTTCTAACTGGGTCCGATCCCGGCACTGATTCGGATTGCGGCTGACCGCTCCTCTGTTCCAAAATTTCCAAGGCTGTCAGCAGGCGCGATTGGTGCCCGTCAAGGTCATTCGATTCTGCGAAATGCCCAAGTGCGATGTGCCGTCGTGGTGGAGTCGGCGGGTTAGGCACACGTTTCACCGCAGCACAGCGTGGTATGCCAACTTGTTTTTTTTTTTTTTTGGTTTAGTTCACGCGACTACGATTTAATTTGGCGAAGTACTTCGCCTCGGGAGTGACGGAAGATCGTTGACAAGATAAAGATGCCTGGCATAATGGCCTTGGCACCATGCCGAACGGTACTGTCTTTCGGCTTGGCATGCCCGATTGAGGAGTGCGGAGCTGCACGGGGGATCTATAATGGGTCTAAATGAGGGTATACCAAGACCGATCTACCGGGCAGGTAGCCAAGAACACCCTGGGGTGATGTGTCTACACCAAAATATCCTCCACCCGGGGAGGCCCGAGGGAGTAATACGTCAGAGCGCCAGAGGTCTCCGCATCAGGAGCAAGGGAAGAACCATTAAATACCAAGCATTCCAGTATGCAGCCGACAACAGTATCCGAAACATGAGGAGAAACCAATGATCGAGGAAGCGCGCACAGCGCGAGAGATTAGTCGGGATTACTATTACTGGGTTCGAGTTTTAGGGCCCCTGCCATGATGGTACTAGTGTGAGTGTAGAGGGTTTAGTCTGGTCGGTCGAAGTGGGACTAGGGTTCAACCAAAGAGGGTTCAGGCACAGGAACAGGCCGCTTTGGGATCCCGTTACCCTCCGTGACGCCAGTCATTCCCTCGGGTAGGGGGTCGTATCGTTGGATTACAGTACCGTTACTGTACCCGACCTCGTGGTCCTGCAATCATCGATTTAAACGAGGATTGGAATGCAGCAAAGCCAGATGGAGAATTCTAGGGATGATCATGGCGGTATGTTCGATCTGATATAGCATATATTGCCGACCGCATCTATGTGAACGACAAAGAGACAATCGATCATTGTGCATGTAAGTAATAAGACGGGTCGACCTGAAAGGGTTTAGCGGACACAAAATGCCTCATAGCTAGTCCACCAACTCGACACACAATGGTCATCACTCCCGCTTTCGTCCACGTCGAGGATCTCTTTGTCTACGTCAGTAACGGATGGATACTGACAACTGTACAGTTTAGACAAAGGGTACTAATTTAAGAAATTAAGAAATGAACAATATGTCATAAAAAAGAACAGTTCACTAGGCGCAGGAACCATATCGTACTGTACAGTAAGCTGCAGGTGGGTCCTTGGAACAAGCGTGGAAGCAGGTTGTGGCGAGCGAGGAAAAAACGAAAATTTAAATGCGGGAAAAAAAAAATTTAAAAAATTCCCCCAAAATGCAAAAAGGAAAATCGACTAACCCAAAACAGCGGTGCCGTCCTCCCGCGTATCGTCACTCACGCCTTTCCCTCTTTCCCCCCCCTCGTGAAGCGGGTTTATACTGCGATCTTCCTCTTCATCCTTTCACCCCCTCCATATTTCCTCATGTTTTAAAACATTCTTCTTCCTTTTTCTTCGACTCTCTCCACTCTCGAACAGCACAGACTTCTTGGCGCTAAGCCTAGAGGTATTCTACAGGCAGACCCTCAAGCCTTTTTCAATAACTATTCCTCTTGGCGACTCCCTCTCGTCATTCTTCTATTTCGGTCTGCCCCCTAGCCATGCGCTTTATATCATGACAAGCGTCCTTAACGGGACTGTGTTATGCCCTCTGGGTCGATCCTGATCGATTTTCGAGAGTTGCGAAGTATACCTGACTTTCGCCACTTCCGATCTTTTCCAACCTCTTTGGTGGGAAACATGGCACAATCCCATGGTGGAGATCGAAATTTCTCATTCCATAACCTCTTGAAGATGTTGCTCTCGTCAAACTCGTCCACTCGCCCGGCGCATGACGACGCCGAGGTCGCGGAGGACTTGGATGAACCTCCTGATCAGCATATACTACACGCCACCTCGATGCATACCGAAGATACTATCGCCTTCACCCGACCCCTCATCGATCGCAAAGAATCCTTGCTCACCCGCGCTCTCAAGAGCAGTCCCGAAATGTCCCCTACCGAACCTCAATCCGCACTTCACGATTCCATCTACAGTTACCGCTCCTACCCCCATAGCAACATGAGTGGCATCTCCACGGCCGAGTTGACAAGTGATGGAGGCATGACCAGTCCGTCTATTGCTAACTCGCCGAGCCCACCCCTCCCCCCCTCAGATGATGGGCAAGGCGCCCAAATCTATGACTGGAAAGAGAGATGCGATGCCCAAGGTCAAGGTTGGGGACTCCAACGAGACCTCAGTTGAAGCCAACCTTGGACGTAAGCGTTGTATCAGCTTCGCCTGTCGCCCCAAGGCCGATTCGAACAACCAGCCCGCTGCGCCACCGGCTCGCCAGCCAAGCCCGTCGACTGTCAAAGTGGCCCCCGAACCCCCGAAACGCAAGTCAACCCTCACATTTGTCTGTCCTGGACGCCAGGCTGCTACCTCTATCCAAAGAGAACGCTCCCCGGGTCGCAAGGCTGCCCTCCGACCCAAGTGCCGTGGCTCTCCCGCTCCCGTTGCTCGCAAGTCATCCCCTGACGCCGCAAACTTCAAACAGAAGGATGTGAAGGAGATTACTGCGATTACTATCCCCAAGGGTGTTCCTACCAGTGGTTTGGGCAAATTTGAGGAATCAGAAGCTACTCGGTTCCATGAGTTTGCTAGCTCCATTGGTGAGGACGACGAGTGGGTGACCAAGTCAACTGAGTACTCTCAAAAGATTACTTTGAATGACTGCATGAAAAAGGAGAACGTCATTCGACGACTTGGCGAAGAGGCCGAGCAGGAAGCCCAGGAGGAAGAAGATGAGGACGACGACATTGAAGGTTTGGCCGATGATGACTCAACCATTCACGACTTTTCCTCGGATGATGGCAATGAGTCTGATAATGAGGCCGGTTTCGCGGAATCTGATGAGAGTGATGATGATGGCTCAGACTACGAGTTCTGGGCTCCTTCGATCACCGTGCCAGAGACCAGCGTTCCCTCTATTGGCATTTTCCCTCCAGTTTTGGAACGTCGTGCCTCCAACACCTCCTTCGACTCGTTGACCGATGATCACCAGCACTGGCTGCCTGCGCCTGTTCAACGGTTGCCCGGCCGTCGTCCTTCTAAGAATCTGCGCATGCGGCCCGGTACCCCCAACCTGCCCGATAGTACCGACTTTGTCTGTGGAACTCTTGATGAGGACCGACCTCTCGAGGCGGCTTATAAGTCCTGCATGGAACAACGGCGTCTTGAGAAGCATGTTCTCATCCCGCAAGACATTGACCCTAGCTTCCCAACCAGCGACCCCGAGGATGAAGAAGACCTAGAAGACCTTTCCGAGGACCTGGACTCTGTTGTTCTGGAGCCCACTCGAGGCCGCATAGAAGGACCGAACAAGGCTTCTTCTCCAAAGCACTCGCCCAAGCGCATGGTATCTCCGGCGCCGCCTCGCCGTGCTGGTCGCACCTCCCCAAAGCGTCTCAAGTCTCCCCCTCCTCGAACCAGAGCTAAATCTCCTCCCCCTCGAGTTCGGGCCAAATCACCTTCTCCACAGAAGTGGACACCATCGGGAGAAATGCCCGTTATCGAGTCGTCCCCAGGCCTTAATATTAGCCACCTGGTTCAACGGCCGCCTATGGTTCGCACTAAGTCGCTGCCTCGGACGCCCAACCCGTTCTTCACCGGCATGCAAAGTGCCCATAACTGGCAGGGAATCCCACCCCTGACAGAATCACCGGAGCGGAACGCTCACGCACATTTGAGCCCCTCCATACTCGAGGACCCGTCGATATTGTTGAGGGCCTCGAAAAGAAGCGCCAGAAACGAAAGGAAAAGTTCTGGCGCCAACACTGCCGCAAAGCTGCCAAAGAGCAGGCGGTACGCCGGCCCATTCCCGGCAAGGGAGCCGAACGGATGAAGGAGCTTGGCCTCGAAGTTGCTGAGAGGTGCAGAGCTTACGGCGTCGGTCAAGACGCCCAGCTCGTCCTATCTGTTTAGGTTACCCATGGACCATTTGATGTCCTAATAATTCCCCCTGGAAACCTTCTGTACATACCTACCTTTTCCCTTTCTTTAGCCCGCTATGGATCCGGGTAACCATTCGCTTTTACATACTTAGCCAATTTTGTGTCATCCACTTGGTTTCTTACATCTCTATATCTTTAATCCCCGGGGGAACCTATCTCTGCATCATTTATTTTACTTTTACCCGTCCCTCTCTGAAGAGACATCCTGTCCTTTCGAATTTGCATGGCTGCGGTGCATATACCCCTTCTCTGGATTTGCTGCATGTGTGGATAAAGTGGGGGATCAATTCTGACCCAAACCAATAACAATATCATTAAACACAAAAACTCAAACACAAATCCAGATTCAAATTCAAATCGCAATTAGTAGAAACAGTATCACTTCTTCTCAATATGTTGTCATGTCACATGACTCGCAGCTGTCACAATGACTTTGGTGGTAACCATCGCTACCTCAAGGCGATGCTCCTCACTCCAACAACTCTCGCCTATGGTAGATCACGTACCTGCCGCGAAAGAACACGATTCGGCATCATTGATATCACTTTCGTCAATATGGGCGAAGCTTTAGACCGTGGACTTGAAGGTTTCCTTCCTGGTGTCCATCGATATCCATACAAAGGAAAAGACGACTTTCCTAATGTTATGAACTATGAGTTGACCCTTCCAGATAGGCGTGAATTCTTCCTCGTTACAAACCTCAGCCAACACACATTCGAAGCGGACTTTTTCAACACCGAAGACAAGCCGTTTTCACACTCGTGGAAAGAATACTTCTATGACTCGCAATTGCTTGTTGTCGAAATGCTACCACGCGTACCACACGAACGAGCCAGTCGCAGATTATCTCAATTTATTATGAGCGTGGCGGATGCGAATGCGCAGCTCTCTCCTGACAACTTGATTATACCCGACGGGACAGCTGCGGTTCAACTTGGCACATCCGCTAAGTGCCCTGATGAATCTTTTCGTCCACTCTATTTCGCACATCAAGCTTTCCCAACTGTGATTGTTGAGACGGCGTTTACTGAGTCTCCGCAAAAGCTTGAGCAAGATGCCCGTCGCTGGGTGACGCAATCGAATGGGCAGGTTACCGTGATTACGGTCCATCTTGAAGAGTCGACGGAACGTATTGTTCTCCAGAGGTGGGTCCTGGCAAATGGTAGCCCTGTTAGGAGACAGGAGACTACCATCACCAATGTACGCGGCGCTAGAAGAAACGAGGGCGCATCTGTTCAGATAACGAATGCACCGTTCATCATCCCTTACCAGGAGCTCCTCGCGCGAGCTCCAAGAAGCAGCAACGACCGAGATATCTCGATCGACGTGATGGCACTGGGTTTGTTGTGCGAACAAGTCTGGGCTTCACAGTAATATTCTTAGTCAGCTCTTCTCACCATGGATTTATTGATGCCTAAGGCAAGAACCTGGATCCCGAAAACAACATCCAACCTGTCTTCTTGCCCTCTTTCCCCTCCATCCACACTGTCGCCTCCCTCTTATCCGCGACCCTCAGCACCCGATTCCCTTTATCCGCGCCTTCTATTCCGTCCTTCTCATTCCTCGATTCCGCCATGTGGCTCATCAACTGGTGTAAGTACCTGATTCTCCCATCTATCCAGCCCAGTCACCCGCATCAAAGCAGCCGAAACAAGGGTTCTGGATTTCAGGTATACTTGCTACGGATGTTATAAGCTATGCGAGTGTCTCTGCTAGCTACCAGACACCCTCAATACCCTTCGGGGCCAACACCGCAGTCTGCGGCTTTGACCCGGGAGTGAAAATATGCCTTTACTTTTACTGATTCCCTTCATCCAGTCTACGATGTTCTCGCCTCGCTCGGCCTGCTCAACAAGCACGCCAAGCTTCTTTTCCTGGGTCTCGATAATGCCGGCAAGACTACCCTGCTGCACATGCTGAAGGTGAGTGGATAGTCAAGACACAATGTGATCAGGGTCTGGACCGAGGTTCCAGACTCGGCGTGCATGGGCGGAATGTACCCGCAGGATCGCATCTCTCTATACCTTTTGAACCATTCGCTGACAAAGTACAATCATAGAATGACCGCGTCGCCGTCCTCTCCCCCACCGCCCACCCTACCTCCGAGGAGCTTGCTATCGGCAACAACCGCTTCACGACCTTCGATCTGGGCGGTCACCAGCAGGGTGAGTCAATTTATACCAGGGATACCGAAGGAGGAAGCTAATAGGCAATTTACCATAGCTCGTCGTCTCTGGAAGGACTACTTCCCCGAAGTCAGCGGTATCGTCTTCCTCGTTGATGCTAAGGACTACGAGCGCTTCTCCGAGTCCAAGGCCGAGCTCGACGCCCTTCTCGCCATGGAAGACCTCGCTAAGGTCCCCTTCCTCGTCCTCGGAAACAAGATCGATCACCCCGACGCCGTGAGTGAGGATGAGCTCCGCCACCAGCTGGGTCTGTACCAGACTACTGGTAAGGGCAAGGTCCCGCTCGAGGGCATCCGTCCCATCGAAATCTTCATGTGCAGTGTTGTCATGAGACAGGGTAAGTCATTCCTCAAATCAAGTTTCATCGGCATTCGCTAATAATTCCCAGGCTACGGCGAGGGTATCCGCTGGTTGTCCCAATACGTCTAATCTAAGCTCGCATAGACTCAGACGATAACACCAGGCCAGACCCAAAATGCCATTCGATTTTGACATACGGAATCAAATTGCTGTCAACCCCTTCTCTGCTTCACTTTGAGTCGCTGTTCTATATCCCTCTCCTTCTATCACCCAATTCTCGATCTATCCTTCTCCCTCCCCTCCATGATGTATCAACTTCCATGCCCTTGATTTCGTCTCGCCCCATTGCTGTTTACTATTTTAACCTGTCGCCTGTTAGCCGGTGCCTTTTCGAATACTCTAGTTCTAAAATTTGGCTCTTATAATTACTCAAATATCTCTCGTTGGATGTAATTGTAACAAGTAAGATCCCATGTGCAGGTTACCTACAGTGGATATTGATCCCCATGATAGGTTGTGATGTGCAAGCTGAGACCGATCTGGTTCTAGTCGATCGGTGGCGTTTTGCCCAACAATGCTGCAGCACGCCTATTCAGGACAGAATTGAGACCAATGATTATTGTCAAAGATCGTGTTAGAGACAGGGTTCCTATGGACTGGTCTGATTGGATGTCTTTTCAAGGTTGATGCTACTCGATCGAGCCCAATCTATGAGTCGAGGATCACTATCTATGAATGCCAGTCTTGTCCCTACACACAAGTAATGGGAACCGGCTTCCTACCGCTCAGCTTCTACACTATGAGTCCGTGAACAGTTAGAATAGACAACACATGCGTTACAATTCAAGACAACCGATAATCAGAAACAAGATAAAGATAAGATAAACCAGGTTCCCCTCCCCCTTTCCAGGATGCCTTAAGTAAACATTCCGTCCAGATGGTAAGAAACAAAGCAGGAAACTTCAGGCGCGTTAGGAAAAAAAAAAGGGTTAAAGAATCAGTCGAAGAAGAGAAGAGGGAGTTCCGCTCTGCATGTTAACAGAGGTCGCGCGTCGGCCAAGAAATGATAGCGGGAGGCGCACGGAGAAGCCCGGATAGAAGAGAAGGGATTAGCGGCGGATGAGAGGTTATAGAGAGGGAGGGTGGCTGCCCCGGCTGGGATGAATCCTCGGTCGTTTATCGCTTCGTCGGTCCGATGAGGGTGGAACTCGTGGTTGGAGGAAAGGGTTGGATGTCATGGGTGTTTGGCGTGACGTGGGGATTGTTGTGAAAAAAATGGCTTATCTCCGCCCGAACCTGCTGCACATGGGGAAGCTCGTATTTGTTCCTTTATTTCTTCTTTTGCTTGCGCGGAGGAGTGGCGGCGGATCCGCCGGAGCTCATGCTCCCGTAAACGTACTTTTGTTTCTTTTCGGCTGGTTTGAGGATCTAAAAAAAGAAAAAGCAGGTTAGACTTGGATGGAGGATGTGGGGAATTCAAGAAGACCACCAACCTGGAAGGAACAGAGCAAGCTCTCGTCGACGCTCATCATCGCACCCGCGTTGTCGAATTCACCGCAGTAGTTGGGTGCGCTGAATAGCGTAACCAGCTGGCGTTTCGAGAAGAACTCGTAACCATCTTCCACGACTTGATGCGCGCGGCATATCAAGTCCATATCGTGTTTCTGGAGGAAGCGCGACACCACGTCGGGGCCGAATGTGAAAGAGACACCGCGATCGTTTTCGCTCCAGCCGGTGATGTCCTTGTCCGGATCGGACCACAGCAGATCGCAGAGAAGACCACAGTCGGGGATCTAAAGAAGTCAGCGAACATGGCCTTCAGCTGAAGGAGTTCTGGCACGAGATCTGGCATGTTTTCATTCCATGCCATGTTCCTCGAATCCAAGACAACCACTGGTGCCAGAGGTGATAATGAAATACAGAATTACTTACATCGGTGGGACGCATAACCCGGCGAATCTGCTCCATCGAGTTCAGATCGGGGCTCAGACCTCCGTGCATGGTGAAAATCTTCTCGTCAATGATGGCCGCGATGGGAAGGCAGTTGAAGCAGTCGGTGAAGGTCTTCCACAGCTTGATGTTGTAGCGGCGCTTGCACTCGTCGTAGAAGCCATAGATACGGTTGATGGAGGCACACTCGTGGTTGCCACGCAGGATGAAGAAGTTCTCGGGGTACTTAATCTTGTAGGCGAGGAGCAGGCAGATAGTCTCGAGGGACTGCTTGCCACGGTCGACATAGTCACCGAGGAAGAGGTAGTTGGCCTCCGGGGGGAATCCACCGTATTCGAAGAGACGCAGGAGATCGTAGTATTGACCGTGGATATCACCGCAGATCTGTAGTGCCCAACTCGTTAGAACGCGCGGCCCGAGAAGTGGTCCGGGCTGGGGGTAAAATCACTAACCTTGATGGGAGCCTCGAGCTCGAGCAGAATAGGCTGCGAGATAAAGATCTCACGGGCCTTGGTGCAGAGGAAGCGGATCTCTGACTCAAGCAGCTGCACCTGCTTTCCAGGGCGGCTACCCCTCACTTCCAGGAGCCGATCGATGATCGAGTCCAGATCAACCTCTTGGTCGGCCATAGTGTGCGAGCTTTAATGAAAAGGGAGAAAGGGGAAACGGAGAAAGGAAAAAGAAAGAGACGAAAAGCACACGCGCGGGAGGGATGACGACTTCCGGGGCGGCGAAGAATTGATGACGAGGTAGTTATGTCCTACATGCATTAACAGTCATTAGCAACGAGTTGAACAATAACAAGGATGCCAGTCCGATTCTCAAATCCCATGAACAGGGTTGGAGGCGAGGGAAAACAGGCGCGTCTCGAGTGGAAATTTTTTTTTTGCCGCCTAGCGTTTTCCTTTGCGTTTCCTGACCCTTCGGGATAGACAATAGAGGCTAGCATAGCGACCGAGATGAAGACTTACCAAGGGGAAAGAACTTCAAGGAGGTCAAAGACTCTAAAATATGAAGGCCTTGCGGCCGCGGCTTTTTTGAGGGGTTTCTGGCAGGAATGCCAGACGGGGTGGACGAGGGAACACTCTGGGTGAGGTTTGAGGGTGACTGGAAGTTGAAATAGAGAGAAAAGCCCCTGAACAAGTCGGGAACGCAGAGACCGAGGGGAGATGGCTTCGACTTCGACTGCGGCTTCGAGGGGACGAAGGGAGGGGGTGAGCGAAGTTTTCCGGGGGTCGGACAAGCAGGAGTGAAAAAAGGAGTAAGGTCAATCAAGAGACGAGGAGACTTTTCACACGGTCGACTGTTCCAGAGATCCAAAAACAACGGGGGACGCGATGAAGCCGGCGTTTGAAGGATGAAGAGAGGAGAGAATCTTGCACAGGGAGAGAAAGCGGGAAGTTCCAGAGTTTGTGTTTGCGGTGTTTGGCTTCCCGTTATAGATCGGCCTGGCTTATTTTGTCACTCCACTATAACTAACGGGTTTGATCTGAAATAATAGCCTGCCTCTAGTCTATTTCTACTCCATCGGCGTATATCCCTTCGTCACTTTTCATCAGTTCAGACGTGGCATGGTCGAGGGGCTGCAGAAAGGCACCTTTTGGAGCCGGTCGAGACCCTCGCGCTTTGTGTCTCATGAGACCGAACGCTAGCAAGAACACAGTCTAGTTGCAGCTCAGATTGGACAAATGAAAGAAGACGTCCTGAGCGACTTTGTCCACATCGCGTCTTGACTTGCTGCAAGTCAAGAGTGGTGTTAGCTCACTTGCTATCTTGGACATCTCGTCCCACTTCATCTGGATACATGAGCACTCGACCTCCTCCTCCTCCATGAACGTTTACCAGAAGTTTTTATCAAACCAAATGTATATGACAAGGCTGGTATTATTTCCGAACTCATCGTGCTATGCACATTCATAGGTTACTCATGGCTCAGAATCACAGACAGGCCGATAAACGCAAAAAAAGAGGGGAATAGAACAGTCAATCCGCCAACGCCAACTCGCAAATCATACAATAAACGCGCTCTAGGAATTTTCTTTCAAAGTGCCTTCCAGAAAGATGACGCGAAAGAAGCGCAGAAACATTTGTTTTGATGCGGAAGCAAAACAGAAGAACGCAAAAGGCCGTAAATGTTCATACATCCAACCCACCATATCTCGTAAGTCATCCAAACGCCGTAAACAATGCAGAGGAGCAGCTCGCGTGGCTTGCTCAAGAAAAATAATTAATCCGAAAGGTGGTGCTTCCTACATGACTGGAGGAGCACAAGAAATAATAGGGCTCGTGGAGAGCGTCGAAACATGCGGCACGTGCCCATGTCCTCTTTAGCCGCTCAGTGCATGGCCTCCGCTCAAAATCGCTTGAGTGTTGGCTCGCACCAGAGGTGCAGTAGGGAGAGCAGAGTGATCAAGGCCTGTCGCAGCCAGCTGTGCGGCCAGATTCTGGGAGTTGTCCCAGGGATGGTCTCCCAGAACATTGAGCCAGTTATCGCCAACTTCCTGTCGGAGGACCTCGAGCTGCTGCCGACACCGCTGCTCATCTAATCCCCAATCTTTTGCCGCGCCAGAGTGCACTATAGTGGGCTGCATCGGAGGTGGACTGGGGGACGTTGGCTGCTTGAGCGGGCTCTGGATGCTGGAAGAGCCGGAATGGATGCTGCTTTCTAGCCTCCATTGGTGTTCAATCGGAGTCACACTTATTGGGTCGATCGGAGCGTGGAGCTGTTGAGTTGGAAGTACCGCAGTCATTGCTGGCTCCGGGTTACCCAAGCCATCGGGGTTGAAAGGGTTATCGACGGAGAGATCGATGATTCTGCGCCGCTGGGTCTTCTTGCGACTTTTAGTGCCCCCTTCGACGTCGTTTCGCTGTGTACTCTTGGGCGACTCACGCTCCTCAACCGGTGCCTTAGGAAGTGGCTTGTCCAGGATATTCGCCTGGGCCGCGGCAGTGGCTTTCTGAATCATAGCAGATTGATCTGCGGCACTTGAGCGCACCACGGGTGTAGCCTCAGGCTCGGCCACACGGTCAGTCAGTTGCTTTCTCTCCGTATAACCTGGACCACGACCATCAATGATGATATCCTCAGCGTACCCGGGAGTTCGACGGAAGAGGTTCATGATCACAACGCGGTACCCGGAATGGGTTTTCACAAATGGGTTTCCAGAGACCCAGATCTCTCGTATTTCAGGGAGACTGGTCAGCCGTGCCATTTCTGTTGGATCCATGAGATTGTTATCGCGCAGGTCTAGTCGCTCCAGAGAAAGCAGTCGCTCAATGCCGGCTAAAGAACGGAGTCGGTTGCCTCGAAGATTGAGCGCAGTGATTGCGGGAAGGGGGTTTCGTGAAATAGAGTGCAAAGACTCGATCATGCAATACGACAAGTTTAGCGCACGAAGGGCCATTAGAGTTGCTAGGCTATCCGGAACCTCGGTGAGAAGATTCGATGAAAGGTCGAGCGAGTTCAGGGTGTTGGCTACAGGAGCAAGGCTTGCGGCGGAGATGGACGTCAGATCATTCTCTGGAAGACCCAAGTGTCGCAAGAACCGCCACTTGGAAGGCGGCAGGACACCGGGAAGAAGGGTCGAGGAGCTGCCAGTGCGATATCCGCCGGAAGTATCGCTCGAGTTCGAACTGCCCGAGCCGGTGCGTCGAATCCGTTGAGACCGGCTGTGACGGTGACCATGCTTGGTGGAGGGTCGGGTAGGTGAGATGCTATCACCTCGTGCACGAAGCTTCGCACCCTCCGATCCAGCTCGTATCATCGGGGTCGACTTGGGGCTGGTGCTGCTTCCGAATGCGGTTTCGCCAACGGGGGAGCCAGGCGCCGAGATGGAATGATCCGGAGCCTGAACAGGCTGCGAGCCAGTGGTGCTAGTCCATCCAAGCGGCGGAGACTGCTGAGACTTGGCTGACCGTCGTCGTCGCTTATCGATATCGTCCAAGACGATGCGCGTCAACAGATCAGCCGGGTCATCCAGATGAGCCCGTTTAATGGACAAGGTGCGCAACTGCTCGGACAGACGGTCCCATCCGTAGAAAGAACGATAGTCTATGTCAATGATCTCTAGGGCGCTCAAATTTTTGAATGAATGCAGCGGCACGGCCGTGTCGAATGGGAACTCCTCATATCCACGGATCAGGCGAGCTCTGTGGTCAGGGGCCAGACGCAAACAGGGGATCTTGGTGAAAGCAGAGTAAAGATACTTCAGGTCCACTTCCAGGGCGAGTCTGGCCTTGTCGGACTTGGTGGCCGCATCTCTGGATCCCATGCCGAAGGAAGACCAGAGTCCGCTCATGCCGGACATGACACTACGAACACTGGATACAGAGTGTATGGAGGCACCATCTCCCTTGGACCGCTGGGGCTTATTCAGGAAAGAAACGTAGGATTGCGATGCCTCGGTGTGGATATTCTCCAATCGGACGTTCATAGGACCCACGGCAATGGACAGTTCCTCGAAGCGCGAAAGCAGATAAAAGAGGTGGTGAGGAGTCAGGGTGAGCTTGGCGGGCTTGATATTCTGCGAGGTGAACTTCAATGGCCCGAAGGACAGAGCGGACGCCAATGATAGAGAGGAGGAGAAAGAGCTCGAGGGGGTGAGGGAGGGCGATTGGGGGGTCGCGACATTCTTGAACTGACGGCGAAGCTGAAGGGCATTCGCAAGCGCTTTTTCATGAGTACGGACGAAGCTGGCCAAATTCTAGGAACGTAACGAGTATAAGTTTTGATCTGATCTAATCTCGTGTACTCGACATTTGGCGCCGGGGGGGGGGGGGGGGTGGGGGAAGGACCCCAGGTCGAGAAAGAAACTTCGACTCACCTTGATGAAGAGTTGTCCATCTTCAGTGTTGAGCTTCTCCATGACGAGAGCAAGGGATTTTCAGCTAGGCAGGATCCCAGCCAGGAGAAGTCTGAAGACGAACACTCAGATGCTGTCAGGGAGGGTCGACATTGTGCCGCGACCTTGAGATCGATGTAGAAGGTCGAGGTCTAGGGAGGTCAGCGCGGATGGATCTGGGGACAGGGGGGAGGGGTCACCAACGTGGGAAAGGGAGTTGACAGGTCCGACTCCGATGGGACAGGTGCAGGGTAAAAGGGTGAAGGGGGAAAGGTGAAAAGACGAGAGGTTTGGTGGCACGGGGTAACCGCTAAATAAGAATGGCGTCTGATGATCGAGATAACAATACCACGAAAACATAAAATACTACGGGAGTTTGGTTACCTTGAGTAACATCTTGTCGGGTATTTGGAGTATTTTTATTTCTCTTTCGAGTGTGTCAATCATAACCATAAACTCACGATGAACGGTCTGATCGCTATCTAATTTCCTTTTATGCTTCGGCCCCCTCCCTCACATAACAATCCCCGAACTTTGACGGTTTTCATTTTTCTCGATTTTTTGGTATCAATGAGGGACGATACCAGCCGATCCGGAGCCAGAAAAGATTGCTAATTTCCTCCTGCAGCTATCGTGCCTACTAGCCCGAGTTGGAGTGGCGAAGGCGCCATGGAGGGGTCAGCCTTTTAGCTTCACAGCGTCTATCAGACCCTTCGGTTGGATGGACCGACGGAATTAGGGGGGTGTGGGAATGTGTGCCAGTGATGGGTTGATCTACCTGCACGGCT